ATCGCTTTGCTTCCTGCCAGCTTGGGAGGTTTGGGACTGTCGCAAGCCACGCGCACCAGCCCCGCGGCGTACTGGGCGGCTTGGGCCGATGCCCTCGCAGTGCTCCGCGAACGGTGCCCGGCCTTTACGGACTGGGCCGTCCGCTGCCTCGCTGACGCGCGTGGCCCAGCATGCCTTCGAACAGCTTCTGCGGCCCGTGGGCTGCTTGCAGCCGAAGGCTGGACGGACGTGCCTTCCTGGGAGTGCGTGGTTCAGGGAGCCCGCCCACCCGACCGACCTGACGGGATCACCGAGCCCGGTGAATGGAGGCATGGGTGGCAACACTCTGCGTCGCGTACACGGAACCCTTTCTTCCGCGACCACGTGCTGCTGCCTTCTCTGCCACCTCCTCACCGCGCGCTCTTGCGTTCCCAGGCCGGTCCGCATGCCGGTGCATGGCTGCACGCCATCCCCAGCGATCCCCACACGACGCTCGCGCCCGAAGCCATGCAGATCGCGTTGCGTCGCAGGCTCCGGCTTCCACTCCCGCTCGCGCCAGGCCGTTGCGGGAGCGCCTCGGAACCTGGGTGCGGACACCGCGCAGATGCCTTTGGAGACCATGCACTCGCGTGCCCTCGTACTGGCCTCCTGGCGAGGCGAGCCAAACTTGTTGAGCGGGCCTGGTGCAAGGTTGCACGGGAAGCCGTGGGGCCTGAGGGACACGTAGTGCCCCAGCAATGGCTCGTCAACACCACTGCGCCGGGCGTCGCGCCCGACGACCGCAGGCGCCTCGACCTCGTCATCTACGGCGCCGCGCCACTGGGTGGTGCGCTCTGCTGCGATGCGACCCTAGTTTCGCCTCTCACGCGCGACGGCGAACCCCACCCAGGCGCGGCCGCACAGGATGGAGCGGTCCTGCGCACCGCCTACCGGCGCAAACAAGCCACCTACCCTGAGCTCGCGGCGGGTGGCGCACAAGCCCTCTGCGTGCTCGGCTGCGAAGTGGGTGGGCGGTGGAACACTGACGCAGTCAAGCTGGTCCAACGCCTCGTCGCACTCCGTGCGTACCGAGCCCCACCTGCGTTGCGAGCGTCCGCAAAGACAGCCTGGGCCCGCCGTTGGTGGAGCGTGCTCTCCGTAGCGGTTCAGCAGGCCGTCGGTCACACGGCGTTAGGGCGCGCCCGGGCCATGCCGGGACCGGCACACACCGATGCGCCGGCCCTGGATGAAGTCCTCCACCTGGCCGACCCTGACGGGCCGAGCCGCCTGCCGCTGCGCTGAAGCGGCCCTAACTCGGGACCGTGACCGTACTCCACTAGGAGCGGGACCTTCCTGCTGACGGAAAAAGGCGCGTAAAAAAAAAAAAAAAATTCATGGCTGTACATACCCTTGCTGCATGCTGGGGCAGGCAACTTGACCGCGCGCGCCCAACATGAATGGCGATCGCGTTTTAGGGAGCTCGCATCCCTGCTGCGCGATGCGCCGCCAGTCCCGCCATCGGGGCTCGCCCAGACTGTGCTTGCGGTCGCCGAGTGTGAAGCTCACGAGGCCACGAGGCTCACCGAGCTACCTCAGCGGAAGATCGAGCATTGGCGGCACGTCTTTCCGCCATGCCCGACGCTCCGCTGCGCCTAGAGGCCGCCGTGGCGGTTTGCATGGCCCCCGACGGCTACCTCACGGCTGCGGTGCAAGCGGCGTTGCTGGAATCTTACGCAGGTGCGAACAGAGCTGCGGCCGCACAGTCACCCCTGCCCTCCGGCGAGCCCGCCGACGACCGTGTCCCCACCTGCCCAGCCGCTGCCGGAGACCACGATGCCGCTGTGAACGCTACGCCAGCAAGCGTCCCCGATGCAGCCTGGCTGGCCGTAGACGCGGTGGACTTGGCCGACGAGCTCCGACATCCGGTGCCTACATTGCAAGACGTGCCACCCTTCATGAGAGCCGCTGTGCGGGCAGCGTTGACCCTGGCCCTTCAGCAGCTCCGCGACTCGCCCGCAGGCGCACCAGCCCATGATGCAACACCGGCGTCACGCGCGTGGAAGTTGTTTCTCCTCGCACCACGCATGCTGCTGGCTCGCACCCCCCTACGCGGGACCCAAGGGTGCGACGAATTGCTGTCCCGAGCAGCGGCCTTCCGACGAGGAGAGTGGGCACAGCTGCTGGTCGCAGCACGTCGACTCCACAAACCCCGTGAGGGTGGCTGCGTCGATGTCGAAGCTTTAGCCGAGCGAAAACGTGAACAAGCGTGCGCCAAAGTGAGGGAAAGGCGAGCTCTCCAGGGCCCGCCAACTCCTCACGGCCGCAGAGCTTGCGCCCGGCAGCGAGGCCACCTGGCATCTGCTGACAGACCCCGCCCGCCGCCCCCCGCGTGCACGCCGGGCGGTACCGGCAGACATTGCAGGCTACCAGCCGAGCAGTCCCCTTGTGCTCAGCCGGCCCGACCGCTGTTGCAGCGGCCTTGCGGGATACGAAGCGTGGTGGAACGGCAGGGTTGACGGGCATGCGTGCAGAGCATTTGAAAATCCTGCTCCAGGACCAGCCAGCTCTAGAGCTTCTCGCTCATGCCGCCACACGGTTGGCAAACGCGCAGGTACCAGCAGATGTCGCACCAGGACTGGCTTTAGCTCGCCTCACTGCTCTCAGCAAACCAGACGGAGGTGTGCGCGGCATAGCGACAAGCAACGTGTTCCGCCGCCTCGTGTCGCGTGCTTTGGCGAAAGACTGGGCAAACACTTTCGACACAGCCACTCGCCCCTACCAGTTTGCCTTGCAGGCTCGAGCGGGCACGGATGCACTGGCGGCGCATGTCCGCGTGGCCCTGGGCCAGGGCCCAGACCAAGTCCTGGTGTCGCTGGATGGGCGAAGCGCCTACGACACGATCTCGCGCACCTCCTTTCTGACTGCGCTCAAATCCGTTGCGCCCGAGCTTCTCCCCTTCGTGAGGCTTTTCTATGGCCGTCCCTCCACGTACTGCTGGTGGGACGACGCGGGACACTGCCGCGATATCACGCAAGGAGAAGGGTGACCCGCTCGCTCCCGCGTTGTTTGCCCTTGGCCAGCATGCCGCTTTGTGCCAAGCCTCGTCCGCACACCACCCGCCTGAACGACTTCTCGCGTTCCTCGATGACCTGTACGTCCTCACCACGCGGGAGCTTGCACGAGAGGCTCGCGACATCGTGGTGCAGGCAGTGCAGGAAGGATGCGGCATAGCTTCCAATGATGGCAAGACTCGGGTGTACAGCCATGCCGGAGGCGCGCCGCCACCAGGCATCGCTGAGCTGGGAACTGACGTGTGGCGGGGAAACAGGCCGTCTTCCGAGCGCGGCCTCTTAGGCACACCCATAGGCCACCCACATTTCGTCTCGGCCTGGGCGGAAAGCCGGATGCACGCAGAGCGAGAGCTTCTGAGCCAACTGCCTCGCCTCCCAGACTTGCAATGTGCGTGGCTTCTTCTCGCTATGTGCGCCTCGCCGCGAGCCAATCACGCGCTGCGCACAGTGCCGCCGCTAGATGTTGCCGCCTACGCACAGGCCCATGACGATGCCGTTTGGGAGACCTTGCAGGCCTGCCTCGGCGGGGTGTCGTCCACAGAGGCGGAGGGCGCATACACCTTGGCGACTCTCCCCGCATCGCTTGGCGGTTTGAGCCTCGCTAGTGCGGTGCGTGCCGCGCCTGCTGCGTATTGGGTGGCATGGGCTGATGCGCTCCCTGTCCTCGGCGAGCGCGCCCCGGTTTTGGCCGATTGCGGATGGCGCTCGCCCGCCACCGGTGACAGCCAGAGGCCTGGGCGATTGGCCGCACGGCTGGCAGCAGAGTGCGTCGCGAACTCGCAACCTTCACTTCCGTGACCGCACATGGCTCCCAGCCTTGCCACCAAGCGCCTGCGCGCTCTTGCGTTCCCAGGCAGGCCCGCACGCAGGTGCCTGGTTACCAGCCATACCGGCGGACCCAGCCACTACACTGCCGCCGCAAGTCATGCAGCTCGCCTTGCGCCGCCGTTTGCGCCTCCCACTGCCCCTTCGCGTGAGTCACTGCGGCCCCTCTCCCGGATGTGGCGGACTCGTCGATGTGCACGGCGATCATGCCCTGGCCTGCCCGCGCACTGGGCTGCTTGCTAGACGAGCCAAAGTCGTCGAGCGGGCCTGGGTGAGGGTGGCGCGCGAAGCTGTCGGGGCGGACGGCCAAGTAGTCCCGCAGCAATGGCTCTGCAACACGACTGCTCCGGGCGTCGCCCCGGACGACAGGCGCCGCCATGATCTGGTGATCTGTGTAGCGATGCCCATGGGAGGAGCACTGTGCTGCGACGCGACCCTCGTGTCGCCACTGACTCGTATGGGCCAGCCGCAACCCGGCACCGCGGCGCGTGACGGCGCCATGCTGCGAGTTGCTGAGCGGCTCAAGCGAGCCACCTACCCAGAGCTCAGCGCTGGCGGCCCTCAGCAACTCGTCGTGCTTGGCTCCGAAGTTGGGGGGCGCTGGAGCGAAGCAGCGCAGCGGCTCGTTCGAGACTTGGTGCGCATCCGAGCCCAACGGGCACCACCGGCGCTGCGAGCCGCTGCCGCCTCCGCCTGGACGCGACGGTGGTGGGCGGCTTTAGCCGTCGCGGTGCAGCAGGCCGTAGCCAGCACGGCCCTGGGCAGCCCGTGGCCCGCCCCGCCACACGCAAGCCAGTGGCAGGGCCCGGAACTGGACCGTGTGCTCGACCTCGCCGAAGCGGCGGGGCCGAGCCGGTTGCCATTGCGCTAGTTGGTCGTAGCGGGGTAGCCTACTGTAGTTTCGGCGGACAACCCTCGGGAGCCAAAAGTCCGGGGAAAAAAAAAAACATCGATCAGCTCGAAACCAGTCAGATCCAGAATGATCCAGAGCGTCACCGTGTCGCATGTCCGCCAGGTGTCCTTTGCCGGCAGAGGTGTGCCGGTAATCGGCGAGGCCACGGGAAGGTATCAGTGCTGATTATTAAAATGTGTAAGTTGAAGACTCGTGTATACATGGTTCGCATGCAGGACAGTAGGAACGTGGGGATGTTTTCATGCCCTGAGCAGCTGAAGCAAGAATTTGGCATAGCGTGGCAGGCAAACACAAGCCTCTCATTGTTGGACCGCGCACTTGCGTTCGTTCCTTTCAAAACCTGGCCCCTTGGGTTGTCAATCCAGCATGTCGGTATGCTGCATTTCTTGTAACTGCTAGTTACATTGTTTTTGTTGCTGGATGGCTGCAGCATTTGCGGCTTTTCCGCAATTTGCTGCCAAGCCAAGGCTCTCAAAGTTGGAGCGCAATTCTGAAACTTGCCTGCAGCCTTTTATTTTCGACGATAGAGCACGTATGACCGGGGCACACGTTGCCCGAGTTTATTTGGCTGTGAGATGTGCGCGATTCCTTTGCACGTGGTGCGCCAGTGTTTCGTTGAGGACAGTTTTTCGTTGCACCGAATTTACATCCAATCCGTTGATCTGTTCGGCAATCGTGTCGGTGCCTTGCCAGCATTTGGCCACCGCACACTGTCAACAACAGTTTTCTGACAAGCAAAATTCTGGCAGCACAGGTTTTGTGAAATTGAAATCTGAAGTCACAGATCGCGATGGAGACTCCCTGGCAGGCCTGTTGGAATGCAGTCGTTATGTAAGTTGAGGGTTGCTTCACGCAAGCGTCAGATTTGCAAGCACTTTGCTCTTTGGCGCATCGTAGTTTGTTTGGCTGCCTCAGGTATCTGTTTTTTGCGGGGCGGCTCCGTCGCCGTGTTGGTGATTCTGGAATGTGCAGAGAACGGCTTTGAGTACTGCGTACAAGTGCAGATTGACAACGTGTTTTGTCCAGATGTAGCTTACCCGTGCTTTATTGTCCGCGGTGGTGCTTGTAGTAGTTCTCCTTAGTGCTTCACGGAGCTCAGGTCTGCACTGCACAGCCCAGGAACATGGCTCTTCCTGCAGGGATGCTGGATGGTCGCTGGCCCGCGACGGTTATGTCACGTTGTGTGTCGCCCTCCGGTCCTTTCCTGCAGCTTGCTTGACGGATCAGTTGCCAGGAAATGGTGACTTCAGTGGGGCCATGGCCCGGGAGATGGAAGAAGAGACGGGCATTAAATGTTCCGTCGTTCGCAACATCAGAATATTTCCTTGCGAGGCTTGCCGGAAAAAAGACCGGCTAGCCCTCAGAGACAGTGTGCAGGCTCCCCTCTGTCCAGTGGCTCCAGCGTGCCCAGGTGATGCAGCAAATTTGGTTGACATGACTGCCCTCGCCTACGGGGAGAAGTTTGAGGGTATGTACCCATCTGTTGGCGCATGCGATGAATTTATACGCCTTTTCCTTTTCAGAAGAGTCATGTGCCACAGCCGCAACAGGGGTTGGATTTTGGTTGTGGTGGCTATAGCCTTCGACCAGCTACAACTGGAGCCGTAGTGCGCGACTGGACAGGCCTCAGCACGACATCGCAGCTCTGGAAGGAAGGCTGATGGGTCTTCGCGAGGAGAACGAGAAGATACAGCGGCTGTGCGAAATGTCAGTCGTTTCAAATGGTCCGCAGGGAAGCTCTCGTCCCAGTCCGGAAGTTCCGGCAGGTTTTCATAAGGTCCGACTGACCTAAGACAGCGGTGCACGAAGAAACTGCATTCAATCATCTGGTAGGGCAGACCCGCTGACATTGCTACTTGTACTTTGTTCGTTGTTTGAGGCTTTGCCTGGTTCCGTTGCCACTTAGCTGCACTGCCGGAGCATGCCGGAAGTCTCCGCTTATAAGTCCTGAGCTTGTTTGAAACAGCGCGAGGGTTCTGCCAACCAACTTGTGTGACGCCTCTCATGACTTCAAGCAACCCTACCGCCAGGAAAGACCTTTGGCAGCTGTCTTCAGACTCGAAGGCAGGGTTCAGCCGGTTCATTTCCGACCAGTGGGATTCAGCAGTTGTGGCGATCGTGTTTGATTCTGGGTTGGCTCGGAATTCTCAAAAGAACAGGGCTTTGGGTGTTGGGCCATCGCTTGCTTGGGGGCCCCCTTTCAAGGTCTCTATCCCCGAGGTGTCTAGCTTGTCTGCTCAGGCCTTGTGTGCTCTTCTCCTGTACAGCAAGCTGAAGGAAAACGGCCAATTGGTTCCTTGAGATGGACGTCTGAGGCTGGAAAAGCAAAACTACTGATAGCTGCATGGAGCGTGCTGCTCCTCGACCTTCACGCTATTGTAGTTCTTGTGCATACTCTGCCCAGCAAGCGGCTGGCTCAGACACGTCATGGCTTCGCACCGAGTGAGGGTCAAAAGATGCCCTGAGCGAGTCCTCGCGGCTACGCTTTGCAGCTTGCGGATTGGTTAAAAAGAATTGACTGAGGTGGCCATGAAAATCTTGTCGAGAAGGTAGGTTTCCGGCAGCCCGTGAAGACTTTGGTGGCTTCGGAGTTGGCTTAGATCGCAAGCCCCTGCGAAGAGTCGGGGAGTCCTGAAGCATTGGATGGATGGCAAATACGCCGTGCCGGCCTTCCTCGATGTTAAATCGAGGGATGGCAATCTCAACCTGGTGCTGTGCGTGGTGAGCTGCTGCAGCTGCATGCATTCGAAGCATGTCGTTGCATCTGTGTGTGTTGATGCCAAGGGATGCATTTGGCGTGCCTAGGTTCCGCAGTTGCCGGCATTGGAATTGGCTTATTTGGCTGCCTGCTTTCTGCAGCTGATCACATCAGGCGTGTCAGCAGATTCACAGACCTTGCAGTCAGATTTGGTGCAATTTTTGCGGTTGCTTCTGCCAAGGCGGCGTAATGGTGGACTGCACACCGTGCGCAGTCGCTTTTTCTCCTGGTGACTGGGATGTTGAGAGCAGGTGTTGACCATAACAGTAATGATTACTGCGAGTATATTGTAAGGCACGCTGGCAAGTCAAAGCTACGTTTCAGTGTGATTTGATTCGAGGATTGGTATGATTGGCTCCGTGGTCTTTGGCTTGGCTTCGCTCGTCGGTCTGGTTTTCGGCTCGGTCAGCTTAGCCACGGTTGTGCGAGCTGGATCGACGCTGCCGGCAAATGCCATCTTCAGCCCGGGCCTCCGTCGGTCCATGATTGCCGCGTCGGCAACCAGCATGGACTTTGGAAGCCTTCTACACGTAGTGTGGCTCCCAAGTCGCATGCTGACCATCTCCAGGTCAAATGTTTGGTTTGCGGCCGCTGGTACGGGATGATGTGCTGGGCACTTTGGTAACCATCTCAGGCACGGACCTGACTTTAGCCATGATGTGATTGCTTTGGGCTTTGTGTGTCTTCAGATTTGCACGTTGGCGGTTTCGTGATTGCGGGCCTCTGCAAAACTTGAAAAGTCATGCGGAGGCATTATCAGCTTCACCATCTTCCAAGGGTGGTCTGAGTACCAGCACGACCAAAGCGAGCACCACTGCTGCAAATTCTAGGTGCTCTAGTTTAAGCCATCTTTCTCTGAGATGTGTGTCGGCTGCGCCTGAGAGTGAATGAGGTTTCTGGCTCGGATGTTTGCTCCAGGGTCTATTGTCTGGATGAGCATCTTGTTCATTCTGCAAGCCTTGTCGAGCTGCTGGCTGTATTTTCACAGGAGCGTCGTGTCTTGAGAACTCTTCGGTCTTCACTTAGTGCTCGTTGTCGTGCCTGCTTACACAGGAGTGCGAAGCGAGACAGTTCTGCTCTTAGTGTGGTCCAAGTCATAAACGCCACGGAGTCAGAGGGGACTGTCGCCGAGGGCGACAGGGCGTTGACTTTGCCAACTTTGCTTTCGCACTGCATTCCAACGACTTGCGTCGAGGCCGGGAGTATGCGGCGGCGGCTCGGTGCCGCGCTGTGGCGGCCACATTGATCTGCTCGTGTTCGCGGCCTGCCGTGCAGTAGCCGATGGTAGTGATGGCGGTTCACCGTGATTCGCAGTTAACCAGCATTCACTTAATGCGGTTTCGTGATGTGCAGGAAGCTCTGGTATTTTAGTTCTTGTTGCAAAATGTAGTGTCCCGTTGCACCAATGACTTTCTCAAGAACATTCGAGAACTTATGACCAAACTGTCCAAAAGAATGCTTTGCCATGGCGCACGGATTTGCAGTAGCAGAGTGCAGCACGACAAGATGCAGACGAGTGTTTGTCCACTGTCACAGCATGTGGGTTGCCGGCCTCTCTGCCGAGAGAAAGAGATAGTCGGAGTGGGATGGTCACCGTGTAAACTGCATAACACGGATTTACCATGTCCCAGGTCAGCCTTCATGGACTTGGCAGCCAAGGGTTGGTCATCCTCTTCCAAGGTCTTGTCTGACTTGTCTGGGCTGTTTGAGGCATGTGGCGGAGTGCTGCGACATTCTCGTCGTGCGAGCAGGTCTCAGCAGACGGCGGTGGGGTGAGCTTTGGTCTAGCATCGCCCACCTTCTGGACAGCGCTGTCTTTGAATGTCGTTTTCCTGATTCTTATGCCCCCTGGCAAGCACCAAGCTAGCCACAAGACTTCTCGCTCATGGACGGTGCGTTGCGACCAGCCTGGTCTCGAAGTTGACATGATGTGAATGGGGCGAGAACTGCAATCGCCTTGTTGGAGCATGTCGCGTGCCCTGATGAAAGGCTAGACCCTGGCTGAGCTTGTAAGCAGCAGAGGCAGTATCTGACCTGTTGAAGCCCCGGAAGACAAAACAACCGTGTCCGATGACCAATACAAAGAGACGAGCATTCTGCCAGATTGATGCTTCAGGGGGCACGAGCGGAGTAAGTTGGACTGTGATGCTCAGGAGATGGTCAACTATCTATGGTTGCCGACGCCACTTGGCTGCCCAGCTCCGGCCAAGCCACCTTGCAATCAAGCAACGCAAGACCGCTCAGGATGTGACGTGCTGATTTTCGTTCCCCTGAACACAACAGCCAACATCATCCTCAGCGTGGCCTCCGGCATGATCTGCCTTTCAGACACTCGGAGAACTACTTATGTAGTGTGCCGACAAACCTGTTTCCAAAAGACACTGTGCACCAGGAGTACAAGTCCGTGAAATCTTGGCCGGGTCTTTGCACTGCTGGGCTGTCCATGCTGTGTGGAATCTTCATGCTCGTCACCGGGCCGGCTGAGACCATGGAAGCCTGAATGCAATTGGCCAACTTACAATGCCTCGAACGACCGCTCAGAGAACTCTGCGAAGTGCAGCCAGCAGCAATGCTTAGCAGGGCCTGGAATGCTGTAAGGCTGGCGCTGGGATGTCCTGCAACAGCTGGATCGAGCACTTGAGCAGCACGGATGTGGGATTGATGGAGGTTTTCTCTTGCGATTTGAGGTGGAAGTGTGTTGTAGATCATCGTAGTTCTAGTTTGTAGATGTTTCTAGGCCGGCAATGACCCACGGGAGCAGTCTATGACATGTACGGTAGCTGGAGCTCGGAAGGGCCAGTGACAGTTCGCTTGTGTTTTCCAACTTGCAAGCCAGCCTCCTGAGTTAAACAATGCTAAACTGCTAAACATAAGTTGATCTGGTTGGCAAGTTTTGCTGCTGTCCTTTTTACGGCAGCTGAAGAACCCAAGTCCCTCTAATGTCTGGGTGTCCTTTTTGGAACCTTCGTGTGCCGCACGGACAGCTTTAGCCACGTCGTTGTCCCTGCTTTGCGGTATGAATCCGCAGGAAGGACAAATTCTCGCTGTCCTTGGCATGACCTGCATTTCACACTATACATCCTGGTGTTGCTGAGAAAGCCAGACGGGTATCAAGCATAACTGGAGCTTTTCCGTAAAGTCATTGCAGGAAGTGCAGGAAGCCGGGTAAAGAAGACCATGCCTGCTTCTGCAACTGATTTCTTGGGTCGTGCTTACAAATGCTCAGGCCGGTTGAGGTGCATTGGGGAGCAGTTTGGCAAGTTGCTCATGTTGTCGGTATTGGCTCGTTTGAGGGTTTCCGATGCTGCTGTGAGAGTTTAGGTCCCCAGATCCGACGAAGAGTCAGTCCAGGCGATGCAGTTTGCTGACATCCGCGTGAACCTGTGACTCTTGGATGCTCTTGGCCAGGCCCGAGACTCAAACGCGGCGGACGTTGAGCCCCGTTGATCTTTCGCCAGCGACCTCCCCGGCGAGCTCTCACGACAGACGCGTGCCTGCAATGGATGCTTTCGAGCCTTTTGATAACCGGCTTGGCGACGTCCCAAAAGAATCCGGAAGTGACGGGCTCGGGGTACTCGAAACAAGGAGTGATCCCCCGGGAGAGATCAGCCGCTTGTCTGCCTTTGGAGAAGACTTTCAGCGCATCCGCGCGCCTCCCGGAATGTGATGTGCGATTGCCCAGAGGCCGCATTCTTCCCCGCCCCTCCCCCCAACCAATTCGAAAACAATGCAGGGGGAAATCTTAGGGGATAATGTCATGATGCCAGTTTTGGCTTGGCAGAAGGCCCTGCGTCGATCGACAAAACTACACAGTCTTCAGGCTTCCACTCTCCAAGTACGAGTCGAGAACGGTCAGTTGAAAACATGTTGCAAAAGCTGCCAATCGTAGGTCCTGGAACAGTCAGAGGAGGACTTGCATTCCAAGTCCTCTGCGCTGGGCTTCGAGTCTTGGCTTGCACAGCCTCTCATGGAGCCTCTACTGGTGGGTTTGAGGTAGTGCTTTCGGTTATCTTTTTGAACATTCTCCCAACTCTTGCACACATGGACTTGGCCTAGCAGTTACTAGCAGCCGAGGTCTATCTAAATCGCATCCACCGAAGAGCTGCGCGTGCACGAAGTGAGCTTCTCGCCTGTAGAGTCGGCGTGGGCCGGTTGTCCGGCAGAGAGGCATGTTTTACCCCAGTAAGTCTTGGAGGATCGAAGGCTGCTTGGCCGAGAACCTTTCCGACCGCCGCGACACGGCAGGCAATGGGTAAGAGTTCGCGTAAGTTTAGTTCCGTGCTAGTAGCACCTTCGCTGTCGAGTCGCCATTGCTGAGCCAGTGGGTTTCGCAACACAACGGCCGTTGCGTAGGCACGGGTTCTGCGCCAGCCGAACCACCGTCGTGACTTCGACAGCAATGGTAGGTCACGGCATAAATAACGTTATGCTTTTTGCGCTGTGGGTTCGGTGGCCGCGGCTGCCTTGCTGGTAAAGAGCCGCATACACGTGTGATTGGAGCAGCTGGCGGCACAAAGCTTGTTGTGTCGTTGTGGTTGAAGCTGCGTCTTTGCTGAGCATACAAGACCGAGGAGTGTTTGACCTCATCAGCGAAGAGCTGGTTCGAAGCCTACCTAGGCGTTTGTCAGACTTTGTTCGCAGGGATGCTTGCTTTGCCACATCCCGACCATCGCAAATTGTCATGTGCGTTCTTGCCCGGAGGTGGTAGTCACCGTGTTACGGATATGGTGACACCTCAGCACGCAGCCAGAGGCAAGCTTACAATAAGCCGCCTGAGCCTGAAATTCAACAACACTTGCAGTGTAAATGCGAAACTCTCACATGTGTGCAAATTTTCGGTTCGCTGGCCGCCCCCTGAGATTATGTGACTATGTGCTATCTACAAGCCAAAGAACTGATTTACCATCAGTCCTACAGATCCAGAAGAGCACCTTCGTGCGGCGATCCAGCGAGGCCTTGAACCAGGGGCCTCTAAAAGTAGACGGGTGTCAGGTGGCGAAGCAAACTGCGACACGTCTTTGGTCATCTTCGCATCAGTACAGGAGCCACCTGACATGGTGCAAGCCTGTCGGCTTAACCGCACTTGTCTTCCCTGGTCGGTCACCACGAACTGCCAGCGGCAGGAGGCTAGAAGGATGCCTGTCCACGGTGCCTAAGAAACACCGTGCCAGCTGGAAGGGATTAGGTCCGCGGTGCCTTGACGTGGACGAAATTTTGGCTCCTGCAGTTTCCTCTTTAGGCGGTTTATGCCTGCCCGAGTCCTGTGAGCAAGGGAAGAGCCAGCAAAGAATGCACAGACCTTCTTGCTGGCTGCTACCTGCAGAAGACGGCAGGCGATTTTAAAACCCGACTAGTCCATGCTGCGCTGTCGCGTGACATGTTGTGTCAGCTTTACCAGCCCGCAGCGGCAAGGTGGGAGGCGGGTAGGGTAGCCTTGACCAAATTACTTTTTGATGCAGCCTCGCCTCCCCCGGAGCATGCCTTACTCGACGTGATGGGCCACAAGTTGTCCAATATTCACTGATCAATACCTGAGCACGTACAGACTCACATGTGGTCCGAAAGAGAGACGATGGGTTGCATCGGGGGCATGACATCGCAATAAATATGGGTTCAAGGGCACCAGCTAGCCGCTAGTCAGAACTTCTGCAGTTCCATAAGCCCCCGGCATGCAAACCATGTCAATGATGTCATATGATGCCTGCTCTGCAGCGGGACCGTGCCTACTGTCGTTCCCGATGTGATCAGACATCAAAAGGTCGCTCGAAGGTTGCCCCTGCAGTGCGCACAGGCTCCATTTCCTTCAGATGAATGCTGTCCGGCTCTGCATGCGGACCCTCACATTGACTCTCTTTCGTTTCTCAGTTTGGCTCCCAGGTCCTTCGTTTCCCAAGTGTTGCTGTGCATGTGTGGAGGGTTGCAGGCATGTCGTTTGCGCCATGTTCTCCGGGATGTTATTTGCTTGATAGAGGGTTTAGGATACAGCGAAACCATGCAGTCTGCTCCGCGACGTCTCCGCAAGCCCTTGGCGGCCCTGTCCTTGCTTCTTACCTCCGAATGTGATATCAAGACGGGCAAGCAAGACACGGGGTAGGGGATGCAAAACAAAGAGGGAATGATGATTTGCAAGTTGCATCAGCTTGTCAAGCCTCTGGCTGCCTCGAGTTTCACGCCGAGTTCCCATAGTAAGGCAGTCCGAAGCAACCCAATCGAGGCTGCTCATCGGTTTCGCTGTGGATGTGGGCCAGCTTCTGGGCTTTACCGGGTCTCGAGGCCGAGTTCGAGCAGAGTTGGTGGGGCAGACAAGTTCATTCAGTCTTCAGGGCCTGGTAAAAATTTCTCGTGGACCTTGGGCATGAAGAAGCCCGTACAAGCCCAAGCAGCCCAAGCACAAGCAGTTCAGAGCGGGAAAAGTTCAGATGGGGACAGGCAGCGTGGGAAGTCGCCAGCCCTCGGTCGGGCGTGCCGCTGAATACAAGCAAGTAGCTGCGTCTTGCTCAGCATCATCAGAGTTGCGGAGCATCGTGAGACACGCCGCGAGACGCGTCTCGAGGTGGCGGGAGCCACGGGCCGGCTCGGGCGCTTCGTCGTGTCGGAGTTGCTGGCCAAGGACGCGACCCGGAACGGCCCGGAAGCTTTGATGCTTGAGCGATGAGCCTGTCTTGGCAAAACCGCACCCGGAGCTTGAGAGGAAGATGAGCTCCAAGTCATCGCGCTGACTCGCAATGTGTCTCGAGCAGAAGAGTTTCTGCCTGCAGGGTCCTCGGTGTGTGCCCTGCATGGCATCTAGCCTGGAGTGCATATCATTTACTGGCTGCCACCAGGTAGAGAATGACAGGTTGAAGGTTCTCACCTGGGACCCTGCAGCTGACCAGGCGTGCAAAATCCAAGCTTAAGCCTTGAAGAAGCTATGACAACTGTTGCGAGGCTGCAGCTGAAGAAGTTGTAGCTGATGCTGATGTGGCGCTCTGGTGCGCTGAGGCGGTGCTAGAGTTGTAAGTTATGCCCCTGTCTGCCACGATGTTGCCATATAGTATGCATTGTCTTCAGTGTCCTGAGGGTCGCAAGGGCATTGTCGCGCTGGGCAATGCATTCAAAGCGAAGGGGCAGAGACCGAGCGGTGCGGACCTCACAGCAACTAGCAGCTCGCTGATATGGCTCGGTGCAACTTATTCCTGTCATCTGGAGTTGAACATGTCATAATTAGAAGTGAGCTGTGGCCCTGCCCCTGAAGGCTCCGCCCGCGTGATCATGTGCTCCTCAGCTGTGGGAGCCCCAAAGGTTGGCGTTTCTGAGCGAGTCGAGCTTTTTCGCGTCTGAGGCAATCACGCGGCCCACGTGGTCTGCCAAACAGAAATCCCAGATGTCCGGAGCAGCCGACATCCCGATTGTTCGGTTGAATCCAGGTGCATCACGGTTCTTTTGTAGCGTGCGGGCTGCTTGGGTCCGGGGCAGGTGGGCTTCTGGACGAGAAGCGAGCGGCCGAGCAGGCCTTGCGCGACACGGGGGCTTCCTATGCGGTAGCACGACCGACAGGCCGGGAATCCCCTTCCGGTCGGTCCGGTGGTCCTTGGAAAGAGGGATTTCATTTTTTGAAACAGCTCCGAGGCCTGAAAGACGACTGGCCAGCGGGGCGTCCGGTGGTCTCTCAGGGAGATGTGGCTGTGGGCCGAACCTCGCGACAAGACTTGGCCTCCATGTGCTCCAGCCCGGTTTCAGAAGAGCGGCCTCCACAGCGAAGTCTGGGGGGGTTTCCACACCCTGAACAACGCCCTCCGAAACCCAGTCCAACCTAGTCCTAGCGTTGACAGCAGCCAGGCTGGTGCAGCTGCTTGCGCCTACCTGAGCATGCCAATTTGTGTGACAGATCCGCCAACATGTGGGATTGTGGCTTGCCTGTTGCACGCGAAAGGAGCTACATTCAAGTTATTGCCGCTTGTTTTCCCATCAGAATGCACTGCAAGCAACCTCAGAAGAGTAGACTGAGAGTGGCATCCCAATTGCCTTCGACGTGTCGCCGCAGCAGCCTGAAGGACGAGCCAGATGCGACAGGGAAGACTTTCGAGGCAGAGTTCGGTGGTTTTTTCGTGCTCCCGTTGCCCGGTGCCTAAGCCTTAATCGGCCTAAGCCAGTGTACGTGATGAGGCTGATGAGGTCGGCAAGCATCAGGGATGTGACTGGCATGCGAAACCGATGTTTGATTCGGATCTGAAAGAAGCAGCAGCAATGCATGCTTCACAAAATCGTCACAAACTTACAGCACTCAGGGTCTTAGGGTTTAGTAGCAGACAGGAGCAACAAAATGCGGGTCCTGGCTGGACAAACTGAGGGCCGCACGTAACCGACATTCCCGGCCATTGACAATGAAGGCCATGAAAGACGGATTTCGGGTGTAAGCACGCAGTGAAGGCATGTTGACAATGAATCTATGAGTCCGTTGCTTGCACAACAAGCACAAATACAGGCGCGACGACGTGGCGAGGTTAATGAAGCTGGTACGACGATGTGACGAGCCCCGCGGTGGCTGCACTGGCGCAAACAAAGTGGGAGCTAGCAGCCCGCAGTGGCAAAAGTACAAGTGAGCCCGCAGTGGGTATTGGGGCAAACAGGTTCGAGCCAGCTGCCTGTGGAGCCACTATTGTCCAAACATCTTACGATTTGGCAGCCCTCCGTGCTTTCCAACAGTACAAACAGGTGCATGCGCGATAATTGCCCAAACGGTGCCCGTAGTGGCTGTATGTACAATAACACTATGGGCAGACTATGGGTTGGCAGCCCGCTCATGAAGTTAACAGGGCCCGCAGCCACTGTAGGTGGGCTGGCAGACCGAGGTGGAAGAGTGCAAACACGGTCCAGGCTAGCAGCCCGAGCGAGAATTATAATGGTGCAGAGAGGGTGTGGCGGCTAGCAGCGCGCAGGGGTTATAATGATACAAGGCGGGCTGCAGGCTGGCAGCCCGCAGCGGCAACAATGGCGCAAGCAGGGTGTGGGCTGGCAGCCCGCATGCGAGGAGGATGTGGCGGCGAGCAGACAGCAGTGGTTATATAAAATGGTACAAAGAGGGTGAGCGCTGGCAGCCCGCAATAACGGCGCAAACAGGGTGTGAGCTGCGGCGACTATAATTTAATGGTACCAAGACAAGGCCAGCAGCCCGCAGTGGTTATATTTGTACGAAAAGGCTGCAAGCTGGCAGCCCACAGCGGCAATAATGGCGCAAACAGGGTGTGGCGGCTAGCAGCCCGCAGTTATACTGACGCAAGCAGGGTGTGGCGGCGAGCAGCTGCTGGCCCGCGCGTTTAAAATGGGCACAAACAGGGCGTGGCAGTTAGCAGCCCACAGGTACAAAAAGGGTGCAGGCTGGCAGCCCGCAGCGGCTACAACAGGGTGTAGCAGCCAGCAGTCATCAGCAGTCCGCAAGTACGGGCTGGCAGCCCGCAGCGGCTAAAATGGACTGTCAGCCCGGAGCGGCTGAATGGCGCAAGCAAGGCCGCAGGGCGTGGCAGCTAGCAGCCAGCAGGTACAAAGAGGGTGCGGGAAGGCACCCCGCAGCGGCTAAAATGGTGCAAACAGGGTGTGGCAGCGCAGCCCGCAGCGGCTACAATGGCGCAAACAGGGTGTGGCAGCTAGCAGCTATACGCTAGCTGCGGGCTGCCAGCCCGCAGCGCTAAAATGGCTCAAACTCGACAGAGTGTGGCAGCGGGCGGGCTGTCAGCGCGCAGCGGCTAACATGGCGCAGACAGGGTGTGGCGGCTAGCAGCCCGCAGGTACAACGAGGGTGCGGGCTCGCAGCCCGCAGCGGCTAAAATGATTCAAACAGAGTGTGGCAGCGGGCGGGCTGTCAGAGCACAGCGGTTAAAATGGCGCACACAGGGTGTGGCAGCTAGCAGCCCGCCGATATACAAAGAGGGTGCGGGCTTGCAGCCCGCAGCGGCAAAAATGGCGCACACAGGGTGTGTCATGCAGCTAGCAGCCGGCAGGTGCAAAGAGGGTGCGGGCCGTCAGCCCGCAGCGGCTAAAATGGCGCACACAGGGTGTGGCAGCTAGCAGCCGGCAGGTGCAAAGAGGGTGCGGGCTGTCAGCCCGCAGCCTGCAGGTACAAAAAGGGTGCGGCTGGCAGCATTGTATAGCAGCCCGCTAGTACAAACCGCAAGTGCAAAGAGGGTGCGGGCTGGCAGCCCACAGCGGCGAAAACAGGTCAAACAGGGTGTGGCAGCTAGCAGCCCGCAGGTGCGAAGAGGGTGCGGGGTGGCAGCCCGCAGCGGCTAAAATGGCGCAAACAAGGTGTGGCAGCTAGCAGCAGGCGGTACAAAGAGGGTGCGGGCTGGCGCCCGCAGCGGTTAAAATGGCACAAACAGGGTGTGGCAACTAGCAGCCCGCAGGTACAAAGAGGGTGCGGGTTGGCCCGCAGCGGCTAAAATGTCGCAAAAGGGGTGTAGCAGCATGTTGGAGCTAGCAGCCTACAGCTGCAAAGAGGGTGTGGGCTGGCAGCCCGCAGCGGCTAAAATGGCGCAAACAGGGTGTGGTCTGGCAGCTGCAGACAAGATGTGGGCTAGCAGCCCAGCTGCAATCGTCCCAGCTACAAGGAAGCAAACTCAGACGTGTGAGTGGCATCAAGAAGGTCAGCGGCTTCAGAAGCATCAGCCGTTTAGGGTTTAGGATTAGGTTAGGATCTAGGTGATTAGACGAGGCTGCTGGACAACGAGGCCTCGTGCAGAATGATCTGGGTGGCGTTAGCGTTTCTAGGATGGCGCTAACGGCTTCAGAGTGTTCACAGTACCAACATAATTCGTCAATGGCTTCAGCAAGAACTCTTGGCTGCTGCAGGTGTTGACGGTGCCGGGCTACCCGAAGCCTCGCGAGGGCTATGGACAGGCTCTCGAATTAGCAGTTACAGAATGTTACAGACTGGCTCGCTCGCAATCGACAGCTTGAAGGGTTGGTTTTTGCACTGTTCCAATTGCTTCCTCCGAAAAGTGCTCCGCTTTTTGGATAGGCACTGGAAAGACTCGAGCCTGACACAGCTGCGGTCTCAGTGTCAAGACTCCATTCCAGAAACGGTTTCTGTCAACAGTTGCTTGATTCTTTTCAAGCCAGTGGCTCGCTTCAGGTCGTTGCCATCTCTTAGTCTTAGTTTCGAGCGCTTGACATCATCCCGAGAAGCAGCAGTGCTGTACCCACATTCTGTGACCAGAAGCCAATCCAGCTAGGCTTCACTACCGCAGCGGCTCTTCGTTCTGATAGTTCCTGGAAGCATGTCCTGTGGTATCCATCAGTGCAGATTTTGACAGTCGTCGGCGCGCGGCCGGCAGTGCGCCATGTCGCCGGCGGATCCGCTCCAGCAACTTAAGGATCTCTTCGATTGCTTCGACAAGGCACCCTGTGGATCTCCATCCGAGCCATTCGTACCCCGTAGTCGCCGTAGTCCTGGCATTGATGCACAGATGCTTGCAGAAGAGAACCGATGTTGTGCTGTCAAGTGACAACTGCCTGGTTCGCCCTGTGCAGAGGGCGAGTCAAGCTGCCCGGACATCAGTGGACCAAAGCTGTCGCAAGTCATGCGCACGCACATACACACGGAAACAGAAGGCCACTGTAGATGTGCTAACAGCGCAAGCAACGGCTGTGGAGCCATGAGTGTGCACACTCGGTGATTCTATGCTTGTGGCATGTGGCCAGTGAGGGTTTCGGCCGATTCTGGCCTTGGCATCGCAGGGCACCTTTTGACCTTCCGTTTTGCATAGCGGGACGCGCAATGCGATATATTGCCGCCGCCAGCACGTGCTGTTGGGACTGAGATCCATGCTTGCATGTCTTCTCTGCCTTACTTTGCTTGTCAATCCTCTCACAGATCCAAGCGGGTCCGCATCCAAATAATTTTCAGCTGTTGATCGATGCTGACTGTAGTGGAACTTTGTTGGCATGTAGGGTATTGCCTGATAGTGGAAACGGAAACCCTGGAAGGATACGTCCGGAGCTCTCTCCGTGCAGGGCCTCTCACACATCGCAGATTCCGACAGCAGGGAACTGCACGAGCTCCTGGTGGCCGCTGACATCAATGCCGATGGCGTCATTACGAGGTGCTTGGCGAGTGAATAGTCTCATCTAGTGCATCAACAGCAACTGTCTCGAACAACAACTTGTGAGCAAGGTCTTTCCACCATCGCAACTGCTTAACTATCGGGTCCGCATGTATAGGGCACGCTCCTGTTTGTTGCAGTGCCTGCACGGCTGTCCTTCTAATTTTTCCGATGATTTCGTGCCTGCTATGCCCCACGGGGTCGTTGCAGACAGCTGCAGGGAGGTGGCAGGGCTGATGACAGCATATTAGGAGTTTGCTTAGCCAAGAGCACCCCCATTGCTGAGGACGGAATGGGACCAACACGTCAGCTCCTGGTTCGAAGGCCACGAAGGCCGTGGGGTCCAAGCCATCCTGGATGCAGCCAGCGGCATCACCGAGGAGGCCGTGCAGAGTGAGAAGTTGCCGCACTGCCTGATTACCGATTACCATTCATGATGTCATGCCAAGCCACAGGTGCTGCAGACCAAGCGCAAGAAGGTCCGATCGAAGCGGCAGATTGCTGCGGTGTGGGATGGCGCCAGGCGTTGTCTTTTCAACTTGAGCCGATTTGGGCTGATTCTGTTCGGCGCACGCGTCTCTGAAGGTCGGACGGGGAAGATGAGATCGGCTGGTTCGGCCTGCCGGCTGTTGCATCGCAGGACCTTTCGTTCAAGGCCGAGAACCGTGCCGTTCCAATCGGCCAGAAACTGGAGGCACCGAGCTCCGGGCAAGTTTAACAGAGGTCTAAAGCTCTTCCAAACCCGAGCAAGTCGTAGCATCCAGCTCGTGAATCGCAATAAGGTGATGGTTGGGGGAAGCTGCTTCTTGTGCGAGGTGGCTGCATACGACGAGGAGCTTCATGGGGTTATATATATATATATAGAGCTAAACCATTGGAGAGCTTCTTGGCTGAATTCTGCCAGGAGAGGATTGCGATTCATGTTATTCATGTATTTCAATCGGAAGCTTGGGAAGCTCAACATGTCCACCTCCAGCATAGTTTTGGCTTTGGAATTACAGAGCACTTTCAAGATGGGACCCAAAACCAAAATAAGCCTCACGCCGTGAAGAGACACAGGATCAGGACTATCCCTACCTGCTGCAATTTCCTGCCAATGACGTGAAAGAGAAGCGCTGTGAATTGGCTGCAGGATTTCATCCTAGCACAGTTGTTCGTGCCGCGCAACGACGTTGCAGAACCCACTCATAAGAAGAACTCACATCGAAGAATCCTTGCTGGACGAAGTGCTACTACGACTGTACCGAGCCCGAAGGTATGATCGACGTGACCAGCAGCCGAATCATCGCTCCACTCTGGACACGAGAGAAAGCGCCTTTCCATTTCATCGATGCAGAAGAAGAGGTGTTTTGACCAGAACATGATGGGTCTTCTTTTTTTTGTGCCAGGCTCGTGCTCGGTCATCTGCATTCAGTGCTATTGGCCTAGAGCCTATGCCATACAGGCCTGCAGTTGTTGCAGACTCGACCAGGTTTCGCCGCTGGAAATGTTGACCAGCCATGCCAACGGCGAGCCGATCAGCCCTTCGCAGATGGTGAGCGGCATGGCTGAAAGCGTGTGCAAGCTTGCTTACCTTGCTTATATTGCTTGCTGCTCACCGGCACGTCTTAGAGAAGGCCTGGTTCGCCGTGCACGGCAGCAGTTCCAGAGCGAACCTGCGCTCCTGCGAATCCCCTTGCAAGGCCGAGGAGTTGCATGGGACTCGGGGTTGAGGGTTCGGCACGTCGAATGCCGCAGGTGCTTCTGTCTCCATCTTCGGCGACATCCACGGCAACTTTTCAGGCAGCTTTGGTTTCCTCGGTGGGCTGCAGAAGTTCCGAGAAAGTCTGTTCATCAGAACCTCAGCCATCTGTAGCTGGAAACCTGAAGTGTTTGCACCCTTGATTGCTTCAGAGCCCGAACCCCGAATCTCGTGTCACGCTGATTTTCCTGTGCCTGCATCATGACATGTGGTGAAGCATGTTGTGGGTAAATGGTGTTGTGATGCGATGTGTTGTTCCGTCCTGACAGGCTTCGCCAGTCTGGCGTCACAGCTGCAAGGATTCTGGGACCTGCAAAACTTTCCCGACAGCTTGTGGGTTGTAGATGTGTGGGTCTCTCGGGTCTTTGCTCTCTCGTGGCTGCTATTAGGACATGTGACTTGGCATTTTTTTGCTGCCCTCTCAAACCTGGATGCATGACTGCCCACAACATCTCCTGGAGGATCGGGGAAAGCTAAGCTCCTCGATGCTGTGAAGGATGCTATGCTGCAACCGCCTGCCGACATTGTCATCTTCCTGGGTGAACTCCCGCCGAATTATGTTGACAAGACTATGTGCTTGCTGGGTAGATGTTGTCTTCGTAGGCTAGACTTGAACCTCACTTCCGTCAAGGATTTGGTGGACCGTGGGGATGAGAATCTCAAGCTCCTGCTGACGGTCTTAGCTTGGAAGGCCAGAGCCAGGCTTTTGTTGACCTTAACCCCATCCGATCAAGTACCACGGTTTGGCCAGCCGATACTGGCTAGCGTGCTTGAACTTGTCTTGTAGGACGCAGTAGAAGTCCATCAGCTCTCCCGTCAACAGCAGCCGAAAATAGCTTGGAAGGTGCAGCATCCTGACCGGATTTTTCTGCTGCGCGGCCCCTCGGCATAGTCGCCTGAGCTGAGGCTGCTGTTTGTGCAGTGGGACTCTTTCGCCGTGGCGTTGCTGTAAGTTGACACTGGCGAGGCAATCATGAGGATGAGAACATCAACTGCCGCTACGGCTTTGAAAAAGAATGTAGAGAAGCCTGTCCGCAATGTTTTCCTGAACTGCCCCAAGCTGCAGGAACAGCCACTACGTGCCCTGCAAATTCGAAAAGACGCTTGCAGGACCTCTTCGGCGAAGACGGCAAGAAAATCTATCGTCAAGTGAACAACATGTTCAACTACCTGCCCGCTGCTTGCCATTTCGGGGTGAAGCCTTCTGCTTTTGCCAGTCGGGTGCAGCAGCTGAAGCAACCCATACCTGCCGGCTTGTCTTTGGTTGTTAATGTGTAGAGTATTTTGCACTTGGTCAACCAAGGTCGCTGCAGTCCTTGGTGACTTTGCCTTCTGCTGCCATGGCGGCCTTGGGCCAAGTATCCTATCTTTGGACGATGTCAGCCTGCTGGATGCCCACAAGCCCATCTCGCTAGAGGTGCATGGGAGGGTTAGATCCGGATGTCGTGAGAAGGAGACGTGATCACGAAAACGACCATGTGCCACTACGACGAGAGCAGTTCCTAACACGACTGCGGCAACCATGCATAGGCAGAGTCATGCATTCATGGCACGACTACCGGCATACACTGCAAGTCCGTGCTTAAAAAATGGCACGACTACAACAAGCGGTCTCGGAGACGAGGTGCCACCCAGCACCAACATGGACAAGACCGCAATTGACCTCTTGTGGGCGGACCCGTGCGAGGATTGAGCACCTGGCAAAGACGAGAGAAGCGTGCAGTGAAAGCTACTGCGCGATTCACGTGACCCTCTCCCTGGGCCAAGGATGGCCTGAGCGTTGCTGTGAACCTGCCAGGAGGTTGATGCTGATGTCAATGCTGACGGTTTCCCAGAAAATGCTGCACGAGGAATGGGACATGCTTCTCGGCGATGCGGACATCGGCCAACTTACTGCAGGATTAGTTTCTGCAAGCATCCATGCAGTGTCATGTGGCACCTTTTGCGGTATCATATTGTAGCATACAGTCGTTGCCGTTAGCATGTGCAGGCTTTGTTCTGTGAATTTGATCTGACTGCCGGATGATTCGGGATTGGGGCAGGTTTCCTGGCACACTGATCTGGCAGGTTTGGAACGCTGCAGCAAGCAGGAGATTCCTGGAAACCACGGGCCTGAAGATCATCATCCGTGGTCATGCGGCTCGCAAGACAATAAAGTGAAGCCGACGTCACCAGTATGCGCCGTTCAATCGACTCGTGTTGTTGTTTTGCAGGGCGCCTGTCTTAATGAACTCAAGGAGTGTGAGCCGGCTGGCTACTTGCAACTCAGCCGCAGCCGCCCGAAAAGTTGATTAGCTGAGACGTTCTGTGAGTTGAGTTCAGTCCATGCAGGTGCTGTGTTTATCCTGAGATGAAGGTACAACCATGACAGACAGGTCTTGACCATCTTCTCAAGCCCCGCCTACAGCAGCTAGGCTGTGAACGCCTAGAGGGCTTGAGTTCACAGCTGTGTGTAGGATAGTCATGATGGAAATTCAGTTGGAATCAGAAGCCTTGGTCAAGTTTTTCAGCTGTTAGGGCCCATAGGCTGCGATTCGCTTTTTGTACATCTGCTGCAAATAACCCGCGAAGCCCTCATGTTTATACCCTTTCCTGCCTCGCACGCGGCACGAATCGAGAGTTTTCCACCGTGCCACGAGGCGAAAATAACGACGCGGCAGTGGCAACTTTAGATGCATCTGGCCTTAGCAGCCTGAATTTTCTGAGGCGCCCGGCTCATGAGTTTTGCTTTTGCAACCATGGCATGTAGAGCCGGTGTTGTGCTATGTTGTGCTGTACAAGCAGCTTGCAAGTGCATTTTGCTGTTCTGCTGCTGGGATGAATCGGCTGTTGCGAGGGTGAATGCGAAGAACGAGCCAGTCTCGGCAGCAGCACAGCTGGAGGACACAGCGAACCTTTGCAAACCTGAACCTTGCTGACATTGGGTTTGTTATCGAGACTGTAGATGATTCAGCCATCTTCTTCTACTCGGATGTTTGATACTAGGTATGTGCTGATAGCGGAGATCTCCAGCTGCGCATAAAGGGCCGCATAAAAAGTCGATGGGTTCATCTTCCAACCACCGCACAGGACCGTGACTCCCTGCAAAGGAAGGCGAAGCCACGGAGTGTTTGCCAAGGCGTGCTGAGCGTGGCTTTTCTGCTGGGTCTGCCAGTTCCATAATTTTTCTGTGAATCGTGCTGAAAATTTTACCGATAGCATTGCGAAGGTTTGAGATCAGGTTCTCTCTTCTTGACCCACAGCTAGCTAGCTGGAGTCGCGGCCCACTCTAAGTTTGAAATGGCTGCGATGACGTATCGTGCTCCGATTTTGGCCGTTCTCCTGAATCCCACCAAGACATGAGGGGAGCTGTTGATCGCGTGAAACTGCACTGCCCCTGTGGTGTGACGATTCCTGCTCGGCCATGTCTCTGAATCCTGCGAGTACATGGGGGAAGTATTTTGGTGCGCTCCCGAATCCAGCAAGTACATTCCGGGAAGCATCTTTGTCGTACGTGGTCGTGCTAAATGAAATGACGCTGGACCGTGTGGTGCTTGACAACCCTCTCTTTGAACCCGCATGTCTCGTAAGCGAGAGTCTGTGCAAATTCCACTGCATTGGCCTCATGCTAGCCACCAATGACCAAGTGATAACCCTCTCGATGATGCCTCCCGTCAGAAGCAAGTGGGTCATCATCCTGAACCCCGCCAGCGCAAGAATCCTCGATCCCGCCAGTACATGGGAGAATTATTTTGGTCGGTGGTGGAGAGTTTGCAGGAGGGCTACAGTGGTTTCAGGGAGGTTTATGGAAGGGCGACAAGGGCTCATATGATAAGGGCTTATAGACAAGTTGAAAGAAGCTGAGGATTTACAGATGAGTTTAGAAAAGGTATATGAAATTGTTCATGGAAAGGTTTTCAAGGGTTTGACTTGAAGATTTCTAGGAGGGCTTCTGGAAAGGATTATAGAATCGTTTCTAGAAGGAGGCAAAAAGGGCTTATAGAAGGTTTGATAGACGGGTTGCTTGGATGTCTTGATGGATGGATGGAGTGATGGGTAGGCGGAAGGAAGACCGCATCCATGCATGGACGGAGGGATGAATCGATGGACGGATGTAGGGACGCATGCATACACGGATGGAGGGATGAGTGGATGCGTGTATGACTGGAGGAGTGGATGGATGAGATGTGTCGCGGTGCTGACTACCTCACTGGCCCAGGTGATTTCGGGACAGTCGTTCTAGTGCTTGTGAATACAGGAACTCGTGTCCAGTCTGCCATGGTTATGATATGCTATGACTGCTGTGGAGAAGGTTCATCAGCTGTCTCGTTCTACCATGTCCTTGAGCGAGGTATTTTTCCTAATGGCTTTGAAACTTTGTCTACGTCGCACTGATTTATGATCGCTTCAGCTTGCCGGCCGTTTGTTGCGCGTGCAAGTCTTTAGTTTTCGGTTTCCAGGCTTACCTGTCGTCATCTGGTACACTAGTCGCAGTAGTCGTTCACAGCATCAATTTCAAGCATTGTTCACGGGATCGTGGGGTCCGACTATGTTTAGCTCTTCGTTATGTTGTAATGTGCTCCGTAATTAATTCTACCGCCGAGCTATGCTAGGACATGCAATTATGCACTTGTGTTTTCTTTCACTGACCAATGGACAGGAACAGTGAGTTTTCCATCTGCTCACACTTCATGTTTTTCTTTTGCCAGCAGCCTTAGAATTATAGAGATACCTTTGTGCTCCTGTTGCGCAGCAGCTTTCCTAGCAGGCTTTATAGGTGCGTATTTGCGCATCTCATTCGGAGTCTCGATGTGTCGCACCTGCAGTTTCATGATTCATTCCCAGAAGACTTGCCGAGGTTGTGTCTCCTTCTGAGAGTGCTGGCGAAAGGCTGGTCCAAAGTGGCTAGCTGTTTGTTGAGAGCTTATGCAGTAGTCGGCGCTTCAGAAAGGTGCTCTTATTGAGGCACTCGGCGCACCGCGCTCCAAAAGGTGAAGAGGGCTTCGTGCGTCTTCCCTCAGCCGTAAACATTTGGCCTGCGCTGAGGCACATTCCGGCGAGAAGTAGTAGGAGAGCCTGAGCACAGATATCAAAGGAAGGCAAAATCCCCACAGCCTAAATCCCAAAAGCCCAAAGCCCCGGACGCAGTCGCCTGGAGCCTTGCCTGCGAGCGTGAACGTCGAAACTCATTGCGGACTGGAGTTCAGAGTTGAGAGTCCAAACTCCAAACCCCCATATCGCATCCTGAAGACAGACCGAAGAAGCCCTAAGTCTCTCATTGCACCCAGGCTCCCGGCCTCTACGGCAAGGTTCGCTCGGCCTTCCGCCGTTTTCTTGGCGGATCCAAGACGGCGCAGGCGGCAGCAGGGTTTTTGGTTTCAAAGCCGCTGCCGCAAACGACTCGAGTCATAAAATTAGTGTTCAGAACAAGAATAGCGTTAATCGATGTTAATCGTGCCTAAAACCAGTGATGATAGCAATGACCTGACGGGGTAAACGTATACAAACAACACAACGTGTCTAGAGTCCAGATCGACATCACAACACAACAGTGTAAGAACACAATGGCGGCGACGACAACGACGACAACGACACCTAGACCGGCACCGACACTGACACCGACACTCCCACCGTAGCCGTTTTAGCTCAAGTTTCGGATCGATTCGCCCGAAGGGTTCTAGCCGTAGGAGTCAGCGACCCAACGGTATAGTTCTGCACAGTTTGTGAGCCTTGCCGGCGCGCGTGTGTCGGGCACCAGGTGTGGCTCCTACAAGGAACGAAAGCTCAGGCAACTGCTGGGGCGTCTCCGGTCAAAGGTGAGGTGAACGACGGTTTCATCAAAAGGATCCGGGCCCCGGCCACATGGCCGAGTCCAAGGTTGAGACTGCTTTGCCTACTCTGTTGAGCGATGCTGAGGTCAACAGACAGCACCAGCCGCGCGCGAACCTCACTGCCCAAGGTCGTGCCGCTGGCCCCCCTGCTACTGCCGTTTTGGACTGGCATTTGGCAGAGGGGTGCCCAGCCTCCTGAGTTGCAGACTTCCCAGCGACCCTTGTCTCCCGAGTGCTGGGCAGCTCGCCAAGCGCGCCAAGCAGATGAGAGCCTCGAGCGCCGGGCTTGATGGCTGGAGAGGCCACGAGCTGGCCGATCTCCCTCACGAGGTTTTTGAGTACTTTCGCAACGACGTGTCCTCTTGGAGCGAGAAGCACAGCTGGCCCACAAGATGGATTGAGATACGCCAGACACATCTCAACAAAGTCCAGCAGTCGGGGGCGGGCGCTGAGTCGATGCAAGCCAAAGACATGCGTCCAATTTCCGTATTGTCAATTTGGTATCGTTTGATTTCTAGCACAATCGTGCCTCCGGGCTTACTGGCTGCACTCCGGGCTTAATTACCGAGCTAGCTCCTTAATTAAGGATTCCGCAGCAGAAATCCACCCAAAAAGTAGCGCCGAACCCCTGAATTGGGTTCGGCGCTGCTTTTTGGGTGGATTTCTGCTGCGAAATCCTTAATGACGGAGCTAGGTCGGTAATTAAGCCCGGAGTGCAGCAATTAAGCCCGGAGGCCCGGGAACTAGCAAAAACAGTCGCCCGATGGTAGTTGCCGGGCCACCGGGCTTAGTTACCGAGCTAGCTCGGTAATTAAGATCCGGCCCGGTTGCGGCAGCACAGCCACCGGGCTCAATTACCGAGCTAGCTCGGTAATTCTATCGCTACGCGGCCTGCCTCGGCTGGCGGCTCCAGTCGTGCCAGCAGCGGCGCACCGCAAGCAGCAGCGGGCACAGAAGGAACACAAAAAGTGAGAACAGGGCAGGAAGGGGAAAGGAGAACCGAAGGAGAAGAGCAATTGCAAAAACACGCGAGCGAAAGCAGCGGGAAGATGGAAAAGGCGGGAAGATGGAAAAGTGGCGGGCGAAGATGGAAAAGTGGTAAACTGGTAAAAGATGGACAAAGAAAAGAAGGAAATGGAGCAAGGGGAAGGAGGGAGCCTGGGGCAGGAAAGCAGCCGGAAGGTGGAAACGGTTTCTTGTGCGCAAATGGTGATCCTCGACGGGAACTGGATTCCCATGCGGTTCAACCGTGTGTCAAGTTAAATACTACAGTTCAATCACAACCGACAGCACCACCGCCACCGCAATCACAAACACCACCACCACAACCGCGACAACAACCACCACCACCACCAGCACCACCCACCACTAGCACCACTAGCACCACCAGTGCCCGCAGCAGCAGCAGCAGCAGCAGCAGCAGCAGCGGCAGCGGCAGCGGCAGCGGCAGCGCCAATATCGAGAATATTCGCAGTCGCAAAACATGAGAATAAAGATGTTAAGTGCAAGAGCAGTAGCCAGAGCAAGAGTACGAACAATGGCAGGAGCAGCAACGACACCATGGAAGTGGTGACGGTGATGACGACGGATGGCGGTCATGATGATTGAGATGATGAAGATGAGGATGTGGATGTGGATGAGGATGATGGTGATGAGGCATGGAAGGCGATGCTTTTGCGCAAAATTGGGATCGTAGCCTGGTCTAGAACGAACGTGTTGTCAGCATGTTTGTTCTGGATAGGTCATAGAATCACAACATTGGACATTCTTCCGGCAAGGGCATCGGAAAGCCTGTTGAAGCTGAAGTTGGCACACGCGTGCCGCATGCCACTCGTAGCTGAGCGCAGAATCGAACCGCCTGCAGCGGCCAGTCTCTTGACAACCAGACTTTTCAGGCTGCCACCTACGGCGTGCTGCAGCAGCTCCTTCCCGGCGAAGAGCAGGCCATGTTGGAAGTCGTGTTGGCTGGAATGGATAGGGTTGCAGATCATCGCTGGTTGTATGCGGAGACTGACATGTGAGTGCAAAATACACAGAGTAGTGCACAACAAAACGATGTGGAAAGGTTTGATTCGGTTTGATAGTGTCAGTGTCGAGACCATCATTGGGTTGCTGGAGAGGACAGTGCGGGCCTGGCCATGGGTCAGACGTACGAGCAGTACGACAAGAAGGACGTTGAGTGTTCCATGGGCCTGACGGGGCATGGCTCCCTTTGTTGGGCTGTCGGCTGATGTGTGACAGATGGTAAGTTTCGACACTGTTGGAATCGCGTGTTGTGGCCTCGCATAGTCACAGAACATGTCCAGATACTGCGAGGAGCAAGGCCGGCTTGGCCCCCGTGGTGAGGAGAAAGTGCCTCAGTTTGCAACGGAATCGTAGTTGAAAAGCTTGCCATTTTCCTCTGGAGTTTGTGGTGGGCGAAGCCCTAAATGCCATAAGCAAACGCTCGCGCAGAATTTGCTCTCTGGGCTTCCCTTCCACTCTCCAATTTTCGTCGCGGAATTTTCAAAAGTTCTCTGTGACACTTTACTGCTGACAGACATCGGTCGATCCGATGGACCATATAGATATATATATATATATAGACTGTTGCGTTCTGCATGTCGGGCACGGAAATCTACGCACGAAAACAGTGACTGAGCGTTCCTATACCGGTTTTGGTGAGCTGAAGTTTGCTCGCTCGCATCAGTCCGGAATGCTTTCGTCATCTTCTGTAAACTTCGACCAGCTACTCCTGGCTGCCCGGCAGTGACTGTGCCAGGCTTCGAGGTGCAGCGGTTGATGTTACGGTACATGTAGCATACGTGGAGATGCACAAGCGGTCATTGGCTGACCATTGTCCCCGGTGAGGGAGGTTCAGTGGTGTAGTGAGTATAGTGCATCTTGCAGAGCGCAGTTGTGCAGCATTTACCCCGCAAGCTTAAGTTTCACAAGCGATGGCGCTGGCGTGACTTCACAGTTCGAGGCAGTTCTCCAATAACACCGGTTCTAAGATCGGAACTCAGACATGAGAGAAGTTGGAGCCAGGCTCACGAGGATGCGCCCTGGACCACTGGAGCAGGGGCCTTGGCTTCAACCCAAGTTCAGCACGGGCACATGATTTCGGTTCAGTGCCTTCCATGAGATAACCTGTCAGACCTCTAGAGTCGCTTAAATTGCTGTGCGTGCACCTCAGCTCGATTGGCTTCGAGCATCGTCCCGGGAGTCCTTGCCCCAAGCTTCTTTCGGTCCCGAATCGGGAACCGAGCGAAGCCTGGAAGTCAGGGAAGAACTGAGAGGGACCTCCGCGGGACATGAGTGAAGCCGCTGTGCCCAGCGGCTTCCGCTGGCTTTGGTTGCATGCAGCGACTCGGCAAATATACTCCGCTGCGGTGACCGTCAGTGACTTTGACGGTGGTTTGCGACACTGTCTTCGTATGTGCTGTCTCGACTGGACCCACAACACTAAGCCGAAGCTTGAGGCAACCCTCTTTGGCTTTGCTTTCTTGCCATCACTCCTCCAGCACAAGGGGTGTCAAGCTTCTGCCCCCTTAATCCTCGCTTTCACGACCGCCAAGCTTTTCTTCAATCTTCTTTGCTGTTTACAGTTATGACAGCCCACAAAATTCAGGGAGGAGTGTCTAGTTGTATGCACACGCCAAGGCTCCGCCATGTTGAGTAAGATTGCCACCATGATGTGCACCATGCTGCCTGCCGACCTTGCCCATTTATCTGTGTTCGTGGCTCTTCAGCTAAGGTGCACACGAGCGAGAGCAGCAGAAGCTCCTCCTCTTCCGCCCCGGCGCCTTGGACGCTTCCCGCGTCGGAAGAGGCAGGGCTCGACCAGTCGGCGGCCCTTGAGGCCTTGAGGGTCAAGAGAGCTGTTCGCAGGGTCCAGCAAACGCTTGTCTTCAGGCGGCATTTAAGCTGCGAGGTCGGCATGCTGCATGGCTGCACCTCAGAAACCTATGGCACGCACCGCGCAGTCGTATCATGCCGCATCGCCGGGTGAGCAATGCCCTTACCTGTTGTTATGACGGAGTTTCGCAGTCCAACTCAGAGACCTGCCGTGCTTTCTGTGGCTTGCGATCCGGGGGCCTCACTGGCATACTGGCACAACAGGTAACTCGATTTTGTGGCATGATGTGGTAAGTCTTGCTGCTCCTGGTTCTAGTTTAACGAAATGAGCTTGCTCGTGGCGGGGTCGGAGGTGTTCTTCTTTGATAGTATAAGACTCTGTCAACGGCGTTTTGCAGCCTCAGCCACCTTGGTCTGATGCACCCGGACGCACCGAACGGTCGTGCTTCGAAAATCATGGACCGAAGCCGATTCAACATGAGAGGAATGCTTGGCCAACCTTCTGCAGCGGGCAGCATCAGGTAGCCCGCTGTCCACGGCGACTTGGAATTGCAATCGTAACCCGCAAAAGTGCACGTCAAGCACGCCTGGCAGCATGTTTGACGGGCTGGGATTCGTTAAGACTGTCTCGCTCAGCAAAGGCACGGTCGGCTCCTGACGGCACGCCGGCAGAGGCGTCCGGGGCCGGTCATGTGACAGCACACATAAGCGCCCCTACGCGCTGTTCACACGGAGCACTGCATCTAATTTCTGCGAGATTGATTGATCCGATGGATGTCGTGTTGTTGCCATGCAGCTTCGAACGACTGACAAGAAGTCCAGGCAAAGGCGACATGCAATCAGCAAAATGCTTCCAAGCGACCGTGAAGCAATGATAATGATACTTCAGCGAATAGAGACGAAGCAGCGGCACGACTGCTCTTTCGAAGCCATGCCGCAAGTGTGGCCTATTCTCGGTACCATGACCTTCGGAGTCGAAGGCCAAGTGAAGCCAGATGCTGTGACCACCATGCTGCGGAGCTTTGTGGGCGCAAGCTCGACGAAATCACCAGCAGGCGCCATGATCGACACTGCTCGTATGTACCAGCAATGTACACCAGACGGTGATACTGAGACGACTCTAGGCCAAACCTTTCAGGCTTTCCCTTCTCTTCTGTCGCGGTGCACAATTGCCACGAAGGCTGCCAAAGCGGTGCCGCCTCATTACTCACTATCTAAGGCCTCGGTTGTAGAACAGTGCAATGCGTGCCTGCAGAAGCTCGGAGTGGACTGCCTTGACCTGTTTTATTTACATGCGCCAGATATAACAACAGACATCGATGACACGCTGGATGGAATAGCTCACTTGCACTCTGAAGGCAAGATCAAAGAGTTCGGTTTGTCAAACTACCCAGCTTGGGCTGTCGTGGATATATGGTACAGATGCAAGGCTCGTGGCATCGTCCTTCCGACAGTGTACCAGGGCCCGTACAGTGTCATCGCACGGGACATGGAGCGTGAAATTGTGCCGGTGGCGCGCCAGTTTGGACTCAGGCTTTACATGTACAATCCATTGGCTGGAGGCCTGCTGACGGGAAGGTATAGGACTCTGGAAGACATTGAAAGGGCAAGCTCTGGCCGCTTCTCCTCTGACTTCGACAACGCATTCGGCAAAGGTGTAAAGGCTGGAACCGATGTGTACCACAAGCGCTACGGCAACAAGGCGATGGTCGAGGGTGTAGGCATCCTTTTGGAAGCCTGTGGGCTGAAGGAGAGTGAGCCACCTGTGGAGCCAAAGGTGGTCGAAGACAAGACCAGCGTGATCGATGGGCGGCGAGTTCGTGTAGTGGTCTCTGAATCAGCCACCGCGCAAGGAAGCTCAGTCAACCTGGCCAACGTGGCTCTCCGATGGCTGATCCACCACTCTATGCTGACCGATGGGGACGGTATCATCCTCGGAGTTTCCAAAGACACGCAACTTGTGGCAAATTTGGCTGCTCGGCAAGGAGCAACTAGGTACGGGCCAGCTTCATTTGCCGAAGTAGGGATAGACATGGCCTTGCAATGGTCTGTGCGGGTCGCACATGGAGCGCCGCACACCGCAATCGAAGACAAACACAACTCCATCCTGTCGCTGTGTCCCAAACAATACAAGTGTAGTGAAGGACGCCGAGTGGAAGGTGTGGGTTTGCGGGGTCCTGACCAATCGGTTTTGCTTCTTTCGAAGGTCGCAGTGGTGGGTGAGTGCAGGACCAAGGAACAAAGACATGAATGAGCCCGAAGCCTGTCATTGCGGCTCCGGAGTCATGGCTGTGAAGCGGACCAGCCATTCGAGATCACGCGAGTGTTTTCTGGCTCCTGACCAGCGAAATGTCTCGACAAATCGTACCAAACCGACACGCGGTGGCTGAAAGGTTGCATGCGAAACGAACATGACATAACATGACCTATGGCGGACATGCTGTCTGCAGCTGGTTCACATGCTGAGAAAATTATCGGCAGAGACCGATACTGTGAGAGCGAAAGAGGTTAAACAAGAAAGATAGCTTCGAAAAGCAGGTCAGAGAGAGTAATTAGGCAGGCTGGACAAACTGTGCTAGTTTGGTTTGCAGTTTCCTTACAGGTTGTTTACAGGTTGGTTTGCCCGTTCGTTGACTTACCTCGATGCACGGTGTCCAGTCGCCTGTCGTGACAACTTGAGTTCTTAGGCTGCGTGGCAGGGTGGGCCCTTGCCCAGCGACCAGCTCGCAGCGTGCGAGCGTGCTTGGGAGGCTGCCCGCCCGGGCTGCGAGTCTTACTTCCGCGGCTATGGAGCTGCACCTGGTGGCATCGAGCAGTTCTTAGCCCTCTGTGCAACGAAGACGCCTGAGGCTGAGGAGCCGCCAGAGAAGAAACACAAAGCAAAGGCGTAATGAAGCCAACTTCATCTTGTACGCCAAGCCGCAAAGACGAGGCATGTATACTTCCCATGAAGCAGCTTTTCACCAATCCGGGACGTGGCATTGGTGGAGAGCGTGCCCCCGCCGCGCGCGCGGGCGTGGAGAAAGAAGAACGAACAAGCCGTATAACCTGCCTTGCACATACACGTCACACAGTGTGCCAGATGGGCGAACCTCGCTGTAACAACATTGTGGTCATGTTGTGGCCGGCATGAAAACTCAGTGATACTGAGTGACTGTATCGGGTTTGATCGAGTGCAGGCTGGCTTTCCAGGAGCTTCGGAACAGGGCCCGGCACCTTTGAAAGAACGATTGGGGAATTGGGAATGTGCCGACCGAGATTTTGCCACAAGTGCAGGCCGAGTCTTTGCTTGATGCAGGTTTTCGTGCTCGGTGGAAAGGTGTCAGTGTAGTGAGCAACTTTCGGTAAGGCCCGCGACACTGCGTGCTTAATGTCTTGTGTAGCTTGGCCACGGTCCGTCGTTTTAGTCACAGTGGGGTTATTGAACGTGAGGTTCGTCGTGTTGGGGCTTTGAAGAGTCTTCCGCACACCCAGGTGCTCTTCTTCTCCGAGGGCCGGCTGCAGGGTGCCAATGCGGCCACAGGGGAGCGGCACGGTGCACGGTGTTCTGGGATGTAGAAGCAGCAAGTGAGAGATCAGAGATGCCGCAGCCTTCCTTGCGACCTTGCGAGGAGACCACGCTGTCCGTGCCCCTCCTCATGGCCGATTTAGTTCACGTAGCGGCAGCAAAATCTGCTGAGTCGGCCCTTCGGTTGCGAGATGGAGCACAGGAAGAGGTGTCGAGAGAGCATGTTGAGGTGCTGCGCAAGCTTGGTTGATATGCAGGGTGATGCCAATTGGACACTGCTTGCCGTTAGAGGATGGAGCTGCCGTACTTTTTTGCTATGTCGACTGGCCTGGTAAGGAGCGAGCCTGGTATCTGCTTGCCCTGGCACCGCGGCGGTGTCCTGATAAACCTGTGGAGGGTGAGCCTCCATCGATGCCCGGTATGCATCAGCCATTCTGTAGCACTGTAGCACTTCGAACGACCGCAGGCTGGATTGCTGACATGTGAACTCGAACCAAGCCGCCTTAGACGACTGCACCCAAATCTAGGACAGAAGCTGGCGACCTGGCGCCGCTCCAGGGCGTGTGGCTACTCTACACAGCGCCCGTTGACCACAGAGCCTTGACTTTTCAGCACTGCCTCGAACCTTCGACGGCGAATCAGCGTCTGTTTCAGGCGACTTCCTCAGACTCCTTTTCGAGTTCGGTAGCCGCGGTGCTCTGCGCATGGGTCTCAGGAACTCATGACACGGCATGACATCACTGGCCCGAATGCAGCGTAGCCGCAGTTCTGTGACCTCAGCCAAGGTTGGGATCTGCACGAGTGCTACACTGTGACGGATAAGTCTCTCGGTGTTGGCGGCTGCGGCACAGTCTACCTAGGCGGTTTGAGAGAGAGAGAGAGAGAGAGAGAGACAGACCACCGGGACTTGCCTGTCAGGGGGACTCGCTGTCTTGTCACGTCCCTCCACAAAGCCCCATAACATATGGGGGGCCCATGCAGCCGAGGGGCCTAACCAGCCCTTCAAGCCCAGTGGAAGAAGACCAGCGGGAAAACATTCACCTTTTCACTCCTCCAGAAGCCCCCATGAACATCGGGGGGGGGGCCTACAAGGCCGAGGGGTTTCGAACTCCCCTCATGCCCCGGGGAAGAAGAAGAGACAGAGAATCTGAAGCCCCAAGCAAAGCAAAGAGAGAGTCTGGCTTGATCTCTAGTTTGAAAATGGTGCTTCAGCTCGTTCCAACTTTCTAAGCTGAAAGAAGCTCTCAAACAAACAGCAGCTAAGCCGCACTCAGCCGCGTGGCCAGGGCAATCCCGGATGCGCCTCCCCACGCAGAAGGATGCAGCGAAGGTCGATATCCCGGCCGTGCCTCAGGTGCGGAAGCCGAGCGTGCGATTTGGCAGCGGGTGCAGATAGCCTTGAACAGGTGGCTGTGAAGAAGCTGAACAAGTCCGGTGGAGTTACAGCGGCTTTCTCAAATATTAAGTCCGTCCGGAATGACAGAAGAGAAGTGACTGTGCCGCTTGCCTGTCGTTCTGAGCCAAGGAAGAGATCAACATCAGGAGCGAGATCGAGCCAGTCGGCCGCACGATGCTGCATCTTTCTTTCTGCCAGTTGGTTGGAAGGTGTCAAACATGTAATGTCCCAAAGGTTCTTAGCAGTGGCTCGGGGTCATCCCTGCATCTCTGCCCTATTTGGCGTCTTCTGCTTCAACGAACTGGGTTCTGCAGACTCTCGGCTTGGCCAAGAAGGGTGTCTGCAGCTCAGTGAATGTGCTGTGACTTTGGAAAGCTTGGAGTTGCAAAAGGGAGAAGTAATGGCCGGTTCGGTTAGGTGTGTAGCAGGTTAAGTCGGTTGAGTTCGGTTGGTTTGCAAGTGCTGGTTGGCTTGGCAGCGTCAGCTGCCAGCCCAGGAGTGGCAGTGTTGCGGCATCGGCAGGAACCAGCCATCATCACTGCACCAGCCAGAGCCCGCTTTGTCTGATTGTGGCTTTCGACAGTTCGATTCGCTTTGATGGCCTTTCGCAGCGGCTTTGCGCGCATGTCAGCTCGACGGTGGGCAATATTTCGAAACCACGACCCACAGCGCATGCGTGCGGGATGAACTGAACACAAGTACCGGTTCTGCCAATAGCCGTGGCAGACGCTCGTGTGATCTCGTGTGTAAGCCAGCTTGTCGAGCACTGCATCCGGAGATACCGGTCAGAGCTGAGCCGCTGCCCAAAAAATGTGCCCAGGAGAACCAGTCTTGCGATGATGTGGTTGATGGTGATACTGTGGACGATGGGCGGCGATGACACTGACGATGTCGCCCATATTCTGGAGACGTGTCTACTGGCCGTTTTGTCTGCGGCACAAGTGCTTTAAGTGACAGTAGCTGCCAATCAGCAAACCGGGAAGCCCTCCGAGAGACTGTGAGAAAGTGCTGACGATGACGATCTTGGTGGTTGCGATGACGATAGTTTCTTTTGCCAATCCGTGCCTTCTGTGCTGGGATACGGTATCCGCTTCTTCGAATTAGCACGCCTTCTGGGCCTTTTGTGCAGCCTAGGACACCAAGAGGGGCCACTCCATTCGGTGGACGATCGTCATGCCTTTGCCCCACAGCTGCAGTTCCTTCAGGTCGAGAGCTGCCTGCTGCTTTCTATCTCAGCTTTTGAGGTCTCTTCCGTGTTGCAGCGTTGCATGTCCCGCTGTGCAAGCAGTCGTCACGAGGTATTCAGAGGGTGACCTGTTCGACTACCTTGCCGCCAACGGTGCCATGAAAGAAACTGCAGCGGCTACGCTGATGCCTCCCGTCCGATTTTTCCGAAATCCCAATGTTGCACTAAGTACCAACCGGGAGCCTTGCTGTTTGCTGATTGCTGGAAGATGTTTCAGCACCAGGCTGTGCCTGCTGTCGGCGCTCACCCATCTCCACCGCCTGGGCGTAGTTCACCGGGACGTGAAAGCTGAGAACATCTTGCTGGCCGGGCGGTAGGTCTTGGAAAGATGTTTGGGGCCATATAGGGCAGCTTCTCACGAGAGAGATCTCAAGCTCAAGTTCCATATGAAGCTCCAAAGGGCTAGCAGCAAGGAGCCTAAGGACAAGCATGGCCGCGAAATTCTGAGCCACAGTCGAAGTGAACTTAAGGCGCTTAAGGCTTATGTTGGCGGATTTTCGGTCAGGGCAAAAGCAGGCATTTGTCTTGCAAGTGGCGAGGCCAACAACAAGGCGGTTCTGTCCGACGTTGGCATCGCGGCATTCTTGAAGGATGAAGAGGCATGACGCATATGACGCATTTGCTGTGGCAACTACGGATTGTCTCCACCACCTTCTTCAGAGGCCATGCAGCGCAGAGTGGGATCCCCTGGCTACGCTCCGCCCGAAGTGGTTACAGACCTCCCATACGTGGCTTGCCCAAAGTGCAAGTACCACGCGGCATTATCCGGCATTCTGTTGCTTATTACTACTACAGACATGTGACAGACTGGCTGCTCCATTGCATAGTCTGAACAAAGGACGAGAAGGTCGACGTGTTTGGTGCTGGAGCCGTGCTGTATTTTGCTTTGAGCAACACTCTCCCCTTCCCGGGGAAAACGCTCAAGAAGGCCAGTGAAGAACCAGGGCTGCACGATGTGCTCCAGCATGCCGCTTCTACGGTCGTCGCCTCGTTCTCGCATACCTACCAGACTTGCAGCTACACAGCTCCAGTTTCACGGCTGTGACGCAGCTTGTTCCCCGACATCTGGGCCCGTATTATCATTCAATCTTCAGACGTCTCGCCGTGCACCGGGCCCCAGCCAGCGATGTTTCTGATCGTGACAGACATGAGCGAAGCGCCTCCGAATCTGAAGCCACCCGTCGGAAGGTGCTGGAGCTGACGGCGCGCACGCTGCCTCGGTTTGGAGTGTTTTTTGGGGTTTTTCTTCAGATTCCGCAGAGCCTGTCGAAAGGGCGAAGAAGTCCATGCTGGAGTACTTGTCAGAGTCAGTGAGCAATCGAAATCGACAGTCGATAACAAGCCGCCAAGATGACGGTACTCGTTGCCGAGGATGCAAGGTGAAGTACGACGCGGCTCTCTTTGGCGATTTTTCTGGTAGTGCCAGCCTCAGAACTGCTTCGACCTGCTCCTCTTCGTGGCATGCGTCGGGATCTAGTGACTGAATCTAGGGATGCAAGAGTCGGGTCCCGGTAGGCATACATCGCAGCCCACGGAGCCGACCAAGGTATCATCCAGCTGCTGAAAGCTTTGTTGCAGAAGGATCCGTCGAAGCGGCCCTCGGCAAGGAAGTCCTTCAAGGCATTATGGACCATGGCCAGCCAGAGCCAGTCTCTCAGTGCAAGTGCAGTGCAGAGGCACGGATTAGAGTGGCAGAGGCGAGTGGTTTGGGGAACATGTGAACTCACTCTCACTCCAGCCGCTGCCAAGAACCTGAAATCGCCAGAAGCAGTGTCGCTCGGATCACCTGGCAGGCCCGGGGCTTCAGGCTGTAGGGGTGAGAGGGTGGGGATGCAGTGCTGCGCATCTCGCGTTGGGAGGCTGTAGAAGATTTTGAGAGCTTGGCTTCCACTGGCCTGGAGTCGATGAGAAGCAACGGCCACAAGCCCGAGAGGTGCACACCTTAGAGCCTGCGAGAATTAGGGCCTGAGGCCCTGAGGCGTGAGCCACTGCTTTGCAGCCACCGGGTGCCAGCCAAGGTTGGAGAAGAAGATCATGAGAAGCTCAGCTTAAAGCCAGAATGTCTCAGTCATCAGACACGCAAGCATTACGCTCGTATGTACTCCTGTGCCATAGACAAAGTGCAGCTCGGATTCTGCTATTCGCTCAGCTATATGTCCTTTTCGCGTACAAGTGTCGCGGGTCACCCCAGGAACAACATCAGACAGAGAAAACAAGACTGTGCCTTGGCAAAGACGTGAAAGAACCATTTCTCCCAGCTGTGGAAGCCAGCACGTCGTGTGCCTTGTATCGAGGCTCCAACGCTGGAGGAAGAGCACCTGGGCCTGAAAAATGAGCATTTGTTTGCCCGCCACTTTCAGTGTAAGCTGAGAAGGGGTTTTGTGTGATTTTGCTTCAGGAGGTGGTCTTGGGAAGGAAAACTTGACGGCGAGACGATGTACAGTTTACATGAACACAGACCACGTGCGTGCGTTGTAATTCCTGTGGTCACATCGGTCTCGTTTGCCTGTGAATTTGATTTTGATATCTTCCTCGCGCTGTCTCCGTTTCTCCCCGGCAAAGCTTGGCCTGAGGTCTCGGGGAGGATCGAAGGACCCATGGAGTCTCGGAAAGGGATGTGAACGCTGTACAGCCACTGTTCCGGTCATGGTCACGCAAGCAACTTCCCCAGTCAGCTGCGGTGGCGGCCTGCCTTGAATGTCCCGACTCTCGTGGTGTTTTCCGCCTCGCTTGGCAGACGCTCTGGCCATGTCGCAATGTGGCAGGAGGGCCCGGAGGCCCCGGCGAAGCCCTCTCCCATCACAGAAGGACAGCAACTGATCGTTCGACTGCAAGGGTGGGTTTGTGGGACAGCTCCTTGGAAAGCAGGAGAAGCTGGATCTAGTCCAGCTGCATCAGCATCTCCTCAAGGCAAGCCCGAGTATCTTGGTTGCGCTGTGTGCCGTTTCGTGCCGCGGAATTCGGAAGAGGAAAGGGAGTTCGTGCACTGTCGGAATTGTTTTGCTTTGCCAAGGCTAGTTCCTGTTCCTCCATCTGGGCCGAAGCCAACCTCGAGTGGTGGGACCTTCTCATACCTCAAGGCCAGCTTGCAAAGTCGTGTTGGTATGTGCTGGCAGCAAACTGCACTGTCACATTCGCTCCATGCAGAACCGCCTGGGGTGGAGCAAGTCGTGCCTTGGTCAGAGTGTCAGAGAAGTGCGTGGCGACCTGGTTGAGTCTCGTAGCATCCCAGGCCTCAGGTGTCCGATGCATGTTGGGGCGGTTAGGGGATGGCACAGGGCAGCAGTACGTCGGTACGTCGGTACGTGTCACTTGACTTTTTTTTGTCATTGAGGGTCCGGTTCGGCCTCACCTCTCACGGATTTCTCGAGGTCCGGAGGCGGAGGAGAAAACTCGCAGGCCTGGGGCACGGTATGTTTCTTTCACAAAGTGGACCCTTAAAGCTGCAGATGGTGCGGTCCGATGTCGCATGCAGAGTTGATGCAACCGCTATGTGGTGAAATCGCACTCTTGCGCGACTATTGTGGCTGCTTGTCTCTTCTGTTCCTGATCAGGGGATGAACCAGTAACCTGCAGGAGTGAGACCTTCGGCTGCAAGAGCTGCACTTGGATGTGCGAGTTTCCGTGTCGGACACATTGACGCTGACTTCGTACAGTATCATTCCCACGTCAAACAGAGCTGCAAGGTAATTGAGTGGCCAGCAGGTATCGACGCTTCACAAGGTGCACATGTTTCTCCCCGACTCAGGTCACAAGCCACAAGCGAAGCGAAGTGATGCTCTGCGCAGTCAACAGCTTTCATGTCCTCGAAAGGTCCGGCATCGCGAAGCGCACAGCTTCAGTGATGTGCATGTGTCTGCCGGTAGACGTTGCCATCATGTACAGGAAGCAAACAAAGGCATCTCCCAGCAGGGAAGTCTTCTCTGGGAAAGAAGCGAAAACCCAAGCAGTCTTTCCCGTCAGAACATTAGGATTTGGATCTCCAAACGGAGACTTGCAAAAGCAGCCGGCGCAAGAGAAGCTCTCGAACAGCATGCGCTTGCACCATCAAATACATCCTGTACTTCGTGCCATGGAAAGATTTGCTGCATGGTTTTCTGCAGGTTGTCTTTGCCGGTTGCATCCGCATGTATTCTGCCTGGTCGCATGCGCGACTGACGGCTTTTTGAACACTGCATTCCCGAGAATTTGCCCACACCATGAAGTGGTGGCAGCTAATAATTTTCATGCACTGAGACAGGAAAGGCTGCAGTGCGGCTTCCCCGTCTGCCTGCGGTCGGTTTCTGTTACACACAGCTTCCAGCATCGTTTAGCTGCATTCACAGAGTTATACGGGTCCAGGACGTTTGGCAGCCACGCAGGCATACCTGTCAGCAGTGCACAGCGGCTCAACTGAGATTGCCACAGCAGTTCTGGAAGCGTCCGGATCATGTTGGCACTAGGTTGGTTTTACTAGATGTGCCGGAGTGCCAGTTTTGCTGAGAGGCGTGAATATCTGACAACTCCGTGGACAAGTCAGTGACCATGGTGCTATCGTGTGTTGTTACTCGAGACTTCAGATGTTTTGTAGGCGGGCATTTCGATGCCGATATAAATGTGGATAGTTGTGTAATACGCATTACTCCTTGTAACAACAAAGCAAAACAAGGGAACGACCAGCGTGTGCAAAGAATCCGAAGAAAAGTTGCTGCAGCGCTTGCACCTGTGTTCGAAGCGAGCTTCAGGTCGAGGGTGTCAGAATCAGAGGCCCCGAGGCATCCATGGAGTCAGGTTGTGTCCTTATTCACACGTTTTCCGTTGCCGCTAGCGTTGCTCAAATCATGCGCGAGTCTTCATATTTCATTCATTCCCCTCCCTGCCGCCTCGAGTTGCCGAGGGCTTGCCTGCACTCCAACATCGAGAATCCTGATGCCAAGTCCGTGACCTTCGCCCTGTTCGTGTCCTTCCTGTGCTGCCTGGCCTTGGGCGTCTTGATCTTCGGCTGGGAGGTCTTCCGCTCCTCAGTGGTCCGCTCCCTAGACGGCAAGAGGAAGGAGGCTTCAAGTCGGAGCACCTTCGGCCGCTTCTTCTTCAAATACTTTTCAGGAAGGGACTCTGAGCAGCGGGCTTCAGAGGTCGCGAATGACAGTGCGAGTGCACCGCCGGAGCAAAGCTCCACTGAGCCCTACCCGCAGCTGCCAGTGCTAGAGCAGTTTTTGCAGCGTGCGGCTGAACATCCGGATTCCTGCGCCATGCGCACTCCGACCGGCGAAGTTCGCTTCGACGAGCTGCGGGGATGTGCTGCAGGCTGCGCTCGGATCCTGCTGCCGCTTCTGAGCCAAGCAGAGACGTCCGTGGCCGTGGTGGCTTTGTACTTGCAGAGCGGGCCAAAGCTTGTCGCCGCCATTTTGGGGACCTGGCTGGCAAAGGGCGCTTGGGTGCCCTTGGACCGTAAGGCACCGGAAAAGCGACTGCGAGAGTTGCTGGGGCAGATTGAGCCAGCAGCACTGATTTGTGATGACGACACGCCTTTCACCGACTTGTCCACGCCCTTGCTGCACGCGAGGCAGCTTATCTGGGACAGCGACTGCACGATGCCCGAGGTGTCGTCTCAGGAGTCCATGGACAGGGTGGCGCAGGTCATCTACACTTCTGGCTCCACCGGTGCTCCCAAAGGTGTGATCTTCACGCACGCACGCCTAGCGCACTCGACCCACTTCTTTGCCGAGCAGTGTGGCATTGATCAAACAACTCGTGTGCTGCAGAAGACATCAAATATTTGGTCGGTGTTCCGCCACGAGGTGTACCCGGCCCTTTGTCGAGGCGGCACGATCGTTTTTGGCCTGCCGAAGAAGTCTGGTGACCCCATGCATCTGGCGGAGGTCATAGATGCCTCGAGCGTGACCTTACTCGTCGCCACGCCTTCCGTGCTGCAGCTGCTGCTGGACGCGGGCGAGCTGTCGACCTTGCGGCAAGTTGTATGCATGGGCGAGCCGCTCTCCTGGCATTTGGCCGACCAGGTCCTCGAGAAGCTTCCAAAGGTGAATCTCGCGAACTTCTATGGATCGACGGAGACGGAAAACACGACATTCTCTGTTGCTCGCACTAGCATGGAGATCTGGCGTCAGAACCGCGCCGTCCCTGCAGGCGTGCCCCAGCCGCATGTGGCCGTGCACTTGCTAAGGCCCGGGTCTTTGGAGTCAGCTCAAGGCAAGGGCGAAATTTGCTTCAGTGGGGTAATGGCCACGGGATATTGGCAGCGGCCAGATCTTACGACAGCTGCTTTTATCGACCACCCTGAATTGGGGAAGCTGTATCGCACCGGCGATTTGGGCTCTTGGAATCACCAGCAGCTGGTCGTCCACGGGCGACTTGATCGCCAGGTGAAGGTTCGGGGCTGCCGCGTGGAGCTTGGAGAGGTAGAGGCTGCTTTGGGGCCCTTGGTCTCGGAGGTCGCGGCGACTGTAGCGGAGGCTGCACAGCAGCATTTGCAGATTGTGGCCTTCGTCTCCCCATCTGATTTAGATTTGGATGGACTGAAGAAAGACATGGAGCAGCGCGTTCCCTCACATGCAGTGCCGAGTCATTTTGTGGCTTTGCCACACCTGCCACGGCTAGCTAACGGCAAGGTGGATCTGAAGAACTTGGAGGCACTGGCTGCAAAACACCTCGCCAAGGAGGAGCAGGAGACGCATGCCATCCTCGACTCCCTCGGTGTACTACAGCATCTTACCAAGACGCAGCTTGAAGAAGAGAGGTGGTTGCACAACCAGCAGGCCTTCTGGCTCCTATTGGTGATGATGATGCACATGAACTTCGTTCACGGGGCGGCGGTCGACCCCAAGACGCACCTCGACTCAGGTGACCTTGCCGAAGATGTGATTCTCGGTGCCTGCCATGCTCGTGACATGATCGCCTTTACGCTCCTCCTCGGCTTCGCCGATGCTCGGCGCGAGCCAACACTGGGCGCTCGTGATGCCGTGGCCTTGGCTGCGGCGCTGGTGAGCACTTTGATCGTGAATCCTTACGTATATGGCGCCGTCTTCCTTCTAACCGAGTGGTTCCTCTACGTCTATGTGTGGGCACGTCTGCTGCTGGTCGTCCTCAGCAAGATTCACGTGGGCCTCTGGCAAGCAGTGCTGGTCCTGTGCGCCGCATGCCTGCTGCCAGATGATTTGATTTGGTTGCAAATTCCGCTCACATGGCGTGGATGGCTCGTTGAGAAGGTCACGATGTTTCGATGGAAAACCCTGCATTTTGATCTCTTCTTCATGCCCGGCTGCTACCTCCTGGCCTGGCACGCTACAACCGCCGGGTTTCTGGCTTGGTGTCGGAAGACTGGGTCTCGGCTGATGAGCGGAGGCCGGGATGTTTTGGCGCGGTGCATGGATGCGGACATTGCCGAGCGCAGTCTGCAGATAAGCATCTGCCTGACATCCTGGGCCTTCTTTTTCGGGCTCTCATACGTTCCAAGAGAATACGGTTATCCACACTACAAGGCGATCTACATTGAGGGGCGTGAGAAGGGGAGCCACGTAGTCACCTGGCAGTACATGACGCACCCCTCTTTGACCTCCTACGTGATGCTTTGGCTCGGAGAGTTCTTGCTTCTCACGCTGCCGGCCCTTGCCGTGGGGCTGGGAATGGCATTTGTGCCCTGGCACTTGAAGACGATGGGGAGTACCTGCTTCGGCAGCTACATCAGCCACTGCACGTTATGCTTTCAGGGCTGGTTCCGCTTCTACTTCGACAAGAGGCTGCTCGGTCGGATCACCGACAAAGCTTTCGATCCCAGGCTCAATGCTGCAATTGTGCTCTTCTGGAACGTCCTCTTCTGCGTGGTCTATGCTCATACTATCGGAGCGGGCTTCCACCACCTGATGGTCAGACTCCTCAAGGGCTTCCTGCCACCCCAAGGTCAAGGAGAACGGCTGAGCTTCGACCAAGTCTAGCTGCAGCGGTTCACCAGACGGGAAAAAGCCAGTGCGCAGCCTTATTCTCTAGAGAATCTCGACAGGGTTGCTGCTCATCGTGAAGAGCCCTCTGCTGCAGTGCTGAGACCCACGACCATCGCTGGCCAATGAAAGTGAAGTTTGCTCTAAGGTTTGACGAGGAGGACCCGTGCATACCGTAGTAGCTTCACCGCTTGGTGCTGTTTGCTGGATTATCACAGATATCACGGCTCCCGTTTGAATGCCGGGTTATCACGGCTTCCGAGTTCTCTGCAAGAGACGGCTTGCGAAAGGAGGATTGCCCTCGCACCTCGTTGAGTAAATATGCATCTTTCAGCGTCCAGACTGACGGACTGCATGTCATGGCACACCTCGAGGCTGCTAGACTAGACTCTAGACTGTAGACAACATCGACCGGCTGGACGTCCGCACACGGAGGTTTCACGGTTTGTAACCAGACCTGATGTACCACTATTAGATCTACTAGTTGTACTCTTAACAGTCGAGTATAGTTTTCTTCGTTTTGCTTTTTGACTGTTTGTTGTCGTGGTTGGCACTTCTCTTTTTTGGTATAGATGTTAGAGCACAAGAACTTTACCGTGACCATTCCAACCAGCACCTGACAGCCATGCAAACCTGAGTTTGGAGGATGCTGACGGTCCTTCGGGTCGAAACCATCAATTTAGAATTCTATGCGTCCTGAACCCTGACCCATCCGGCTGTATGATGCTGTATGGTTAGTTAATAAGGGGGCCACAGCCCAGTTTTGTAGTTTCTGTTCTTTCCTTCTCTTTCTTTCTTTCTGTCTTTCTCTCTCTCTCTCTCGTTATCTATCTCTCGCTTCTCTCTCTGTCTCTCTCTCTCTGGCTCTCGGTCTATCGTGCAGTGATTGCTACGAAGATGAACGATCTTCACGTGGATCTTGGCATATTTCAGCCAGCGGCGGGCTTCGAAAGTCGGGTTTCGGGGTTCTTCGGCAAGCAGTGGATTTTTCATATGCGAAAGTCAACTTGCGGTCTGTGGCCGTCGACTGGAAGCGGGTAGTTCGCGCTTCGAAGATCGACGCTCGGTCTGCATTTCCGGCCAGCAGTGGTCTTCGAAAATCAACACTCGGTACTTGGTTTCGGGGGTGTCGTCGCGAGGTATGTGCTTCGAAGATGAAAGCTCGGCATGTAGCCTGTCGATGCCGGGTCCTGCCGCCAGCAGTGGGCTTCCATGCTCGATACCTGGGATTTCGGGTGTTTTCGCGAAGATTCTCTTTGCAGCACTTCCAAGGCCTGTAGCTGTAGGTAGCAATCCAGCAACAGAAACCAGCATCACCTTCGAGCTCCGTGTTCAAGGTTTGTGCGGATGTGACTGGTCTTGCCAGGACGCGGTGCAGATTTTCGCTGAGGCGGTTGGAAGCCGAAGGTGTTTGAGTATGAACTGCACAATGTCGGGCAGGGCAGGTTGTTCGGGAATGGGCAGACTGCAGACGGTCTGGAGCGTTGGCTAGATGTGCCGATCAGGTCCCCGTGCAAATCAAGCCCCACGATCATCCTGGTCGAGACGAGTATGTTGTGCAGCACTCGGCTTCGCACCGTTGCTCAAGTTTGGATTTGGTTTTGAGTTGTGGTCGTTATCATTTTCGAATTTAACCTTCATGGTGCAAGTTGCATTCCCTGTCGTGCAAAACAAATTAAACAGAGCGTTTATGCAACCATCCAGCATCGCAAGCCCACGCCAGATGCACCGCAGACATATACCCATGCACTACGGAAACCGACGCCGTCAGGCTTGAAAGCAGAAACTCGGCGCAGACATGCCGATTGCATGGAGTCTAGATCTCCTTGGCCTTGGCAGACCGACACACGAAGGCAACAGCCAAGCAGAGTGCATCGAAAGCACAGGCAGAAACTGGGGTAGAGTTCTTTAGCCACCTACAAGCGATTCGCGGAGCAAAACGCTTATCTCCACCATCTGTCTTCCGAAATGCATATTGCACCGACCGTTTTGCTTGGAATGTGTGCCATATCTTCACATCAGCAACCGCTGCGACAGGCGAGTTGCTACAGAGTGCAACCGACACCGCCCGTCCCAGGCCCATTTGACCGTCTGTCTGCGGCCGGGCTCCGAGTTCGAGCTTAGTTGCAAGTTTGACACAACGTGAATTTTGGAATGCTTCCTGCTGGCCTCCAGCATGTCTTGAACTCTATGTTGCCTTGCTGCTGAAGGCCAGACAACCCGGCCCATCCCCGCAACTTGCTGCTCGAGCTGACCGACGAGAATGCGTGTTTCTGAGCGAAGCACCACTTCGGAGGTTCTACATCCCTGTTGCGATTTCATCCTACGTCTGCGTACTCGCTTGTATGCTGGGTGTTCACGTGTGCACACTGTAATGAGATAGTGGCTCCCCGCTCGCCTCATTGCCCAGGACCTCTTGTTCTACCACAGCCCTGGCCTCGGGTGGAAGCCGACAGTCGTTGACAAGAAGCCCTAGAAACCTGAAAGTGACTTCCGCGCTCATGGCTGCAACCCACGCAATAATGACTAATGATTGGTAATGTAAAGTTTGTCGACTGTGCGACTGTTCCATATGATTCCATATGCAGATAGTCAGCCTGGAGGATTGTCGAACGTCCAGCTTGAGAAGCTGCCTTTTCATTACAGACCTGCTGCCAGCCCTTGCTCGCCAGAACTCTCTCGGAGTGAGTGCAGGTCTGGTGCTTGGAGAAGGTGATTACGGTGCCCTGAGGCAACGACTTTGGGCGTGCGTCGTGTTTGCCTCACAACTACCACCCGCACAGTCACCAGCATCATTGCTGCCGGTGATGCTGCTGCTGCTGCTGCTTCCTTCTGCTTCTGTCGTCGTTGTTGCTGCTGTTTCCTTTGCTGTTGCTGTTGGGGTTGTCGTTGTTGCAGGGGTTGTCCTCCTCGTTTTCGTCGTTGTCTTGGTGGTAGCAGTGGTGGATCCTGAAATCATTCCCCGCCTTGCGTTGTTTGGAGCAGCTGTTACCTTGATAGCCTGCAGAACGGATAAGGGCTACTGTCTTGTTAGCAAACAGAAGCAACAGAAAACCAACCGGAGAGCGGCTGCTTCATCTCAGAGCGGCAACATGTAACGAGCACAGGGCGCTTGGTCCTTGGCCATCCTGTTCGGAGCGTCTCAGTCCGCAAACCCTCCTCTGAAGTTGCTATGTGGCTACAGATCATTGTGTGCTGCAAGTTCAGCCAGGTCCGGAAAGGACCTGTCATGTAGGATGTTTCGTGCAAGACCAGAACTTGGCTTCCCTGCCCAGAACCGACCAGCGCCTTCTCGTCGATTTCCAGTGCGAGCCTGAATCAGCCATCTTGCGATGCTCGCGTTCCGTCGTAGGAGCAGCAGGAGTTGACTAGCATGGTGGCAGCAGCGGACAATGCATTCTTGGCGCGGCAGCGGCTTCTGCAAGCAATTGCAGTCAACATTGACAAAAACACGGAACTCTGTCGTAACTGCGCAACTTCATGCTCTGCCACAGGTCCTTTCCGGAGCAGATAGCAGTCTTCCTGCGGAGATGCTGCGGGAACGAGGTCAGCGACTCAAGACAGAATTTAGCAGAGCGTGGCTCCGTACAGGGATGAAGTTGTGAGGACACCAAGCAGGGTCCCGGGGAGGAGCAAGCTTGGCGAGTAGCAACAGATCTTTGCGGCAGGTCCAGGGGCTGTCGTCAAGCAGTGGCCTCAATTGTCCATCGTTCGGCCGTGGCTTGACCCAGCTGTGCTGCAATCTTGCCAGCACTGAACGAGGTCAGGACTTAGACCTGCAGCTCTTTCATACCAAACTCATCCAGGGAAGCATTGGTGCCGGAAGCCAGAGCATGAAAGACCCTGAAGACGGAGTCATTCGATAGGACAAGAATTGACGCTCCTGGGACTTCCTTCAAACTTCATGATTTGCCGGGCAAGGCTGCCGTCCTATACAAAGACACTCCTGTGCCACGTGGACCGAGGCTCGAAAATGCTGGCCCCAAGCTCAGCCCCAGCCGAGGCTGACCCTTTGCAGCGGCTTAGAAGCGGAATTTGATTTCGAGCACGCTTTTGATCCACGACACAACCCAGCGTGGAGATGCAGCTTCGTGTAGTTTACGGGTTAGATCGCACCCACACTGGTGAGCACCGTTTCGTGCAAAGCATATCGTACGAGGATGGGACTCAAGGGCCTTCGAGCCTTAGTGTTGCTTGTCCTGGCTGTGTGCTTCGCAGCTGCAAGAGGGCGCTGTTTCGACACATTTGGCCCAGTTGGTTGCTGAGGAGGATGTTCAGGAATGCATGGAGGGAGTATGTTCGGCAAGACAAGGATCGAGTGAGTGGTTGTGTGTTGGATACCCCGGAGCAGACGCAGAGTGGTGGGGGATCTTTGGCATTTTAACCAGGGTTGACACCCGCCTACAAGGAAATGCCCTCGTAGCGAGAGCCATGGGCGGCAGAAGCAGCAAAGATGCCCTGAAGGAGTCCGTAGCTGGGGGTGGGGCCAAGAGAGCAGAGTGTGTGTCACTGTGTGTTTGTGTGTGTCTGTGTGTGTGTGTGACACGTGTCACTGGTGTTTGTGATGAAGTTGGTGTGCATGCTCGTGCCAAGTCTATGCAGGTCTTATCCTCCTTTCAAGAGCATATCAGCAACAAGAAGCACATCAAGAACAAGGGCAATACTAACACCGAAAATGGCAACACTAACATGTGTGCTGTCATCCAACAAGTCCATTGCTTCAAAAAGCAAGAACAAGAAACGGACCACATAGAACAACTATACTACCAACAACATCTACAACAACACGACAATCTGAAGCAACAACAGCAACAGCAACAAGATTGGTGGCAACAGCAACGGCAACGCAGCAGCTGCTGCTGCCACTGTGCTGCTGCCGCTGCTGCTGCTTCAGCTTCGCTTGTTTTTGTTCGCATTTTGCGGCATTGGTCGCCTTCAGAATTGTGCGACGTGTGCATGCAAAAACATTACGCAGGAGATGATTACGGTTTTGACGGCGACCAAAAGCCACAAGAACAACAAATACATTTCACATGCTTCCGCTTCTTCATCCTTAGTCTCTATAAAACGCCAGCCGTCTCCAGCCGTGCACGGGCTGGCAGGATGCTCGGCGAAGGGCGGAGGAGCGAGTTGGCACTCTGCAGGTCAGCGGGCGCTACCATCGGCTGCCCAGGAGACGACATGTCCGACCATGTTGCAGTTCTAGGTCGTTTTGTTTCAGATTCTTCGTAGATGGTATGCCGGCTCACCGGGTCTCCGGTCTCTGCACACTGGGCGGCGAGATGTCCCACAGGTCGAAGGCCGGGTGGTAGGGCATCCTTGCTGTGTGCAGTTGCCCAGGAAGCTGTCCGATGATTACAGCCTGACAGAGACGGCTGCTTGGCTTGTCATGGCCGCCGTGGCCGCCACAGGTTGCAGCAAGCATAGACTTAGGGAAGAGGTGCCAATGACGATAGCAAAGCCTGTGCCGGTCCAAAGTCGAGAAGAGTCCAACAGCCTGCCAACCACGTTGAGGGCTTGTTCTGTTCTGCGTCGGAGATACTTCGATGTCAGTCTACCTCACAGGCCCAGATCGCAAAGCCCGACTTCGTTCGTTTCTAGCTAGAGCGATCAGCGGAGGGTGTTCATCTCTCCCTAACGGCCGGTGGCCTTGGCCTTTCTGAAACAGGTCTTGGGTACCGGCTTCGGCGGCTCCGTTTTCTTGGCCACCAGCCGACGCCCGGACCGGCAGGGTCGGACCAGCCGCTTCGTGCCTTGGATTTCCCTTCAAGGGTCCTGTGGGAGTGCAGGGGGTTTTGGACTGTAGTCTCGTTTTTTGTTTTGAAGGCGTAGAGGCGAATTGAGAAGTGGGAACTTCAACTGCGCAGTTGGCGCATGTACCTCGATCGGCTGAAACGGGTTTCTTGGAATGCAAGGTTCAGCGACCTCCAGTTTTTGTCTGAGCAGCCAAAGCCCCGCTAAGAATCCAAGACTTGGGACGTTGAAAGCAGGAGGAATTGCACCGAGGTCTAGGAAGGATGTCCAGAGGCATAAGGAATTCATATCTCGGTTCCTTCAACCCTGCCTCGTCAGGCTGTGAAGAGTATCAAGTTACACCACAAGGCTGGCTGATTTCTGAGGTTCTGGACTTAAACGAGTTGGGTGAAAACAGATGTGGCTATTCACCAAGCCCAGTAGCAAAAAGGTCAATCTATGCTACAGCAGGCAGCAATTCGAATTTGCTTGTTGGCCGTCATAGTCACATATCGACACACCGGAACATGCCGATATGCTGGCTGCTTTCTACCCACGTTAGGTCGGGCAGAATAGTATTGACGAAGCGTTCACGCTTGCCTGGACGAAGTACAGGCCTCCAGGAGAACTCTGGCAGCCGAAGTGGAGGTTTTTCTGTCAGCATCTTGTCTGCTCTCCGAAATTGGTATCAAGCATGCTGCTCAGCTTTCTGCACCTATTGTGATTCCGAGCCCCGCTCAAGCCTTGTTTTTGCCTACCGCCTAGTCCTGTAGCCTGATCCAAGAATTTTTTCCTACGGCAAAGGTCGACCATCCACATGTTTGCAGATTGCTCGACGTCTACGAGAGCGAGAAAAGCCTCGACCTGGTCATGGAATGCTTGGAAGGTGGCGAGCTTTACCAGCGGGTGAACGCCGGGAAGTTCGCGGCGTCTGGACAAGTACAAGAGCGCTCGTGCGTGTGTCCGACCCGGGTTTCATGGCATTTAGTTGAGCTGCTCCTGAGGAAAAGGATGCAGCAGATGCAGCATACCAGATGCTGCTGGCCATACGATATCTGCACAACCTGGGTGATTTGCCTGCAGTTTGAGCACGAGTCGTAGTAGTAGCCAGCCAAGCGGGGTGCATGCGCAGCATGCATCAAAGTGGGATTGGCTAGCAGTTCTTCAGTGCATTGTGATGTGCAGAAGCTTGCATCGCGTTTGCATGTGGAACTTATTCGCTGCATGTGCAGCCATAATCAGCTGCTCGAATGCTGTGAGCAGAAGAAATCCTGTTTCACATCAGGTGTGCTCCAAGTTTTCTGTTTTGCCATGGTGGAAGATGACAAGACAGATTCGGAGTCCAATTCGGATGTGGATGATTCGTTGAGTCTGGACAGTGCTTCTCTTTGGCTGCTCTTGCCGGTGCAACTGCGGGCCGCCTTTGGTTCTGGGCATGTTCCTGCTGCAAACATTCTGGCGAACTTCTTTGCTGACCGGGCCGATCTGGAATTGTTTACTTCGGCGCACTGTCCTTCTGATGCTGGATTGAGTCTCCTTCACGCGTGCTCTATTTTGAGCACTTTGGTGGCGCGGGCCTCAGAGGAAGCAGGTCGAAGTCACAGACGTCGTGCTTTGATTCCTAGCTCTACCAAATTCTTGGCCGTTAGCCTGGCACCTGGTGCAAAGCGATTGCGAACCGATGTTGCCCCGGAGTTCACAAGAGCCTGGTTGCGAAAGCGCTCCGGAGCCATAGCTGGTAGGCGTTGGCCGCATAGGTTGGCCAAGCGACTTGCGTCAGCTTCGTGCACCTCGTCCAGACAAGAGATGGAGAAGCAAGAGCTCCAGCGGTGGCAACTTGAGCTTGCGGACTTAGTCAAAGAGGCAGGCCTCCCTGTCGTGGAGCACATGAGGCTCGTGCGCTGTCCTGAGTCCATGTTGTTGGCTGCGCTGGGCTCAGCTCGAGCTTCCACGGTCCGCAAGCATGTGCGGGAGTGGAGAAAGGTTAAGATCTACTGCTTGGCTTCGAGTGGTAAGGCATGGCCTGAGCACGTGGGTATGCTTCTCGACTACCTGCACGAGCGATATCTGGAACCTTGTGCCCGTACGGTGCCACAAGCGATTCTTTCCAGCTTGTCCTTCCTGGAGAAAGCTGGGGCTGTTGTTCCTGGTGAGCGCTTTTCTGCGCTACCTGTTTTGCGCAACACCGTCAACCAGCTAACCGCTGACTTGGAATCTATGGCTCCTCCGAAGCGGAAGGCCCCCATGCTACCTGTGTCAGTGATTGGGGCCATCGAGTTGGCAAACGGCGACACATCTCTGCCACTCTATGTGCGAGCCTTCGCATTCTATAAGCTGGTCAAGTTTTGGACTGCGAGCCGTTCGGGGGACATGGAAGGCCTTTGTCCCTCATCGCTGCGATTGACGGAGCATGGTCTCGTTGGCACGCTCGATCAAACCAAGACGAGCGGACCAGGAAAGCGGGTCCGTTTCTTGCCTGTGTTCATTAGCAGGCGTGTTTTCTTCATGATGCCTGATTGGTTGGACGTGGGTTGGTCTGTTTGGATGTCCGCTGACATGTGCTTTGAGCGTGACTACTTCTTGCCGTTGCCAAATGCTGATGCTTCTGGTGCAATTCCGCGCATGTCAGATTATGCCAGCACTCTGGCTGGTTCGAAGCGTCTTTTGCGGCTTCTGAAGCGTCCACTCTGGGATGGCAAGCGCTGGAAGCTCTCCGACACGTTTCTCATCGTCGAAGCTGGTGTGCTTTCCTTCTGGACGGAACATTCGGAGCGAAATTGGCTTGTTTCTGTTCTCGCTAGCCTCGGAGTACCGCGAGACAAGCGTGATTTCGTTGGCCGCTGGCGGGTCATCACTGCTTCGGACGAATACATCCGCACGGCCATGCAAGTGGTGATTACGTTGCAAGCGAGCGCCCTTGAAGGTGTTCGCCAAGACAATCGGTGGCACTTGGTTGATGGGGGCTTGGACGATTTGGCCTCATTCTTGGCTGGTCGTGGAGTGGATCGTGTCGATGCTCTAGCGCAGGTGGCTCTGCTACGTTTGGGGACAGGTGTTGGCCCGTCCCTGGGCACTTCTTGCGCTTGGAGTGCGAAGCCCAACAGGCCTGTTGAAGTGGCAGCGGTGACGGTGGTGGACGAGGGCATCTTGAACCTCGCCGAAGCAGAGGCGGCTCCGCCGTTTTACATCGCGGTTGTCGGAAAGCGTCGACTGCGCCGACTGCATCGAAAGGGTGGATGCGGCACTGATCCGAACGACCTTCACGTCATGGAACCTGTGTTTGAGCTTGAGACGGCCGCGTATGATGTAGCTTGCAAACACTGCTGGCGCAACGGTCGTTGTCCAGAGGACCCTTCCAGCGTGTCTTCAGCCCAAAGCGGAAGTGATAGTAGTGGAGATGGTAGCTCTTCAAGCAGTGAGTCCGTTGCTGCGTAGCTGTACATTGATGCTCTGTGCATAGTGATGTGTTGCACAGTTTGTTAGTTGTTGACTGGCCGGTCTTGGCTCTCTTTAAAAGTATTGTGTGAGGCTTTGACTTGGGGGCGTCGTGCTGCTTGAGCATGTGCGATTTTGCTCTCTCAGTTGCTTTGCCACTTGCATGGTGTGCGTATGTTACTGCTTCGGCTCGGTCTGAGTTGGAGCGAATCCTTCGTAACCAGTGTGCCCACTGCTGAGCAATTCCGCCCCGTTTGAGGCCGGCATGCTTCGCGCACTTTTCAGGGTCACGTGTACTGAAGCGATTTGTGCGTCGTTTCGGAACGGGTTCTTGCGTCGTTGGCAAGAACGATGCCTGTTAAGTCTAACGGGCATAGTTTTCATTCGCCGGCCGGTATGGCGGGTGGAAGCTCACGGGCCGGGTTTGGCAAGTGAAAGCATTTTCCTCGGCCGGTCGGCAGGGGAAGTCTTCCATTCTGGCTGCTGTTCTTTACCTTGTTTTGCCCCCTGCCAGGTCAATTCTCGCCATGACGGATGCCCGCACCGACGATCAAATCCTGGCTTCGGCAGAGTCCCATCTGCGCTTCATCATGGACGACGTGGGCGTGCCTATTGACGTGCAAGTGAAGCTGTACAAGAAGGGCTTCATCTCTTTGCCTATCTTCGCGGGCATGGACGAAACTCGTGCAGAGGTTCGCCAGGCCTTGGCCCAGGAGATTCCTCTTGATTGCAACAAGGGAGCAGATGAGCGTGTGAAAATGGCTTTGCTATTGACCGCGTGGGAAGCATGCCGCCGTCAGCTATCAGTTACTGACAAGAATCGGGCTGATGCAAAACTAGGTGTCCAAGATCGTTTGGTCCAGGTCACTAGTATGCCGCAATGCGTAGCGCTGTGGAGTCATTTCACGGAGCCCTGAGTGACAAAGAGTTGCCATCTAAATCTTTGCTGGCGCAAAAGTTGGAGCAGGTTGAAGCCACCTCCCGCATGTGGAGGACTTGCGCGATGTCACTAGTGTCGAGGATGCCGAGGTTGAGTCCTATGCTGCGGTCATTGACCCTTCATCTTCTTGCTTGCGTTTCAAGCCAGGGCGCACATTGACAACGCCGCCGTGTACCCCGGAGGAACTTCGGCTTCGCCATCGGCGCATTGGGTTGGCGTGGCACATGGTGCGTTCCAAACATGCCACTCGTTCCTGGCTTTTGGAGTCTGTGGTGGATAGCTTCCGGCGGCTCTCTGACCATGTGTTGGGTGATCGAGTGGCTGGCTTGCGTACGGAAGATGGTCGGGCTCCTAAGTGGAGTCTCGTGCTCAAGTATGAGGCCGAGCTGCGGAAGCATGCTTACAAGTTCATTCGCACGGGGGAAGCGAAGGACAATGGGGTTGCCATTGACAAAGCTTGTCGAGCTCCGGACTTGCTTGCGTTCCACTTGGTCACTCCCTTTTCCCTCGGTGCCTTTGTCTTGCAAGGTGCAGTCGCTGCACCTCCAACAACGCTGGCTTTGACAGATTTTCCGCATGTCCCGCCGCCGCCGGAGGCCACGTTTCAGCGGCCCGGAAAAGGGGCCGGCAAGACTGGCGGCAAGGAGTCTCACAAGGGCAAAGGCGTGCTCAAGACGGTCGCGAAGCACAAGTTTGCCGGTGATGGCCGCCTTATTTGCTTCTTCTTCAACAAAGCGAAAGGTTGCGCAAAGAAAGAATGCAAATTTGCCCACGTGTGCCAGCGGTGTCTTGGTGAGCACTCTAACACTGCTTGCCCGCATGTCAAGCGTGCCGAGCGGGCATCCGAGTGACTATCCAGCCGGGCGCCGAGCCAGCTGTTGCCTGCGGTTGGGGCTTCTGCTGCACAACTGGATCGTGCGCCTCGGAAGAGGCCAGAGGATGCTGTCATCTCACATGTTCCAGTAGTACCTGACGAATGGAAGTGGGAACGCACCGGTGAAGCGGCTTGGGAATTGGAGCCAGAACATTCAGCAGCGGCAAGCGTGGACGCAAGCTCTGATGAAGACGAGGATGGATTCCGCAAAGCAAAGCTGGGAGAGGGCATGCGAGGTCATGGTCCCCCGCTCAACACTTATCTCATGGGCCAGCTAAGAGGTATGTGTGATGGTTTCGGTCTTTGTTCTCCTGGTCGTTGGTCACCTCACTGCCGGAGAGATTCCAGGGATTGCAACTCTTTGCGGTTCGTGGAGGAGCTGGGGGATGAGTTGGAGAGTTTGCTTTGCAGATCGTTGGACATTGAACAGCTTGCTTCTTCATTTGCAGAGGGCAAGATTGAGTCCTGCCCCTTCAAGCCGGAGCTCATACAGGAAGGTCGGGATACAATCTTCAAGGCTCTAGACAGCGTGGGCGCATCTCTACCAGTTCGTGAGCGGCCGTGTGGGCAGCCGCTGTACCTTGCGGCGGTAGAGGAATTGCTGCAGCGTGCCGGGGATCCTGACTACAGGGCTTTCAACTCTTCATCCACTTCTTTCGCAAAAGGCGTTAGGATTGGTGTCGGGGTGAAGAATCCTCGCGTGCCAGCTGTCTTCGAGCGCAAAACCAAATGGCGGAAGTATCCTGAAGAGAGGTTGGCCGAGCGCTGCGATCGGGAAAACTATTTGTCCGCCAAGGAGCATGCTCAGGAGGTCCAACAGCAGTTCCTCGCAGAGGCCGAGGAAGAAGCCATGATGGAGTTGCCAGTACAACAAGCGCGTGCCTTGTATGGAGCGGATCTGTCTGTAGCTTCTTTGGGTGCCATCGAGAAGAAAGATGGCACGTATCGTGTCGTCCACGATGGGACCCACGGAGTCAATGTGAACTGTGCCATCAAGTTGCGTGACCAGCTACGGAACCCGACGGCAGGCGACCTGCGTGCCGTGCTCCAGTTGTTGCGTGGGGCTGTTTTCGGCTTGACTGGTGACATCAGGCGGGCACACCGGCTTGTCAAGATCGCCAAACAAGATTGGGGGTACCAAGCCTGCCGTTCTGGAGCGCGTGGTGCAGACTGGATCTGGCTGAACAAGGTCGGGACCTTCGGCATCTCCAGCGCAGCGTACCATTGGTGCAGATTGGTGGGTGGACTTGGCAGGCTCGTCTTTTACATGTGGGATTGAAGGGGCAAGGGAGACCAGTCTCCGGTCGGAGTGCGTGCAACGGGCGAGAAGGAGCTGTTCCGGACAGATGCGAGAGCCGAAGGTGACGAAGTTTGGATAGGTGGGTGGGCCATGGACCACTCAGATACCAAACAGTGTCGCTGGTTTTCTGAGCGACTCGACCACAAGACTGCACCGTGGTTATACACCTCGGGCGAGTCCTACAGGCAGATCGCGTCGCTGGAACTCTTCGCCACATTGGCGGCAGTGGTCGTCTTCGATGTGCCAGATGCAAGCAAGTGCTGCTTCCGTTGTTCGGCAGCAACCGATAACAAAGGGAACAGCCATGTCGTTAGTAGATTGCTTACTACGAAATTTCCGCTCAACGCGTTCCTGATGGAGCTAGCGATGCAGTTGCAGACACGTGGAGCAGAGCTGCATCTCTTTTGGTTGCCGCGCCTGCAGAATGTTGAAGCGGATTCCTTGACGAACAATGACACTGCAAGGTTTGACCCGAGCATGCGCTTGCGCTTTGACCTTTCTTGCTTCACAGGTATCGTGCTCCAGGACTTGCTTGAGACAGGATCGCAGCTATACCATGAGATCCGGAAGTCCAAGAAAGCGAAGGTTGAGAAAGGCGCAGCAAAGTCCATTGCCGAAGACAGCGGCCGTAAGGCACCCAGTGAACCACTCCGAACGCGAGATCCTTGGTGAGAGGATTTAATCGCTGGCTCTGTCACATGTCCGCAAGCGCTAAAGTTGGGGTTGAGGTTTTCGTTGCGACCTTGTAACAGGGCCTGCTAATGTAGGGCCGTATGTTGCCTTGCATAGCTTCGCTCGGGCTGGACTGTCCGTCGTTGGCCCTGGGTCGTCTCTTCCCCTTACCAACGTGACAAGACCTCATTGCGCTGTGGGGCAAAATGAAGGTTGCAGTCCGCTTGCTTCATGTCAGCGTAAGAATCCCGCAGGGTGCATGCGCAGCATGCATCAAAGTGGGATTGGCTAGCAGTTCTTCAGTGCATTGTGATGTGTGCAGTGTCACGGCTTGCTTTGAGTGTGCATGGGCCTGTGGCAGTGCAGAAGCTTGCATCGCGTTTGCATGTGGAACTTATTCGCTGCATGTGCAGCCATAATCAGCTGCTCGAATGCTGTGAGCAGAAGAAATCCTGTTTCACATCAGGTGTGCTCCAAGTTTTCTGTTTCCCGCCCTCCGCACCCACAGAAAACCTGGGTTGTGAGAGGGGGGGTTGAGGTTTTCGTTGCGACCTTGTAACAGGGCCTGCTAATGTAGGGCCGTATGTTGCCTTGCATAGCTTCGCTCGGGCTGGACTGTCCGTCGTTGGCCCTGGGTCGTCTCTTCCCCTTACCAACGTGACAAGACCTCATTGCGCTGTGGGGCAAAATGAAGGTTGCAGTCCGCTTGCTTCTTGTCTGCGTAAGAATCCCTCAGAGAAGTCAGGCCGAGTGACAGTGACTTAGCCCGTCCAGAGTCAGAGACAGAGACTGTGGCCTCATCTGATATGGTCAGCAGACCAGACTCTGCAACGCTGGCTTTCTAATGCTTCATCAAATGAGGCATTGTTCACCGGGACATCAAGCTTGCTTCTCGGCCTTCGTGCTGTTGCGTTGATCTTGTAGGGACTGTTGTAGGGTCTCGATTTAGTGATGCTTTATTGCATTTACGGACTTCAAATCTTGAAGCAGCATGAGGAAAACTTCCTGTACACGGAGTGCCACAGCTGCAAGAACCCGGCTGAAGAAAGTCTTGCACACAGCTAGATCGTTGTTCGAGCGTTCATGCGCGAGCCTGCTGGGTCGAAGTGGCGAGTTGGTTCGCTTGAGTGAGCTAGACCAGTAAGTCGAGATACATTCCACATGTCACACCAGCTGCAGACATGCGTAGATGGGGCTGGACATCTCAATGCGCTCAGGGTCGGAAGCAACCACCTCAAGCTGATTGACTTCGGTTTCAGCAACATGATTGCATTTCAAGCGCCCTGAGCCGGGAGCTATCGGATCAGCCAAGAGTGTGACCTCTATGGTTGCAGCGAGTGTGTGTGTGTGTGTGTGTGTTTGTGTCCACTTGGTTCAATTTTGATCGCTATCCCTGCCGAGGCAAGGCCTGGGATCCTGAGCAGAAGAAAATGAAATTGAGCTGCGGGCTTCTTACTTCGAGGGAGCAGTGAAAGACAGCTAGGCCAGCTAGGAGTGTAGAAGATCGGGTACAGCCTTTTGAACTGGAAGCAGCAGGTGCCAATCTGCGCGAAGCATGTGCTAAGGTGGGACCATTTGCTACGTTGCGCCCGAGGCCGGACGTCCTAATCCATCTGCAGCATGCCCAAAAAGCCTCCCCAGCGTCCTGAGTGTAAAGCTGTGCGGGGACCCTACACCCTGCCACGGCATGAGGTCATCTTGCAGAGCTACACGAACATGTGTGACATGTGGAGCCTCGGAGTGGTGGTGTTCCTACTGCTTGTGGGCTACATGCCCTTCCCCGTGCTTCCGGACATCGACGCTGAGCTCGGTTTTGGTGCACTCTGCACTAGCATTGCCACCTGTTGGGTCAGGGTTGCCGGATTACACTAACACGGGTGAACGCATATAGCGATCAGGGGTAGAAGCGGACTGGATGGGAGGGTGAGTCTTTTCTCATCATCCCACCACCAATGCCGCTGACGAGAGAGTTGGTGGGTTAATGTTGTACCCGGGATACGACGCAGGCTGTGTACTGTAACTACCTTGCCATACTGCTGCACTGCTGGTGTACTTGTCCTGTATTCAACGCGTTGGAACTGCATACTTGTGTTAGGGAGTCGGGAAGTAGCTGATGCTTCCAACCATCATGCTTGCAAGCAGTTCCCCACCGGTGGCATGTTGTAGTGATCTTCTGTCGATAGGGGAGTAGGTGTTCTGGTGCTGTTGTTGCAACGAGAGGGGGACTCTTTACCAAGCGACCCGAAGTCACGCGACACCTGCAGCGCGGAATCCGAGCGAGTCCGACAAGTGGGAGCCAAAAATACCACCACCACCACCACCACCACGACGACGACCACGACCACGACCGCGACCACGACCACCACCACCACCACTACCACTATCCCGTGCCCCTGCCCCTGCCCCTGCGCCTGCCGCTGCCGCTGCCACTGCCACTGCTGCTGCCGCTGCTGCTGCTACTCCGCTACTACTGCAACTAGTACCTCGAGGACTGCTGGTACGAGGACAACTGCCACGATATCTGTGATTGCTACAACAAGTATGATTCCCCGAGAAAGAATACTTTGCGGTGAGCTCTATCACCTTTTTTTTGGGCCGGCCCTCTTTAGACGGTGGATTTATGCCTTATTCCGGGTGGATTTATGCCTTATTCTGGGGGGATTTATGCCTTATGCATTATTCCGGGCCCGAAATAGGAATAAATCAGGAAAGAATAAGGCACAAATAAGGGAAACATAAGGCATAAATTAGGCAAGAATAAGGCATAAAGAAGGGAAAAATGAGACAGAAATAAGGAAAGAATAAGGCATAAATAAATAAAGAAAGAATAAGGCATACATAAGGACAGAATAAGGCACAAATAAGGAAAAGAACAAGGCATAAATATCTCATAAAGAAAACATGTTACAGCATACCTCCAATGAATACTGCTATAGGTTCTGCTTCTTCTCCTGTACTATCATTATCTCATTACCAGTACCACCTGCCACCACCACGACCACGTCCAAAAAAAACACGACTTCTACCCACCACGACCAGCCATGTGCGCTGGAGGTACGGAGGAACTGCCACTGCCTTCAGGCAGGAGGACACCACACTCCCATTCCCACTGTCACTGCGAACCATCTCGGCGAAAAGGCGAGGACAGACAGGCTGCGCAGAAAGGGTGGAACGCAGCTTGGTGGGGTCCTAGCTGTAAGCCGGTACCCAGCCTCACAAGCCGGAAGACCTCAAGCGAATCTGCGAAATGGGATAACACTTCCACCCACCTGATTTGTCGATACAGACGATGGGGTTCAGCTCTGACCAGCTGCGAGCGATGGCTCAAACAACTGCTGCTACCGCACGCTGCAATCATCGGGCTGCTGGCATGCGCAAAAGCCAGCATCTCCGTAGGAAGTTTTGTTCACCGTTCTCCAGTCTTGTTTTCCTTCTCGATGCTACCTCAAGAGGGCTTAAACTAAGTTCACTTGTGAGAGTGAAGGAGGCCAGTGTTTTGCTGACTTTGCTTTTCATATTTGTTTATTGGGCCAAGGAGGAGACCGAGCTGAACATTCTGAACGGTCGGTTCAAATACGATGCCAGAAAATGGAACGGTGTTTCCAAGTCATCTTTCGACTTTGTCTCCAAATTGCTGCTTGGTGATAACGTCTTTGTTTGCAAGTTGGGGTCCCTGTGTTGCAGTCGATCGTCGCACACCGCCCGCACACGATCATGTTGACCCAAAGCACCGACAGCCCCAGGTTGCAAAGAGATCCAGACCAACGAATGACTGCGGAGCAGGCCCCCTACTCGTAGCTGTCGTAGCTCCAGGGAGCATGACACGTTCGTTTTTTTCTGAGAGTCCATTTCCCTTGACAGAACTAACCCCGGAACGGGTAATATTAGTAATAGCAGCATTGGCATATTTCGAGACATGAAACGCAACCTGTGCCTTCAAGCTACAGGTTACAGCAGACATCGATCGCATGCCATATCACTTTTGACGTGGTTCCTGACCCCACGACATGTTGAAGCTATGGATCAGAAGTTCCGGAGCACAAACCGTTCGAAGGGCGCGGTCTGCCAGAATCGCTGCAATGCAATTCTTCAGCATGACAGACTGATCGAGACAGGCACGGGGCAGCTACATTTCGCCCGGTATCATCACTGTCTTGAGTTTCTCCAAGCAGTGACTAAAGAGGAGCAACACAGGACCAACTGAAAAGATCTGATAGTTTCTGTCTTCACTTGTTGAAAAGCCCCTCGAAAAATGGTTTGTGGATTTATTCTGCAAGGCGCTAGCCCACCCGTGGATCGCCGAGCGGGAGCATTTCGCTTCCGGCACAGAATCGGCTGCAGCCTGCTTGAACTTACTCCGAGTCATTGGTACAGCCATCAGGGGCATGTTTGCACGCTGAGGGACTGGATGCCTCGGTTGTTCACTCCCTCGCAGCTACTTTGAATGCAGACGTGAGGGGCGGAGCTATCCGTTGATGCAATGTTGCATTGATGCCGAGGAGTATTCCAGAGCCTCGAAATTCCGACGAACGTGCATGCAGGCTCGCACTTTCCCAAGCTCGTGAGAACCTCATGCCAGCTGGATGTTGCTCCGCATGCTTTCTGGGATACCATGCCTGAGTGCCTCAGTGGCAGTTTGCCTGTCGGAGGCGGCCGCTCAGATCCAGAGCCATGTTTCTTGTTATAAGAGCTTGTTGTCAACGCGGCCGTGCAGGTGATGGCTTGGTCCCTGAACAATGCAGAAATGGCAGAAGTCCGTGAGGCAAGCACTTTCTGCATGCTTGCTTGTGCCAAACATGCCCAAGAACGACTTCCCATGGCTTAAAGTCTTCCGCCATTTTGCAACGTTTAGGTGAGGATGGAAGTGTGTCGAGATGAGGATGGGAGGATATGCACAACATTTGCAAAACAACAGGAGGAAAGAAGACATTTGCTCGAAGCGGAAGGACGTCTTTCTTTCCAAGTTCTATCACTGTATTTTGTAGGTATGGTTGCAGCTTTTGGTTAATACTATGGACATTCTTGCCGTGGCTGCGTCAGCACTGGCTGCCATGCGATTCATGGGTTCTGCTGTCCGCTAGCGGGCCCCGCAAAAACATTCACGCAGATCCCGGCTCCTTGCGAGCCACGGTTGCCATTTTTGAGATGTGAAGCTGCCGGCAAGTCGAAGAAAAGCCAAAGTCACGAGGATTTCGTTACCAACCAGCCCAAACGGCCGTTTGGGGGCATCGGCACATGGTCACCTTAGCGATTGCTGCCAACTAGATATGTGGTTCTATTTGCAGTTTGTGAACGTTTGCTATGTAAGAGTTCACTCTTAACAGGGTATCCGTTCCGCAGGCCTTCATGGAGTTGGACGTGCAGAAAACTGGTGCCATCCAACTACACCAGCTGAAGTCAGTGTGCTCCCTAGCCCTCGGACAATGAGTGCTGGAGCGGAATAGAGGTCCTCGGCACTCGGATGACAGTCGTTCTGCAACGGCCAGGTCTTGGAAGAGAGGTTCAACATCTGTGACGAGGAGACCAGGAAGATCTTCGAGGCTCTGGACTCTTCCAACAACGAGGACACTGGTCCTGGGCCTGGTTGTCCTTCATCCTTCCTGGCTTAGGGCCTACTGTAGGGCCTTGCTTGGGGTTGCTCCAACAGGACTTTTTGAGCCTGAGTTAGTGTGGTTGCATGTGAGGACGCCTAGAATTGCTTTCCCTCCGTTGCTGATGCCTGCGTTTGAATGTGATAATGCTTGGACCCCGCCCCATCAGCTCTGCTCGTTGACGTGGTTGGACCTCACCAGCTCTGTTTCGCTTGGCGTCCCTCGAGCCTAGGCCAGCTACGGTTAGCTTTCGTTCCCTGGCCCCCCGCCTATTGGGGAAAGTATGGGAAAGTCCAGCTAGTGATGTCGTATGAGAGGAAGTTGGTTACTCCGAGTTCCTCGCTGCCATGATGTCGTCGCGCATTCAAGTTCATGAAGACTTGGTTCGGGCCGCATTCCAGCGTTACGATGAAGATGATTCGGGCTACATCAGCGCCGCGCGGTTGCATCTTCCGGACGCTCCAAGCGAGGAGCGTGAGGCATCCTGTCGGTCTTTCTTGTTGGCCGAGGTGGAGAACCTGAGGCAGGTCTTGACGGAGAGTCTCGACAGCCCGGACCTGCTTCGGCTTGGGATGGGGGGGGGGGGGCCCACTCCTGAATGGACTGGTACTACATAAGCGCACATAAGCTTACATGTCACTTAGTGCCAAGTGAAAACGACACCTGCCGCAAGTTCTCTGAAAGGGATGAAGGCGGCTTAGCAGCTTGTGGCAGCCAGCGTTCATGCATCGAAACTTCCTGGCCCAAGTCTTCGGATTGTGCAGGAAACGGCGGAAGAAATGCTGAGCGGAGTGTCAGTCTTTGCTGGGGCGGAGCAGCGCGTATCGCGACTGGGGCGCACACCAGAAGATGGCTTCCGGCTTCAGCCACTGCAGGATTTGCATGTATGAGTAACATGAGTAGACGGACGCAGGATGGTAGACAAAAGCGGGGAAGGCATTCTGACATCGGACACTGGACCGATGAACAACCAGTGCGAAGCCAGATCTGGCGTAAACACCCCGGGGGCGCATGGGGTTTCGTGGACATGCAGCTAGCAAATCGGCTGCTGCAGCTGAGGTTCGATGCATTCATTGAATACTTGACAGGTGGCGAGGCCAGCTCGGCGCAACACGAGCAGAGTAAGAGTAAGACTACAGTAGCTAAGTTGTCCATTGCTTCTCGTCTTGGATGATGACTTCAAGCTCGCCGCGAGAATCTATTTCCGGAGTTTCTGGCTGTCAGCTTATCCAAAAGGCAAAGTGAAGTGGGTCTTAGTACCGAGTCTGAGAGGAGGTTTCCAGGTTTCCATATTACCCAGAATCTTGTAGAGGGTTTATGATTTGGGTGGCTTCTTGCACTGCCTGCTTTGCTGTGATGCTTGCCAAAAAAGTGCTTTATACGCGGAATAGACGCATCAACGCTCGATCAACACGCCACATTTTGCCACTGCGGTCTTTGCTGAACAGTCCAAAGGGTCGCACTGCTGAGAAGCGCATAGGATGGGTTCCCCGAGATTCTTTCTCCTTTCGCCTTCGGCCACGCCTGGCAGGCCGATGAGTCCCACAAGCGGGCAGTAGGCGGGAAATTGCAGACTTATGGGAGCTCAGAGAGAACTGTTGAATTTGTGTACTCTGTGTGCGGTGTAGAGCCGTGCAGCTGCGTGCTTTTGGGCTGGGTGGCTTCTTGTGCGCGGAGTCGTGAAGTGTGGGGCCAACCGGGATATGAGTGTCAAGCCTGCAAGCGAGATCAAGCGCTGAAATTTGGGGAACGGCTTTTCACCAGTCTCTGCCATGTGGGCCAGGCTTTGTCATAGACAAACAAATGTCCAGAATGAGTTCATCGGAACTAATGCGGATGTCGCTTGGAAGCAGTCGGTGCAGGGAAGAGGGAAGACCTGAGTAGGATGCGTGCTTCTGAGCCATCCCAGGGCTCCAACGCTGCGCCATTGCCCGCTCACTCCGAAGGGCCTCAACAGGGCCAAGAGCACGCCCTTCATGATGGTCGAGGCTGCTGCTGCTGCTGGCCACAGTTTTTGGCATGGGACCTTGATTCTGATTTTGCAGGACTCCTCAGACGATGAGGCAAAGAAGGAGATCCCCATGTCCCCGTTCTTGACCACACCCAATCCGGTGAAGCAGACCAAGGCCGGGCCCCTTATGTCGACGGGTGGTTCCGCTCCGCCACTCTGTCTCTCAAGCGCTCCACACTTCCAGGTCCCCTCCCTGGTGGACACGACAGAGGCGGCTGGGATCCAGACTGGTAAACACATGAAGCCCAGAGCCTTGTGCTAGGCTAGTCATAGTTGTTGTTTTCCGATCAACCTTGTTGTTAGCGTTCTGCCTGGAATCTTCGTGGGAACGATTAACTGAGCAATGTCTCAAGTACCTCTGGAAGGGTATAGGTGAAACCAGCAGGCGCTTGTCGGATTGAGTTTGAGGCCGTCTGAAATACTTCATGCCGACGAACATCGAACCAAAAACCTCACCGAGTGAAGCACGAGCCTGCAATTTTGTGCGCTTTTTGTCAATGCATGCGCAAAACCTGCTTTCGAATGTGCAACTCTTCGAAGCTACTTTCGACCGCCTGTGTCGCCGAATGAGCCGGTGGGCCCGAAAACACGCACGCAGCAATAGACCTCCCTTGCGGGTGCCGTTTTCAATACACCTACAGCATGCGACCTCTGTTGAAATCCTGGGCTCACCCCGAGTCCGCAGGCACAGAACTTGGCATCTCAGTCACGACTTCTATTCTCGTCATAGTCAGTCTGACAACTCGTGGAAAGCATTTGACTTTCCGGTCTTCCACTAATTTGACCGACAGAACAGGAGACAGCAACGAGGAAGGCTAGCTGACTCTGTGCTCAAGCACAATCACACAGCAGGTGTGCTGTGGCACAAGGCTCTCATTGCAGTTAAACGACCGTTTCGTGTTCCTCTGAGATGTTCGTGCCGTGAGCCGAGGCGGCCACCAATGCAAAGCAGTTGGAGGAGGCCCCAATTTGGTGCTTTGCTGTTGCGTTGTTGCGTTCCTACTGCGGATATCCCATCTGTCCTACAGCAGGTGCCTGATGTGCCTGTCTGCCCTCCTGTCGCAGGTGCCGGAAAGCCCCCCGCCTACGGTCCCGACACCTGCAGTGAAGGGAGAGGCACTCGGCCAGCCGGCACATGCAAGGGTTTTCTCGAGATTGAGGTTTGACTATATGAAGAAATGCATCCACTTTTTGAAAGCTCATCAGAGCGTGGCTATCGCTTCCATCTGGCCTGTCAAAGCCAACTCCGGCAGCTTCAGCCAACAGCTGTTAATACCGTTGCTTCCTCATTTACGGATATTGATATTGAAGACTCGATGTGCGCTGCTTGAACAGGGCCTAGTTCTGGTTTCCAAACAGGGCCGTCTAGTGTGCACTCCTGAGGCAAGCCGACCAATGGTTTTGCATACAGACAGATGTAACCCGGGGAATTGGCCTCATTTACCGACCAGTTCGCTGGCATCGCAAGGTGAAGAGCAGTGTCTGTGCGATCCTCTGATGAGGGACTGGCTCCAGAGACAAGATTGGTATACTAACGAAATCAACGGTTCTGTCTTTCTGTAATTTTGAATATGCGTTTTGACTATAATGTGTTTTCGGAAGTGCTTGGGTGGCTGCCTATGCAGATAGACTAATCGATCGATGCGGGAGCCAAAGTCCAGGAAGCCGTAGTGAAATGGTGCGGAGGCTCTCGAACATTTATGTGTGCCCCAACCGAGGGCCATTGTACATTAATTTCGTTGAGAGCTCGATGATGTCAGACCTCGCGTGCTGACAAGCCCAAGGCGCGCACCTAGAAGAGGGTTCACAGCTGAGCATTCTTGAGCTCTCTGATCGTGGGAGCCTCGGGGAGAGAATATCTCCTACTTTTCGTAGCACTTTCACGATATTCCCTCGTAGGTCAAAGACGCTTGCATGCCTGTCTCGGATGCGGAAGCATGCCGCCGACATGCAGGGTGCAGATGCTGGATTTGGCATCTTCAACCCGTATCATGTTCAGGGTTTTCGGCCCAGAAATCACTGCACGGCCGGGGCGTCCACCACCAAGTGGTGTGCCTTCTTCGCATGTCGCGACATGACTGGTGCCGCGGAGACAAACGATTCCTCTCCCTGCTGGCTACGTACTTGACTGCAACTTAAAGCAATATTTCTGAACCCCCGATGATTGCCGAGCCTTGGTCTCCTTACGCAGCGGGGCCTAGGCAGTTCTCGACTGCAAGCCAGCTGGCGAGAGCCCGTGCCCAAGAACCAAGAAAGTCTGTTCATGGCTAAGCAATGGATTGCCGTGCTGTTTTCTGTCCCGGGGACCTCGTCTTCACTATGAAACCAAGCATGTCTTCCGTAAAGGTGGGAGAAATCGCACACGACTTCGCCATGTGATCAACTCGTGAGTGAAACTGCAATGACGCGAGCAAGAATTTTTTTCCACAACAAGAGGAAGAGGGAACATGAAGTTAAACATAAGCGGGAGGGCGGGGTGGGGTTGAAATTGAAACAAAGGGAAGACCAAACGGATCGCCCAGAACAGCCCAGAACGAAACCACAATGCCACAAAGACACGTGGAGCAATGCGCCCTATCTGCCCCTTATGAGCAACTTGACTTGAAGTTGGCTGTTGTGCAACAAAAACCAAAGTCTTCCGCACCAAGGTCCAAGGTATGCTACACTTTTTTGTTACATGTGCAGCCATAGTACAGCCGGAAACGCGAAGTTTCACGAAATCATCGGAGCCGGAGACATGTAGGGATGTCGCCAAGGCTATCAGGGAACACGAAGCCAGAGAGTCTTTGCCTGTCTGTTTGTTTGGGCCTGGTCAGAAGTCTTGGCCCAGGCTACTTCAGCATCGTCGAATCCAACCACTTCCGTGAGCTGACTCACATTGCCACTCGGCAGAGACGTGTGCCAGCATCGTGAGTCACGGCAAAGCCGAAAGCTTCGCGCGCTGTTGCTGACACCCCAGGCGCTTAAGCTTCGACAAGGTTCAGACGAGGCAAGCCTCGTTGTGCTGCCATGTGCTATAATGATGGCGCCAGCTGGGCTTTGAATTGTTGTACTAGTATCTTGCACCGGGCTGCGATGAGTGTGGCTTTTGCGGTGTTAGTTTGTCTTGTGAATTTGTGAGGTGGTGAAGAAACACCTCGCTCACAAGCCTGTTACTGAGTCGGAAGAGTGGAAGTCCAGCCTTACCCCGCGTGACTCATACTGGGATTTACTTGGTCGCAAAAGATTGCCACATGCTCGGAAAAGATGTCGGCATTTTTGGGGGCCGCGGTCCCCGTGCAATCCAGGCTGCGTGCTGCTCGCGCGGAGGCTGCGAGCCTGAGCCAGCGCCTTGCCACTAGCAGCGAGGCGCCGCTTGGCCTGCCAAATGCTCATCGCATTGCGGGACTCCGTGGCGTTGCCAGGCATTGACACAGAACCAGGCGAAGGTGAACGAGCTGACGGCCCGCAGAAGCCGCAGATGCCGATCCCTGCGGATCCTTTCATGGCAGATTCACAGATACATGGTGTCTTCCCACATGTTGCAACATGATCTTGGGGGTTAGGCGTTTCTGTTTGTAGTGAGCCCATAAGGGAAACGATGCATAGGTGCGCGGGTCGTCGCCGACGAGCGAGCGCACCTGGAAGAGTCCTTGCAGGCTGCGGGCTACAGCATCATTCGAACACTCCGCTCCCGCAACGAGTAGTGAGTAGGAGTTGAGGTCGATAGTCGGTCTACGACTCTAGGCAGGCCATTCGGGTTAATCTTCTTTTCATGAACTCTTGTGAATCGGTTTAGGTGTTTGGGGTTTCTTGGCTTGGCTCGGCTTGTCATCGCAGAGGCTGGAGGGTTCTGCTCTCTTGACGGAGTTCGCATAAACAAGTGACCTTTCAACCAAGGCATAGATCTATAGATGCACACCTTCAAAGGTTACTCATCAGCGGGAGCTGCGGGAACTCAAGGATGAGCCCTGCGCCCAGAATTTTGGAGAGCTTCTGTCGGGCTGAGACTGGCGTACTGCCGACTGCCAGGCATGCCCGGGCTCTGACTGAGCTACAGCCTGGGCCTCGGCGGCCTCGGACGTGTGTCAAGGGATGTTTGCAGCAGAAGCTACCAGACCTGTTAAGGCGTTCTTCCACGGCGGAGCGGGCTCGCATGGAATCCGAGCACAAGCAGGCCTGGAGTCCTGGAGCGTGCCAATCGCCATCTGTTGCCACCAGCTTTGCGGAGGCATTGCGAGCTGCTTTGGACCGTGCACAAAGTGCCGAGGGCTCCGTCGAGGTTTCTCTTCGATGCAGGGCCTTCGTAAAACCACGGTTTCCGGCCTCCTGTGTTGTGATTCTTTTGATCGTTTGTCCGGGAGAAACGTCTCCAAAGTCCAGGGAGGGAACCATGTCGGTGTTTATGGATGGCTGACAGAGACATGAAAACTCGCTGCAGGAACTGAAACGAACGCGGCAATCGCTGACAGTGACGGGGGAAAGTTGTGCAAGCCTCGGAAACCACACGACCTGTGTGCATCAAGCGGTGCTTGTTTTCTGATTTTGGACCCGGGGCAGGGCTGCTTGTTTCAGGCCTGCAACAGGTTTTCTTGCACATGTCTGCACTTTCGGTCGTGTGTGTGCATTGTGGATCATTGTGGCGACCGTTTGCTGATGCTGGCGAGCAAGGGCCATTATCTTCACGACTTCGCTAGCCACAGCACGAAAAAGTTGGGACAGGTCGCGAACGTCTGGAGGTGGCTGAGCGTCAGCTCATGGAGGCCAAGCCGGAACCTCCAGTTTACAGTGAGGATGCTACAAGACCCTCAAGACTCCCGCTTCACGGCTGTTCCGGAATCTGCGGTCGATTTCGGAACTGCGCACCGACATGCGCAGCAGCAAGAGTCAGAGCTGCTACCGGACATGCTGCAGATACTTTACTGACAGGCCTCAAAAGAGACTAGCGAGCTTCGAATGCAGCTGAAAGAGTCGGCTGCCCGGTAATCACACATTAGCGCCTTTGTCTCCATGATGTGTTTTGGACGCATCTTCGTCTGCTGGCACCACAGAGCAATGATCTACATGCCGGTTCTAGCCCACGGCTTGACATCATACAGTACAAAATAGCCGAGCAAATGCAGGCCTTTTTGCATCTTGCTGCCGCTGAGGCTGGAAGAGCTGAAGCCTTCCCCTTACAGGGTTTAGGGGACCAGTGTTGGATTACGACAACGTCGAACAGGATTGTTGTGCTCCTTGAGCAGTCGCCCGATGCTCTTCAAAATCGAATGGATCGCTGACACTCGTTTATGGCCCGTCGTGGACTCTTGATCCAAGCGTTCCGACCGACTGCTGCACTGTAGGTTTCGACACGAGCGAGACCTCAACGGCCTCCAGGTGTCGGCGGTTGATTGTTGGGAGTTTGCTCATCGTGGTCAGTCGGTCGTGTCGGTTTGATGTAGAGTGTAGAGCCTTAAATATAAAGACCAATTCAAGGGCTAGTGTCACCACTGTAGTTCGGTGCCGCTCTCAGGTGCAGCTGGCCTCGGTCAAAGAACAACTGGTCGTGCGCGAGCAGTCCCTCGGCTGTGAGCCTTGGCGGGTAGGTGCCGAGAGCCTCAAGACATGTAGGGTTTGGGGATATGTATACTAAAAGCCTCCGACTTCGCTGATCTGCGGTCTGCCAGGCACACGGCCAGCCAGGCAGCTCAGATCGAAGAGGCTGTCAGGGAGCGCCGGGGCCCCTCAGAGTCTCAGCGGGTGTGCGGCGTGGGTAGGCGCTAGCAGCTACGCCGCTACGCACGACACCTGAGCAAACGCGAACAGCAGGTGATGGGTATCGGCACTGAAAACGAGACCACAGCTTAGACGGTGTGAAGCATTGCATCTCTTTGTGGAAGCATGGCAGAGCCGGACATCAAGCAAGGCAGGACGCTCGAGGAAAGTCTGGCCACCGCCAAGAAGCAGGCGGTTGTTGTGTGCAGACTTTGGAACGGTCAGTTCAGACGAAGAGTCGGTGGGAAAGTTGTCTGAAATAGTGCACTCATGCCGCATGATGCAACCCTGCCGACTTCACCACCCAGCGCACCACGTACATGACTCTTCGTTGTGTCAGCAGTACTGTCAGAAGGCCATGCCACTAAAACATGCGTCTAGACTCGAGACGCGATGCCTGATTCCGTGAGCCATTAAATCTCAAAGCTGGACATCTGCCGCAGCTGCTCCGCACTCCTAGCCGTGCTGCAGACGCTGCGAGGCAGGGAACCGGGTGCTTGAAGATGGCAGCATCAGGTGACTTGTCGGTTACTTGGCTGGAACTTCCAGGAGTTGGGCTGAGACCCTGTGCCCCTGTAGACGAAGCTATCCACAGGCTGCAATGGCGCATTCCATGCAGCTGCAGGCGATCGAGGGCCGTTTGCAGAAGGCTCTTGAGCAGCCTGGCAGATCGCGTTTTCAAGTATTTCTCAGGGTGAAAGGATTCGGTGCTACTGCAGTCTTGCTGATTAACGTCTGTAAGTCCATAACCTGACATACAAGACCCCATTCCTTCTCCAGATGCTCTCACCTGCACCTCCGAGCACAATGCAAAACCTCCGGTTGTCAGTGCAGCAGAGGCGTGTGCGATTAGTCCTGAGCACCGAGAAAACGCCGCAGCTGGCAGCGAATGTGCCAGACCCTCAGTGAGTTTGCTTGCCCGTGCTGTATCTTCTGTTTTGTTGAATCAGGAACCCTGAACCACTCAACCCCGACCCCTCACAGGAACTTCAGCCTGAAATCGCACGTTTCGGTTGCAAGCTTGCGTGTAAAATGCCGTACGAGCCCGAATGCCTTCCCCGCCTCCGAGGCACCACCAGTACAATGACAAGTACTTTCTGGTGGAAAGGAGCACATGCATAGCCGAGCCTTGGATGCATCCTCAGGCTCATTACTCCTCTTTAAGTCCCCCAACCTTCCAGCCACGTTGCCTGGGAACGGCGATCTTAGAACTTCTACAGTGATGCTGGCATGTTGGTGTTAATTAATGGCAGGTGTGAGCCTAGAAGGGCCCCAAATGGGCTAACCGACTCGGGCACCAGCTGCCTCGCACGGCCAACATTAGCCCATGAAGCGGAGAAGCTTAGCTGTATCCTGAACAGAAGCTGCCTTCCAACCAGGCAGCCTCGCAGCTGAACTGCCTAGCAGCTCTTGGACTCACAGCGGACCAGCCGCCTGTCCTGGAACGGTCACAGCAAATTGCGAAGCTAAGAAGCTTGTATCATTGTCACCAGCAGGAAAATCGGAAAGGGTCGTAGTGCATGCATCTGTCACTGCAAGACTGGTCTTAGTTGTTGCTGCGCTTCATAATTCAGGGGTGCTTTCGTTGTGCTTCCTTATCGGTGGCTGTGGTTCTGGCAGGCTGCGTGGGCTTCGAGCTTGGCTGCCGGCACAGGTCTCGCTGCGCTTCAGGCACCTGTCTGTGTGGCATCGTTTTTGCCAACCCCTCTCAACTGAGAATGGCTCGGTGGCTAGGGCTAGGCTCAACAGTCGAAGGTTGATCGCGTGGCCCTGCATTGCATTCGGCTTTTGATTGGTTGGTGCAGGTCACAGGAGAAGTGCACCTTTCTGCGTGAAGAGAAGCGCGAGGAGGTGGGCAAAGTCACTCGAGACGACACGTCCTACTGGCGAGTGACCCTCGAATCTAAACTGAAGCAGGAAGATCCAAGAAAGCGCGTAGAGGAGGTCTCCGTGGGCGGCGTCGCACGGGCCAGCTGGTCCAGCAAGGTGCCCTGCTTAGGTTCGAGTCATGCTGTACTTAGCCTTCCACCTTATTGTTGCGTTCTCCTTCTTAGTACAACAATGGCGCGGTCAATATCATGCTTGTACGGATGGTTGTCATCATGCCGACTACGGGGTCCGAATCTCGAGCCGTCCGCATCGGACTTTGGAAGACTAAGGCGTGCATGGGCCTTGTTGGTGTACGAAACTGAAGCAATACGGCATGGCTGCTGTAGTGGAGGCCAAGTCAGCAGCAAAGTTCCTAGGGTCCTAGTCTTAACCAGCGGAGGTCGTGACTACCATCACGGAGTATTTCTGGAAGTTCGAAACCAGCTACACCCTGGAAGCTTTCCGCGGCGTTGGAGCAGAAGATGCCGACAGGCACTGCCACTGCGGTCTTGCAAGTACAAAGGCCTCAGCCCGGAGGTCGCAGCCTGGCAAGGCGAGCCTGGCGAAGGTTTGATCGAAGAATCCTGAAACATCTGCAGAAACCCATCCATCGTTGAGTATTCGTCAGCCTTGGGAAGGTAAATCGGGTGTGGCAGGCTGGCTCATATCCCAGGCAAAGGCCAAAGGTCTCCTGACATCCTTCGCGCCTTTGCCCGTGCTCGCAAGAAAGCAGCTGCAGGCTCCTGCTGCTGTCCAGGAACGGGCAGGTGGAGCTGAAGACCAGCGTTGCGGCACTCAGTCGTGCAGTTGTCACTACATGGAAGCAGTGGGCAAGAGTGTGTCATCTCTGCAGCTTTCAAAGAAATTGGGTCCATGTCTGCCATGCGCAGCTGCGGGACAAGGCCAAATCGCCTCCGCCGCATCCAGAAGCGCGCGTGCCTGCCGTCAATCAGGAGGCAAAGCTCGAGATTGTAAAATCAGACGGCAATCGGGCCAGGAGCCGCACGATCTGCTCACGTGCACTGAGAAGAAAGCAAACTATCAAGTTCCCGGATCGAGGTGAACATCACCTGGCTCCTGCAGCTTCTGTCGCAGGAAGGCACGTCCCCGCTCTTCAAGACGCTCAGCGTTGAGGATGTTTCGACGTAGCCGTAACCATGCATGCCGCTTTGTATACCTGGTTTAAAAACCGGAGCATTGTGGCGAAGCGAGTCAGCTCAGGATTGATCGGGCTGCTACCGGATGCAGCACCCCGCGGCGGAACCAAGATGTGGACAAAGCCTTCGCGCACTTCACAATGTTCACTCAATGGGCTTCGCAGCTGAACTGTACGTGCGGGTTATCCAATGTTACCATTCTGCGGACTTCAAGCTGTGGCTTGGTCACGACATGCTGACATGGCAGGCTAATGGCGTTTCAGACTACCTGCAACTCGGCTGCTTGTAGCCCAGTTTGGCTCTCGAGTGCCCCTTTTGCTTTGCAGCTTGTGAGCGATTTTGCGAGATGCTTTTGGATCGTGCGATTGACAGACGCTCTCAGGCAACATCTCAGTGCCGTCGATCCCAGGTGCACTTTCGATTCCTTCCTTTGCTTGGGCTTCATGGCATGTTTTTTTTCGCGCTTTCGACCAAGAGCCGAGCTTAATTGTTTTAACACAGGAAGTAGTGGCTCCAGTCGTAATACCCATGGAAAGAAATCAAACATATCGTCATCATCAACCAAGAGTCGCAACTAGCCGCAATAACTAGCCGGCGACACGAGGCTCGGCTGTAAAAGCAAAGAGACCACAACAGCAGCAGCAACGACTATCGTCCAAGTATGACATCAAACGACAACAAACTGACAACAAATGTAATGGATTGTGCATGCTGGAGGGGTTGCTGTCAAATCCGCATGCGTTGTAGGTTGAGTAATTACTTCTTCTTGGCTTCTCGATTCCTTTTGGACTGCGGGTTTGCTTGGTGAGTCGACCGAGTAAACATGTTATTGCCCATCGGGCCAGTATCGCTGCAGACCTTGCCAGGCTTGTCTGACTGTGAGAGTCAAGAAAAGCCAGTCTGTTTTCGGAGGACCGTTCCGCAGCTGCCATTGGACGGCCTTTTCGCACCCATCCTGCCGTTGATGGCTTCTTGTCTTCAGGCATTGGTAGTTTTTTGTATCAAGGCACATCATGGTGGATTTCAGCGGTTTAGAGCCTGGTTTTGCAGCTTTTTCGCTGCGTCACCGTATGAGCCCGTCGAGATGCAGCAACAGAGAGAGCGAGTCGACTTCATACAGACACAGAAGAAGAGTCGGTTTTAGTCGTTGGTGATGTTTTTTTCTGTTGTGGGATGAGACATCGCCGGGCATTATTTGAGTGCTCCTTGGAAGGCATGCACCGCGGGAACGTTGGCACTTGGACCAGCCATACCTAATACGGGAAGACCAGAAGTTCTCGCGAGAGAATGGGTATGCGTGTGTGGAAGGATCTATACCGTAATACCCTCGCGAGCAAGCAGGTAGGCCGACAAGCAACGGTCTACTAATTCAGGTACGCGATCAGGCACACACATGTGTTGTATTGTGTTGTGGTGCGATCCAGCGGTAAATTTCGGATGTTGTTTGCAGAGCTTTGAGCTGATACTCGCAAATTCTTGTCTGACGTGATCGCGCAGCTTGGTGTGGTGCTCAGGTGAGCGGTCAGACCTCCAGTTCAAGCCCTGCAGAGCCAGCCGGCACGTTGCTTGCTTGTCTCATCATCGCATGTCAAATGGAGATGTGCCGCGGGCTCCTACTAGAAGAACGAGAACTTCAGAACTGCAAAATAACGAGCACAGAGCTTTGACGTCGCCTCTGCGCCAACCCTGCTTGGACACTTGTCAGGTTAGCCACACTGAATCTGGCCAGTGATGTTCCAGACAGTGCTGCCCTGAGCCCGACATGCAGCTTGCGGGCCTGCGGACCTGGCCGTGGATGGTGATTCCTTTTCAAGATGAAGTAGTTCCTAGTAGCTAGCACCTCTGCGTGTGGTGATTGCTGACTGCTCCATCAAGATCTGAACTTAAGAACCCGCGTGCTGAGGCCTAGTCCTCTCGGTGTCAGATGGAAATCGCCTTCTCAGCGAGGACAGGGGCTTCAGGGCCGATACGGCAAGTGCCGCGCATCGGCAAACCAAGCCCGCCCGGTGCCTGCCAGCACGCAGAGATGGGCCTGTCAGCCGGATTGTTGAATGTGGGCAGGTCTCGTCCATACGCATGCAACGGAAGGAAGCACGAAGCGCCACATCTGTGTTTGGCACACACCTACATGCACCTCCCCGTCCCATGCATACATCACAGCAATCGCGTTTCTCACAGGCGAGCAAAAACGAGGCCTAAGTTTTGTTCCACAGCCGTGTCTGGAGCAAGACGACATGGAATCAGCAATATGCGGCTTGCGCAGAGGTTCGCAGTAATTATCTGGCATGACCGACCGACGGAATCTGTGAAGCAGCCGCGCTGCGAGGAGATGCGAACCCTCAAAGAGCAGCAAGGGAACATCTGCGCCCCTCGGATGAGACTCGTGAAACAGCTACTGACCGGAGGTTTAGTATTTAGGAGACGTTTCGCCCTGCGTTCACCTATCGCAGCAGGTCGATGCTGGGCAATGCTGTTGCAAGCGTTTATCCAGATCGACGGGAATAAAATAGTTTGAAGAAGAACCGTTTTGAAGAACCTGACGGAATCCCATTATTGGGGATTATATAGGGACTACTATAGGGATCCATTTCCCCATTGCCTACTAAGAACCAGACAGAATAGCCCTTGGCTGTCAAGAGCCGAACACGCACTCCAGAAGTGGCCTCCTGCCGGCGACTTTCGCAATTTCTTTTTGATCCATCAGGGAGTTTCCAAAAATAGGGGTCCCAATATAGTACCCTAAATGGTAGGATCCCTATTATTAGGACCCCGAAATAAGGTACCCCCCCCCATTTTCGGAAACTCCAAATCAAGCCAAAACACGCCACAGCTGCAACTTCGGAAGCAGCCCTTTCTCGTCTCTGGGCTTCTGGCGCGTGTTCCCAGGTCCGTTGGTACACAAATGGGGGGTATACCTTATTTTGGGTCCTAATGATAAGGATCCTACCATTTAGGTACTACGTTGGGATCCCCGATTTTCGAAACACTGATGCAATGTTTGTATGACCGATCAAGCGGACAACAAGATGAAATTGAACACATCCATCAAAAAACGCATGCATCCGGGGCAGAACAGTACAGTATAAGATAGGGACTCCTTAAACGGCTAATTTATCCGCAAAAGTCTGTGCTAGCTGCAAAAAAACGTTGCATCGACCAATGACGCATGAGCCGAGGAAAGTCTTCCGGGCAATGATGGCATCTACACACACATGGAGTGTGGTTTGCACTTGATCCTGCGGCATTGCGAGAATGTCGCGAAGCGATGGAGTGAATTGGTGGAGTATGTGTTGGGCTCAGAGGGGTACTGTGGCAAAAAGCTTCTCCTGTCTTTCAACTTCACGCAGTGTTCTTCACGGGCGGCGCTTATGGCCGAACGTGGCATGGGACCGCGTTTTTGCTTGAGTCCTGAGGTGGAAGGCATGCTCCGGAAACAGCTCATAGATGCGATTGGCAAGGAGGCGAGTCGGTAAGCGTAGCGGTGTAGCTATGGAGAATTTGCAACCAAGTGACGTACAAGTGGCAATCCGCATGAAACGTTACTCGTAGCTTTCTTAGCTCGGCTTCGAACTGCGGGGGCTGGCGGCTTACCACCGAAATCGCTTTTGCATGCTCTTGGTCGTTGTCTGGGTGTTCGCCAGAGGCAGTTCTTTGGGCGGGGCGGCTTTCGAAGTTGAAGCATGGAGCTACCACCTTTGAGCCTCTTGAGTCTTCTAAAACACCTGTAGATCAAACTTGGGGGTATTTCACGGTTCTTCTGTGCACCGAAATAGTTCGGGAGATGATGCGACTGGGTTCCGGTGCCCGGCATGACAATGTGGCACAGGTTACGCCGGCCCTCTTTGCTGCGTACATGCGGTTCCACTACCGCAAGCTGTTCCGACAGGCAGGGTCCTCGTGCAGAGGCTTTCCGCGGGCCATCCGGTCCCAAAGCACATGTAAAACGCCCCAGCAAAACTTGGACAGCGTCACTTTGCTTCCAACTTCAACTCCAGATTTCAAAAAATTAGGTTCAATAGTCAGCATGCTTGAGCCTTGGGCAGGCGTTTCAACCTCGCCAGTTCTGCTTCGCTGTGCGGCGGTCAGAGCGACACAGTCCGGAAGCAACGGTAAGCATCGAAGAGGATGCAGTGGGGCTGGATGAGTCCAGCATTCGGAGCCCGACATTTGGAATTGACTGTTGATTCGTGGTAGTTGTGATCTCCTGACCGTGGCTGTTGAATATGTCCAGTCTCTGGTGTCGTGATTCCGCCGAGCGTCTGTAGGAGAAGTCGAGCTTCCCCAAACTCGGCCATTGCTTGCCAATGCCTACTGCATGTTACGGCCCGGTGTGAGGCAGTAATGCCGGCTATTGGTAGTCAGGGCTGGAATTGCAAATATTCATACGAGGCTTGCAGCTTGACGAGCTTTGCAGCCCAGGATCGTGACCATTGCCAACTGCGCCAGTGCGCCTTGCACAATGAGCTTCCCGCTGAATGCATCGACGGAGGTGTCATGGTTTTCAACGTTTTTCAGCTTGCATCTCCTGCAGTGGCCGATCCCAAAAAAGCACAGTCATGGACGTGGCAGGTCTCTTTCACTGGCGACGTCTATCTGCATGGATGGCTGTCTCACCGATTCTCAGGAGCCACAGAAGCAGAGATATGTACGAAGACCCCTTGTCCGACAGTCTGACTGAAAGTTTCAGCTGTCATCACAGTTCCAGCATCACTGCGTTGAAGATCCCGGCATTTATTGTGTTTAGTGTGTAGTCGAGTGTTGTACTGCCAGGCGCCTCTGGTGCGGCACTCTACCTCACCTCCCGAGCTCGACAATTCAGCTCCATGCTGGTACTGGTTGGCCGGGTCGCATCCGCGACTTCCTTCGACCCCAAGTTTGCGGCAACTTTGCTGCATCTGGCAGCCGTTCTTGGTCGGTTTCAGAACTGCAGGAAGCGTATCTGTAGGTTATAAGGCACAAAGCAGAAGTCGGAGCTTCATTGGAGAAAGCTTCTGAGGCCATCCTCCAGAACAAGGATGAGCTGACAATTCCGCTGGAGCTATCAATGATCCCGACACCAAAGGCCACAGATATCCACAGACTCACGAACTGCGTGGTGTGGAACTTGATTTAGGTTCGTCTGTTTTTGAGTTGCCTGGCAGGAGTTCAAGGATGCCATTGCCTCCCTATCCCCGCAGCAGCAGGCCTTCGCCAAGGCCTTCCGGTCGATGCAGCCTCTTGGCTCAGCCTGGCGTAGTCCAGGTTCAAGTCAACAGGTTTAAGCAGAGTGCGTCACTGTCAACTTCGAAGGGGAAGGGCAACAGATATGGACATGGGGCGGCATGGGCTCTGTTGACTCAGGTTGGAAAGCACGCTCTTCGGCGTACTGGTTGTCCAAATCAAGCCTCAGCTCGAGAAGCTCCTGAACTTGCCGGACGACAGCCTGACCAAGGTCGGAAGTAGCTGGACTCGGCTTCAGTGGCAGGAGTCTTCGCATTCTTTCCGTTTGTGGCAGGAGATCAAGCTCACCCAAGATCTCATGGATCTGTTCATCAAGTACCAGCTGCCTGACAGTCTGGTTTTTGATCTGACAGTCAGTGACGCATATGATTTCTTGAGGATTCCCAGCGACCTGTTGTCCTTCAGCGACGAGACGGGTGCGGGCCTTCGGGCGTTTCCATCTGCAGCATCGGCCGTGCGTTGCCAAGCGCTGCACTGCAGGTGATGCGGAGGTGGCACCTGCCCAGCGGTTGGAAATGGTCAAGGGCCACGTAAAGGTGCGGCTCTTTTAGTCTCGAGAACTGTTGACTCCCCCCGGGTTTCGATGCTGGATGTGGCGGCGCAGGCCATGCACGACATGATCCAGCAGGAGAAGGAAGCAGAGCTGTTGGCGGCACGCTTCTGGGCTTGCTAGCGAGCCCATCGAACAAATCACGCCGTGGTGTGCAGCCAACTCGTCGACGAAGTCTTTCGAAGTTCTCTCAACTCCCCAGGCCAAGAAATGGAATATGGTTCGCCGCAGCTGCGAAGCCGGAGATGGGCTGACTCAGACAGCTGTTGCACATAGTCAAGTTAGCAGATCTTGCAAAGGAGTGGCTTGGATGCTCTTCGCAAGGGAACTGTCATGATTCAGGACTGCAGTGACGAAAGCATGGGCTGCCTGGAACGGGAAATGTCGGTACCGCGGTCCGAGTGCGAAGAGTGCGATGAAGACTTTGGTTCAATGGATGGCGACTGTGTGGCTTTGCCTGCATATCCTTCCTATTCCTTCCTGTTGTACAGCTCTGACTTCATCCGTCCTTTTTTCTCGACCTTCTCTTGCTGCTGCCTTGATCTGCCTCTCCATCTGCGACCCAATCTGCCTCTATCTAGCTCATGTCGTCAAATTACAGAGCGTCATGAAGTTATTCTACGTGTGGTGAGTGCTTCCACAGGCCCTGCCGATGGCCGAAGACTCTCTGCCAGCACAAAGACACCATGAAAGGTGGTCCTCTCTTCCTCTCTCTCCACCTTTCCGCCTCTTTCTCGCCGGCCCTACAAGATTGAGGACGCCTCGAACTTCTCTAGTAAAACCCGCCGCCGAGGCTCGGTCCGCACCTGTCGTGCACAAGAGGATGAAGGTGGAGAGGAAGGTGAGTGAGTGTGTGAGCGTGGACAAGCCCCTAGCACTCAATTCCATCAGCATCCTAACGTAGGCAGCGCTTCGCCGCTTCGTTTTTTCTTTTTTTGCGGAGTTCACACAAATTGGGCATGTTCCTTGCTGGAAAGCCTTCTTTCCAGCTCAAGGGAGCGAGATCGAGATCGAGACGGCCGGGACGGGGCGTCAGCTGCAGCCTCCTCATCCGGCCGTTCGGGCCAACCTGCCCAGCAGGGGCAGTCGTCTCAGGCAAGCCTTCTCTCGTTTCCATTTGCCGACAGTCAGGGTCGAAGTTGTTCTATCGTCGTGGTCGACCGTTCATGTTCCGGGAGTGTCTTCAGAGTGCTAAGAAGGCCTCAGCCTCTGGACAGCCTGGCGGATCTGGTGGCGGCCTGCCTTACGTCCGGGTCTCGGGGGAGTTTTGCTGGACCAAATCCAGCTATCTTCTCCTGGTTTTCGTCTCAGGTACGGGACTACACGAAGGTGCCCAAGCAGATGGATGCCCAGTTCGAGACTTTGGCTCCGGACAGAAGCTGGGTCCAACAAGTTTGGGCACATGTGCAGATACAGTAGCTCCTGGAGACAGCGAGCGGTAGGAAAAGGATTCGGGTCTTGCCTCCGTCCGGCCAAGTCGCAGCATTTAGCTTGTGGTCGGGATGGCTTTGGAAGAATTCAACTTGGATCTTCAGGGCCATGCGCTGTGTGCAGAGCCAGGAAGCTTCATGCCTTGTTGCTGCATCAGGGGTGTCAGGGCATGCCGGAGCCTGTTGCGCCTCAGGTGCTCTGCGTCCGACCATTATAAACCCTGGAGTTTGCTGGACAAAGCGATCGCAGAAAGCATTGCTGGCACAGCCGGTGACATCAACTCTCTTCTTCGATGATCAGAAGGCAGAGAAGGCACTGCTGCGAGAGAGTTGAAGTGTTTCCCCCATGCGAGACAGTGGCGTAGGCCGTGTCGAGATCTGTGCTTGAAGTTCGCTGTGTCATGAAGATTGCGGGGAGGATGCGGCCTTTGACCTGCTGGATGCCATCACGAAATCCGGTGCTTTACCTCTCAGCCATGCAGCGCTCCACATTGTGATAGCCGCCCGGCACGGCATCGCAGAACAGAGATACAGTCACGCATGCGCATGTCTGTGTGTGTTTGTCTGTGTTAGTGATAGTGTGTGTGTGTGTGGGTATGTGCTTGTTTTGTGTTTCGTGTGAGAACGGACCCCGGACGTGCCTCTAGCAGGCGCTGGGGCAGGTAGCGTGCTCTCGGGGTGCTGGAAATATGAACCACATACCACTTGCCCCGAAACATGCTGGCGGTACCAGCATAGCAAGAAGCATCGCGATTTGGTCCTAAGCCTAAGCTACCAGGCCGACGTAATTTTCGGGCGCGGCTACAGGACTTGACACGAGCTGTCGGAGTTATCGTTTGGGTTGCGCGAATCGACTCCTTTTTACCCGGAGAGGCTGCGACGCACTGCTTCGACAAGACAGTCACGGAGACAGCAGCCGAGCTCCACTGGGCTTTTTATCCGCCGATGAATCTGCTAGCTGCTTCTAGCTCAACCTGCCCTTTTCAGATGCAAAGAAGTTCAGCATGGCCCTTGTGCAGGGATGACGTGCGCAAATCGAGAAGTGTATTCAGGATCCCAAAGCCAAAGATTCTAAGACACCCAGGCAGCTTTCCAAGTTTCGCAGAGCCGGTTGACTGAAGGTAGTGCAAGACAACGTGAACCCCATCGACAAGGCTGCCTTGAGTAAGTGACATCTGTGATTTCCGCACTTGCTGTTGCTCAACTGTTAAGCGCTGCTCACCACAAGCACAAGTGTAAGTCTCGCTGAGAGTTTGCAAGGGACGCGCTGGCTTAGCTTCGCAGTTCGAGAGGTCGAGCGCTCTACCTTGATAGTTGCATCAACCGTGCACCAGCAGCCTGTCGCAGCTCTCATCGATGAGGCCAGACGAGTCTGCGTGAAGCTTTCGAAGCAGATACTTTCTGTGGCTACTTTGGTGTTGGGCCTTGCAGCTAAAGACGTCGCCAATAGCCGGGACGCATCGGAAGCGCGTGGCGGTCCGCCCACCGTCAGCCCATTACTCAAACCTGCCACAGGCTTCCGTGGCCCGGGTGAGCACCTCGAGCCCACAGCTCTTCCTGGAAGATGCGTGAGGAGACGGCGAGAGCTGTGTTTGCCAAGTTCCGCACAACTTGGAGTCTGTAGAGTTGCCCGTCCCGGACTTGGATTCTGAGAGTTCTACGGCAAGACTTCCGCGTGTGATGTTTCATGTGTTGTAACTTAGAGCACCAGTCAATCAGACAGGTATCGGAAATAGCAAAATTAAAATCTAGCAGCGAATAGAGACGCAAATGACACCCGTATCCATGTGTAAATACAGACAGGCATGCAGACATACCTACCCACACATCTCCCCACCTGCAGACATTCATTACATACGTTGCATACATACATGCATTGATAAAGTACTTTCTGTTTTGAATCTGCGTGCGCGATTTAAAGAAAGCGGTTGCTTCAGATGGACTGTATTGAGCATCGAGTGGGGAAGCCTGTGCTTGCGCTTCAAAAAATGATGTGCACTTCGCATAGCTTGGCTCCAAAATTCTTGAGAAAACCCTCAAAGATCGACTTGGCTGCGGTTTCGGATTGGGCTTGTCACAAGGCGCGTGTAGATCTGTGCAGTTTGCGCAGAAACCAAGCAAGGTGGAGCCAGTTGGTTTACCAGAAGTCAGCATCCTTTGGACACCCTCGGCTTCTTTTCGCAGAGACTGTTTGGCTGTGTGCTGGTGACTGGTGGCTCATGTTGGACCATGGACCAAACGTGCTTCAGGACTGGGAGCTTCCCCAGTGTGGCATCCTTGTGCAGCTTGATGCTTCCAGGGGAGCGCTCGGGACTGCCTTGCGCCATGTTTCACCAGGCGAGTTATTTTCGGCGGAGGCACAGCCACCGTCATGCATAGCTCTTAGAACTAGAACCAACCAGTAAGCGGAATAATGATCTAAAGCTCAGAGATGGGATGCCTACTTGCATCCGCTGGGGCCCGGTCTCGAATCCACCAGCCGGTTCAGAGAGCCTCTCGAAGCCCCCACAGCTTCCAGCTGTCATTGTTGGTCTATGGTTTCGGACGCTGAGATGCGGTCTTGCCAGTGTACAGTCGGGCATGTCTGAACCCTTCTGCATCCCAAAAAACGAAGAGCTGTGTTACCAGCACAGGTACCTATACAGAGGTCACAGCCCGACAGTTTTTGTGGGCAACTTGGATTTCAAGCCAGCGTGATGGATCGCGTCGCCAGGCTCAAGCGCTGGAGGAGAAGTTCAATCAAACGGCGCAGGAGGGTTTGCAATGCCCTTGTATGTCAGCATCCGGAGGTGCCCTTCGTCCCAAAAGCAAGTGCCCAGCGGTTCTGAGGAGATTACCAAAGGCAACCAGATCATTCAGAGCTTGCACCAGGCATCTAAGGAGGCGAAGGCGCGGTGAGCAATGGCTGCCTTTGAGAAAAAATGGTTGGATGTTTGCAGCTTTGCACATTTTATCACATTTTTAGAGCCTGGGCATTCTGTCTGGAAGGCCAAGCTGCGTCTCAAAGCCTCCGAGCTGATGCAGCATGAGAAGCCGCCGCCCAAGAGGGCAGCAAGGTGCCAGAAGGCAGCAAAGTGTCATGTGCCGATGCCCACATCTTTCGCACTGTTCTTTCGCCAGACTTTCTTGTTTGGCCATGGGCTCAGGACCAGACTAGAACTGGAGAAGGCCTACCCTTGGTATTTGCTGCAGTAGCTAGGAATGTATTTGATATTTAAATTTGTTTTTAGAGTACGATGTATTCTCACACGAATTGTGTGTGTGTGTGTGCGCATGCACACACACACACACATATATATATGTATGTATGTATGTATGTATGTATGTATGTATGTATGTATGTATATTTACTTGTTGAAACACAAAAACATGCACGTGCATGTGGGTGAGTGGGAATGCTTGGTATCATTCCGAATCGTGTCACCGTACATCTACCTTGAGAGGCCTTCATATCAAAAGCACCTGGGCACAGGCCGAGGAGCTCAAGAAGCGTGACCTGGAGGAAAAGGGCAACGAAGTGCCAGAAGCTCAGGGAGTGTGGGCGCATGTGTGGGTAGAGCCTGCCCCGTCCACTGTTTTTGGGGGGCTCTCCTCTTTCTGCTTTCCTGGACTCAGGATGCGGGGTAAGGTCCTGAACTTAGCCCGCCGTGCTGGTGCTGGGTGCATTTAAAACCTCGGCGGCGAATTCTCTTCGCAGTGGTGTTGTACTTCTCGCGCAGCGCATAAGCAGGCTTTAAGCGTCCCTTCCGCTTAGGCTCGCGAGGAGAAGCTGCAGCGGGACATCGAGGACCTCAAGCGAGAGCGGGCCATGTCCTCGCTTCACACCCGTCGACCATGCACCACGCAAGTCTTGTGTGTTGCCCAGGTCGAAGCTCAGGATATCATAAGATCCAACAAGGAGGTGCTTGTAGAGTGAACAGCTGCATGCTCAAGAGCGGCATCACTGTAACTTGGCGGGCTGATTGAAGAATTGCAAGTCGACTGCCCGCTGCTTCAGATTGCTGTTCAGTACATGTGGTCCAGCATGTGCTCAGAACGTAGAGATATTCGAAGCAGATCCTGCCTAACAACACAGCAGTGAAGACAGGGACAGGGAGGGAGAGCGGATGCGACTTACTCATGCCCAGTGCGAGCAGCGCGCACGCAACATTCAGGCTAACACTTGAGTTCCAGACGTGGCCCGTTGCCATGGCTTGGTATCGCATGGTCTGCTGAAGGCAAAGCATGCAGCCGCTGCTCGGTGATCATATGGACCTGTTCTGAACGGTTCAAGTCTTTAAGAGAATGCTTTGTGATGAAGTGCAGATCTTTGGCAAGGTCTGGGACTTTGTCGCTGCCAGCGGCCCCGTTACTGACAAGGGGAACGAGGACGCCACTGCGGAGCAAGGCCCAGAAGATCGAGACAACCGAAGCTGCCGCAGAGTGGAAATGCTTGAGGCCCTGCCGCCATCCCTGACCGTTGCCAGTGCAGCCGCGCTGGCAACGCTGACGGCGCACGCAGGGGTGCGCTTGCAGGCGAGCAAGAGGCGGGGAGACCCGGAAGGCACTCACAGCGCTTCTCACATCCGAGCCCAACAACATGCAAGGACATCCTCGAAATTCCGTCCCAGCCGACGAAGGGCGAAGGCCTCTTGCGCCAACACACAACTTGGACACAAGCGCGGTGTGGGGTACGAGCTTGTCAGGTCCAGGTCGCAGCCTCCAAGTACTACGAGGTCATTCCCCGAGAAGGCGGCTTGATTGGGCATGTCTTGTGTTGGGGGCAGGGCTTTTTGGAGGCTTCCAGTCGAGGATTGTCGAGCATATTCACTCGCTATGTGTGCGGTGCCGGCGACGCCCTTTGACAATGACTTGATTGGGTGCGCCTGGTTTCAGGCTGTGCATTCGGGGCCTCCGTGCGTGGTTTCAGCGTCAAAGAGGCCCTGAATGACACAGCTGTGATGGAGCAGATCCGCTCGGCTGCTTTACTGATAAAAGGGTGCACTAGCATGCTGTGTTTTCAAGCTTTTCAGGTGAGGTCATCGGAAAATTAAAGGACGGCCGGTCCACTTCCAATGTGATGATCGGCACTGGCACTGTGTAGACCTCGGAACAAATGTCAATGGCTGGTTGCGCCGAGGACATGTACAAATACCGGCTGCTAGTATTCCATGGGCAGACAGACCTGTTGCCGGAGGATCACATTAAATTGAGCAGCTTGGCTACATCGGTTGCTTGTAAAAGCAAGGATCCATTCTGGATAAGTGCTCATTTTACCAACCCCTCGAGCCCCGCAAGGACAGAGCTTGGCACCCCACAAGATCCCATGCCGAAAAGTTTTGCCAGGAAGAGATGCGGAGTGCCATCGTTAGGGCATGTTAGGGCTGGACATGTGTGCAATAACTTGCAGTGCTGGACGTTGAGGGTGGTTGCGAGGTTGAAAATATGATTTGGATGCGAGAAGCCAGTACAGTTCCACACAAACGTTGCCAAAGTCTGCTTGTGAAATCACTGTAGAAACTGGCGCAGTCTCGACTACCTCAGGGGCACCGATGAAATTTAATGGCTTTGACTGGGGAGGGGCCACGGTTCTCAATGCAGCACTGGGGGAAAGGGAGAGTCTGTAACCGGGCTGCTGGACAACGAGGCTGCAAAAAAAAGCAGTGCCCTTGCCCTGCAGGTGAGCATCTAGGCTCACTAGAGCACATCCTCCATCGGCCGCACCCGAAGTCACCGGATCCTCGGCTGCTACGTGTGGCCAACGACGACCGAGAAGGCCGTTGGGTGAGTTCGCGACGTGTAGTGATTCGCTGTCCCTTCGGTTGCCGCGGGTTAGGGTTTTAATGGTCGTCCCGCATGCTAGAGGCTTCATGTCGGTGGGCACTAGTGGCTGGCATGTGGATGGTGTCATGCTCCAAGCGCCGATGCTTGGCGGCAGTTCAGAGGATTTTTCCAAGAAAATTTTGTCTGCAGAGCAAGCATTTGCGCCAAGGTTTGCTGCCCAGACTATGCACCACTTGTGTCAAGACAGCAACGACTAGATTTTCCATCGAGCAACAGACCGTCTGTTGGTGTGACCGACGGCTGATTCCTGTCAGTTGAATATCGAGAAAGGCATGCCATACCTGGTGGAGATACCATGTTTCTGGGCCTCAACGAGCTGCTGGAGTCAATGGATGAAGAACTCCGGGCTCTCTGTGAACGACTGTGGTTCGTGCCTGACTCCCGGTCAGCGGTAGACATGCCATGTGCTCTCATGAACCAATGCTGCGCAAGTGCTAGGTCCGGTGTCGGGGAGGACCTGCAGCAGGGTGAAGGACAGATGTCTATGTTGCCCTTGGTATACAAGCACCCCTTCACCGGGGAGAAGACCATGTGCTTCCACTTGGGCCTGCGGCCCAGTCCTTCACTTTTGAATGCCGGAGTCACCTCAAAGCAGCCAAACTCGTATCAACAGCTGCTGTATTGATGGTTGCTGCAAGAGGGAGTTGCACCGCTGTCGGACTGAAGACAAGGTCAGACATATTGCCTGGGCTTCGTGGAGGAGATTCCCTTGAATGCATTTCTGGAGGCGTTTGCAGACGTTACCAGGCTTCAAGGAGCTCAATTTGCTAAGCGCACCTCAGATTTGTCCACCTTTCCGGTGTCAAGGTCATGACTCGGGGAGACAAGCTGTTCAAGGATGCGCGCTCATCGTTGCAACGGGTGCTTGCCGGACCAGAGAATAACTGTCCATCCAATTTTCGGTCTCTCGGATGCAGCATTGCATACGGTTACATGGCCATGTGTGGAAACATGAGAACGGGACTTGTCACAGTGCGCCCTCCTCCCATGCCTCGGAAGGGAGTTGTTGCCGTTTGTTCAGGTTTTTGCCCGCGCTGCCCGTGCAGGCTGGTTGACGAGGGTTGATTACCAGGTTAACCATTACCTACTGCACGGAAAACACACGCACATGTCAGAAAAGTCCAAGAGAACAAAGGCATAGGTGCAGAGCTTTGCTAATCTAGTGGTGCCGCAGGATGCGCTGCAGAAAGCTATTGATGGGATGGATCCGGAAACCCACAGCCGAAGCATTCTGCGAGTAGAGTGGGACAGAGGCGACCTGGCACCCTCGCTGCAAAGTTCTGAGAGCACTTGCGAAACAGTTTGTGTCTCATGCAACACAGCTGGAGCTCGAAAGATTCTGCCCAGGCGCTGATTGACAACATGGGTTTGGCACACCTTCCGGCCCCTGGCACCCAGTCACTGCCTCTCATCAGCGGACCGGGTGCGCTGTTTAGGATTTCGCTACGTGCACCTGTGCCGGTGGCTGACACTGCAACCATCTTTCCCCCTGCTGCGCAGTTCCGCAGGACTTCGGGTTTTCCATCGGACCACGATGATCAACCCAGAGGTTGGTGGCGAAAAAGCCTGCACTCCATTAGCTGTCAGCAGTACAGCTTCTTCAACTGTTACTTCGGAGTTAGCCTGCAATGCGGGCTTTGTCCTTGCTAGGTAGGAGGGGAAAAATGGCTCTTCCAAGCTCAGCTGACCCTGAAGGCCGTGGTTCGAAACCTTCGCGGTGCTCCATCTGTTCTGCTTGGAGGCCTTCTTGCCCTTGAGAAGGACCTTCTGCAGATTCGAGCAGTCCTTCCTGTGAGGCAAGAGGCGAGACGGCCCGATATCAGACGAAGCCGTTGAGGATCTGGATGCCATGGGCCACTGGTCTCGAATCGTGTTCATGCCGTCATGGTTGTCGCTAGCCAGAGGGATGCGACCTCAGCATCCCCGTCTTCATTTTCATCGAAAAGCTTCATAGTCTTGCAAGTCTTTGTGTGAAAACGAGTGATAACGAGTGTATAGTGCGGCAGCGCAACACAGAGGTGCATATATGGTTCTGACTATCCACTCGCCGACACCCCCCCTTCCCAGCGTCCACATCCAACCATGCCGAATCCTTGTGACTGTGACATGGTGGCCCCCAAACCGCCAACATGTTAACTGTCACGAGGATCTCGTCAAACACACATCCAATTCTTGTGATGATGATGCTGATGATGATGATGACGATGACTATTATGCCAAGCACGACAGATTGACTCGTATCGCGAACCACACCACACCACAGACACAGCAGATGGGGGAGGTTATTTGTTTATGTCTTATATGCACATATAACCATGGCTGAGTGTTATTGCCATGAGCAAGCACTGCCATGATTGTGCCTGCTTCTTACCAGTCTTGGATTTCAGTTTCCTATTCTTGCATTGATATTTGCAGATGCTTTCGCTGAGACCGACCTTGAAGAGCTGTGTCCAGGTGCTATTCTCCGATCTCTAATGGCAGCGGCACCCATAAACGAAGACGAGTTGGGAGGCGGCACCTCCCTGAAGTCACCGGGGAGAGTTAAACCAGCGCATGTCTCCATTCAGGCGACCAGAGAGGTGGGGATTTGCAGATTCCAAAGAACGCACGCGGCCTAATTGCAAGTCACCAAACGGTACCAGGACCGGGACTGGCCAGAATTCGCAAGAAGTTCAAGCGCAATCTCACTCCAATCTCCCGTTTTGTTGAGGTGCCGGCAAGAGAGGAAGCTTTGCGGGCTCTAGAAGAAGCCCAGCAACCTCTGGAGACTTGCCTCAGAAGCTGCTGTGATTCTGTTTTTTTCAGCCGGTGCTTGCGAGCCAATCACAGGACATGCTGAAAGACGTGGATGCAGAGCTGCAGGCCCGGCGCCACTTGCAAACTGACAGCTCCGGAATGGCATGCTTTGAGGCCGCCACAAACCAAGGCAAGGAGACCCTCACGAAGACGCTGAAGAGGATCCCATGCCGTCGGCTAGCGTTGAAGGTTCCGTAGCCTTGATGAGTGATCCCATGAAGTTTTGGGAAGGCTCATGATGGAGTACCATCCCGACCGGAACCAGAATCGCGAGAAGGAGATCATCCCGATATTCAAGCCACCCGGTCGCACCTACAGCTTTGTTTAATAAAGAGACCAGCCAGCCCGTACTGGAGGTATCTTCGCCGGCTTCGGAAGGAGCAGGGGCGGCCAGCCAGCGTCATGGCACAGACCAAGGCCCAGCACCGAATTTCCCGATCTTGGCTGCCGTGCGATCCTTCCGTCCGACCTTCGTTGCTCTGTTTCAGACCATCCCACATTTCTTACCATTTTCGTCCATTCGGCCAGCTAATAGGACCAGGAAGGGAGTCTCCAGACATGCTTAAGCCAAGATGGTGGGCATCCAACCAGCTGATGAGAGCACTCTCTCATCTGAGCGGCTGGACAACTGGAAGGTCGAAGAAAGTGCTTGTTGTCGTCAAGAAAACCACTGAAAGATCCCTTTCGCTTCGAAGACCAGACCAAGTGGACAGCAGTAGCATCCTCATCCTCTATCTGACGCGACGTGGTTCAAACGGGCAGTGTTCGTGCTCGAGCATTCCCATGACACCGCCGATCTTGGCGCGTAGCTTGTTGCCGGGTTCCAAACCTGGCCCATGATTGCAAAATTCAGACCTATGGCCGCCATGGCCCTCGCTTGTTCTTGCATCGTGCTCGCAGTTGGGCGGCGACAGGGAGGTCCTCCGGAGCCGCTGGACCCAACAGGGAGCATAGGCTTCGGTCTCGCCAAGGCCGAGGCAGCCGTGGAGAGCGAAGTTGAGCTCGTGGATTCCGAGCTCCGCTTGGCCCAGGAGTCTGAGAGAAAGGCATGGGCTACAGTTTCCAGCATTACACAAGTGGGCCCTACCCTGGATGACATAGCAGCAAAGGTCACGACAAACTTCTTGATCTCGACCGAAGATGTCCCTCCTTCGGACCCCCAAGGGGTGTACTGGCTGCAGGTTCAGATGTCGGCCTTCGATTCGGATGGCTGCAACCGCTTCAAGTCCTTGGTGACCGAAGAGATGCACAAGCTGCAGTTCCCCGTTAGCCTGCTGCCAATGACCTGCGAGGGAGCAAAGCTCAGCGTACGGTGCCTTCCTCGACCGCTTCCTGCTGGAGCGCCGGCAGCTCTTCAGCTATTCAGTGCTCAGATCCACCACATCAACATCACAGAAGGCACGTTGGCGGATGTCAGCGACATTGTGGCCAAGAAAGACGCGCCAGTGCTCGAGGAGATTTTTCAGGGCCTTCGCTACGACTTGGACGTCAGCGTCACGAAGGCTTTGGAAAGGCTGGTCGTTCAGAAGCTTGAGGATTTAGTGGCAAGGAGTTCTGACCACAGTGTGGCGATGCTGGACAGAGGCAACTGCAGTGCGAGCGAGCTCCCTTGCAGGTACGCTTGGGAGGGAGAGTGTTGCAGCACGAGTAGCTGCCAGGACTACCTTACTGAACAGTGCAAGTTCAATGCCACCTACTGCATGGAATACTGCAAGGCCACCCTCGAGGCAGCCAAGGCTGCGGGCATGGACCTGGTCCAGCAGGTGGTTAGTATGTTCAAAGGTGCATCCTCAGACCTCCGCCTGGCATACGACGACACGAAGAGGCGAGAGCTGATTCGCATGACACCGTTTTTGAACCTGTCTTACCAGAGTCTCGTTGGTAGCCTGGCTGACAATCTCAAGAGCCTTCCGCCGCATTTGCGCGGCAATGCGTGGGCCATGTCTCTTGCTAGCATACTCGAGGGAGCCACGGAGACAATGGACACACTGGACTTTGTTGAAATCAAGAACTTGCCGGGCGTGAAGGCTGTTGTAAGCCTGAAGAACATGCACCCGTTCAAGCTTTTGGGCAGCATCATGCAGGACGTTGGCCTTTTCAAGCTCCTCCGTCAGACGACGAGCGAAAGCTAGATAGAAGGACTTGTCTCCTTGCTTAAAGAGCCAGTCGTGCGCAGCAGATCGTTGACGGAAACAGCCCGGCACAGATGTCCGTCTTATGTTTTATCTGCAAAACTGGGTCCATCAAGGGTTTCTCAGCGAGCGCGCAGTTAAGGGCTTCTGTAATTAAGTCTTTAGTTTTTGTAGGGTCTACGCCGGCTGTAGTCTGTCGTTAAGCGGTTGTGAGGGATTCTATGAGGGTTATGCCGCTGTAGGGGCTCAGGGCTTTGGGCTTGGACCCTTGCCGTCCTTTTGTCGTGCTGTCATGTTGCCATGATGAGCGTTTACTTAGATGCTGCATTCAACAAGTTTGACGCCAGGGCCGTGTCGTCGACCGGCTACGAAAGAAAGCCGCTCTTCTGCAATCTGCTGCTACTGCTAGTGAGCTCCGGAATGTTCCGAAAAGTTGTTCTCCGCTTCGAGGGTCGCCTGAACTTGGCTAGCTCTTTCAGCACGTTGCAGCGGACATGTGTCGCTCGCAAAATCGATGTTTAGTGAAGTCTGCACAAGTTTTGTGTGTGTGTGTAATATCAGATTGTCTGCAACTTGCCAGCTTGCTTGCCGCAGGTGCCGTAGGAGGCTCCAGAATCCAACGATCCACACGCTGCATCTGTCAGGCTGCCAAAATTTCTGTTGGCGTGCCTCGGATGCAACAACTGGAAGCTGGCCGCTGGGGAGTTGCAGCACTACTACTTTGAAAGTTGTTTGACATGAAGGTGGGCGAGGAGGTTGCGGGCTGATTGTAAGCGGAGTCTCAGAAAATCGCCGAATGTGTAATCGCTTTCCGGCAACGATTGGTGTCTGGGGCAGCTTTGCCCCGTAGGCTTACATGAAGGTGAAGACCACCTTACACAAGCACTTCGCAGTTTTCTGCCTGGCCAGAGGGCCGGGCATCCCTGCTGAAACCAATTGTTTAAATCTTGCCGTACCCTGACTCCGAGTGGCTCAGAGGGAGACTCTGGGGTCAGCCGTGACAGTTTTCCGCAGCGAGTGGGATGTGAGCCCAGTGCTCCTGCAAAGACCATCAAGTCATGCAGAGCTGCCGCTGACTTGGCGCCTGTGGAGCGGAGTTTAAAGCATTGCAGGTGATCGAGTACCTGAACCGCCAGCTGACGGAGAGAGACCTCAAGGCCGGCGCCGAAACTGCGCCTTCCCTGAAGGAGTCCTTTTCCGTGGAGCAGTTGTGCAGGCTTTGCCCGGGCCCGCCAGCCCTTGGAGCCCTTCAGTCCGGGCCACAGGGCCTGGAGACGCTCAGAGATGCTCCGTGCGTGTGGGGGCTTTGCATGGCGGTGTGAGCCCAGGATCCCAGCGCCTCGACTTTTCGGGCTGGAGCCAACTCAGCTTTGTCAGAAATCCTTGCGAAAGTTGATAGCCGCCTCCTCGGAAGTTCATGGAGACGTGTCGAGTCGATGCATGTTTTTTTGATGTAGTGTCTGGCTCAATACCAGACCCGTATCGGATGAGACTGATATTATCTCAGCCTTTTCGGGTGTAGACGAACCGCCAGCAAATTTGATGTGCCCAGTGGCTCTTAGCTGTATTTCGAGCTTCGAGCCTGATGTTCGGCGTGCCGCGACTCCTGCTGGAGGCTCTAGTACTACGTATCACTATGACTATTACTATGACCATTACTCTTAGTACTATTACTATTGCTAGTACTACTATTATGAGTAGTTGCACCCGACCTTTAGATCTGGCACGGAGTTTGCGTGACGCGAGGATGATGTCTGGGCGGAGCCGCGGGCCCTGCAGGGACCGGTTGTTGAAGTGGTGGCGTCCACCGATTCCTTCCGACAGCTGGCGAAATGGCGGCTCCATGACGGAGACCGTGTTCTCGAGATAGGCACGGGCAGGGTGGTTAATCAGCTCCGAAGCCGCAGTTTCGTCAACAGCCCTCGTCGAAGTCACAACTGCGAAACGAGTTTTGTTCGAGCTTTAAGCGGTGCTTGAACTTTCTCGGTGTGGACGCTCTCCGACATTCTCAGATTCTCCTGTGGAGCCAGGCTGTTGCTTTGGACAGTGCACGGTCATTCTGGCGGAACGTGCCGCTGAAGTACTCGCACTGGACACATCAAAGGTCCCGATCCCGTCGCAGTTTCGATAGGCGCTGGCTTGACGACAGAGTTTTTCCTCCCTGAGGAATGCGTCCAGCTCACTGCTCAGCGCCTGCGAGAAGAACGACTGGCGGAGCGAGCGCGGAGTGAGAGGTTGGACGTGCTGGCTCACCCGGAACTGCTGAGGACGCCCGTCTGTGGAACGTGAGTAAGTCCTGTAGGGTAGTAAGATTTGGTAAGATTCAATGAGTTAATAATAAAGTTAAACCAGCAGAACGGCAGACTATCCAAGGATCCTGGGCTCCTGCAATCCTCCGTTTTCCGTCGTCTTCGTGGACATTGGCGGCAACCGGGAGCTGAACCATGTGGTGGAGTTGCCCCTGGACCAAACATTGTGGGCACGATGCGCATCATTGACCTTGTCCTGGCCAGTAAAAATTCCATACTGTAGTGTAAAGTGTAAAGTTCTCGGCAGCGTTAAACTTCATATACACAGTCTGTGCCTCTCCGTGACCAGGCTTGAACTCCTGGACCGGACGATGCACAATCTGAGTTACGTAGCCGTGAAGAGCGAGGCTCTTGCGGAGGCCAGCTGCCAGCTGCCGGAATTCAGAGCTTCTGTGTGGCCCTGTGGCCTGCAGAGTTTCGACAGCCTCAACTTAGCTTCAGCATGTTGAACGATGTCGACCCCCCTGATTGAACGTTTTCGGACTTTAGGGTGACCACTTGCATAAGTGGTCACCCCAAAGTCCTTATACGGATTGCACAGCTGAACTGGCAACGAGCTCAATGCCATCGCCAGCTTTGAGGTTTGTCGGTTTTGACTGCTACGTCTGGCGTTGCGAGTTCATGGCTCCGCGGTGATGCTCTCTTTTGTGCTTGATGCGCTACTTGCAGGCATTGGCGCGCGCCCCCTTGAACGAGATGCGGGTTCAGTGGTGGAAGGACGCAAGCTTACCCCCTTGTTGTCTGTTTGAGTGTGGACAACCGACTGAGTGTGCTGAGCGGCGTGTGTTCTAAGCGGATGGGACACTCGGACACTGTGTTGAATCTGCACTTTGGCTCAAGTGCTACGGCTCAAGACAGCTTCGGGACGTCGGGAACAGCAGGATACCTGCAGCCCAAATTCTAGTGATTCTAGTAAGCGTGAGCGCGTGAGAGCCAATGATCGCCGTCCTCGATGGCTTTGTGGATGAGGAGTTGCGGCAGTCGATCATGGGAAAGCTTTCGCCCCTCCCCGCCGGCGAGAAGACCGTGCTCTCCCAAGTTCCCGTTTCAAGGCAGCTGGAACAGCGGCTGCAGTCAGTTCTCAGATGGTGTGCCGAGGGTCGTGACCCAAAGGCTATGGCCTTGGAAAAGCAGTTTAGCGCTCCAGGTCCAACCAACTCCTTAGATACAGTTCTGATGCCAGGGAGAGTAGCCATCGGAAGTTCTCCTATGCACCAAGACACCGGATTCGATGCAACAGGGAAGCCGGATCCGGCATATGTCAAGGGCTTCGTGGCAGTGCTGTACCTTTCTGGTTCTGGCAGGCTCACGATTCACAGCAGCTCGGAAGAGCATGTGGTGGAAGTGAAGCCAGCGCGGCTCGTGGTGTGGCCCAACGATCGGTGTATCCATCGTTTAGATGCCGGATCAGGCAGCCGCATGATGCTGGGGCCCATGGCCCTGGACCTCGCTGGGTGGAAGCGTGCTGGGGACCAGTATGCTTATTCTGTCGGATCACAGGCCCGTGCGATCGAAATGGCAAAAGAAAAGGAGGATGAAGAGAGAGCAAGGGCGGCAGAGAAAGAACAGCAGTCGGCAGAGCCAAAAGCTCAGACGAAGTGTGGCCCATGCACAGTAAGCTGAGTTGGGGAAATGCCGATGCACATTGTCACATGATTTGCTATGGCAGAACGATGCCAGCATAAAAAAAAGTGTCCAGCTTGCCTGTGCTTTGGGAATACTTGCGGCAGCATGAGGTTTGCAGTCTCCTATGCCCTTGAGTTGCAGAGGTTTCTGGTGGAAGTGGATGGAATCTGCCGAAAGTCGCTTCCGCGGTGTGAGAGTTGTTGTGAAACGAGTTTGGACGAAACTTTTAGTTCGTTTGTCGCCGACCAGGTGTGCCAATGTGCATACTTGTTTCTGCTGGGCGGGTGGCAAAAAAGTGCATACTGTATGCATGTACTCATGCTAGTTGTTGCTTTCCCGTAAACCTCGTCTGACTTGTCGAGCACGAGTGACAAAAGACCTGCGAAGTGTTTTGAAGGAGCTCACCCAGCAGCTTTGCCGAAAGAAGTTGCCAAAGCGGCCCATGCAGAAAATTTTGCAGCGCCCAGTCCGCAGGCCGGCCGTCTGGTGGAACGGAGTAGTGGCACAAAGTCGTAAAGGATCAGAGGGTCCGTCTGACACGTCTACCTTCCCGAGGACACCTGAGGGCAAGGAAATATGTCGCTTCGCGAACTATGCCGAATGCTCCAAGGGGGAGGAGCGGTGTGCTTGAATGCCTCCAGCCTTAGCTCGGCTACAGCCTTGCAAGAAAACAAAGCTCGATTGTACACCCGAAGTGTCGGGTTGATGAAGGGGTCTCCAAGCTACGTGGCAATCGATAAGCTTTGTCCTGCGAGGACTGCAGGTACGACCACGCACATTGCCACTGCTGCGGTGCTGTGGGACACTATGCCCGCGATTGCGTGCAGTTCGAGGAGAAACTTCCAAGAGAGGATTGAGACTTGTGGACGTGGGTTGCTCATCGGAGATGGCTATCGGTAGAGAGGGTAGTGTAGAATGCAGAATTGTAGATTGTGTAGCAGACGGCGGAACCGGTAGAACGGTGACCACACCGTTGCATGCCATTTTCACTTGGGTTCTGCGAGACATCCCGAGTGCCTACCGGCCGTAACGAAGTGTTTTTCGAAAGTGTCATAGCAAAAAGCTAAGACGATCATGCCATAAGGTGCATGGCCTGTAACACGATTCTTCGAGACCTTCTACTGGTAGCGCCTTGTAGCGGGTGGCGGCGTTTTCGCTTTAGCAAGCAAGCAGCAAGATAAAGAACAGCAACCGGCTTTAGAAGGGAAGTGTTTGGAGGCCTGGTCCCGGTAATGAGGTGGTAGCAGGCGGGGGGCCTGGGCTCACGCGTTGCCCATGGAGGAGACGGACCAGGTTGATGGTGAGCCTACCTACAGTCTCTGCTCACCTGTGGCTCAACGACTCTACAGTGCTCTTCGGGCTGGTGGCCGGGACCAAAGCACAGTGGATGGACAAAGCGAGCAAAAGGACCATTGAAGAGCATCTTCACCCGACAGCAGGCTGCAGGTTTCTCGAGGACGAAGAGTATGATCATCACGGCCAGTGTTCTGCTGAGGAGTCTACCCACTCTTGCACGATGCTCTGGAAGTGTCATTGCACGGGAGACTTCAGCAACACGCAAGACGCCTGCAGTATGGCCTCAAGTCGCATTCCCGAGTTGCTTGAGCAGTTGTGCGAGCCAACCAAGCGGGCGAGAGCATGCTGATGCGAGACGGTCGTGAAACATTCCGAGAATCTGCTTGCATAAGCTATGGTTGAAAGTTGACCCGTGAAGCTGGAGGGCAGAGCCTCGTTTCACGGGCAAATGTGTAGTTGATCCGTGCGGGCGATGCCAGCTGAGAGAGAGAGCCGCAAACAAAAGCTCTTCAGGAGGCATCTGCTACCCAAGGAGCACCCGAAACAAGAACACCCGAGTTGCACCCTCAAGCGCATCGTCGCCGCCCGGTCCCAGGAAAGCCGACATTACTGCGACGAAGAGTTGTATGTCGCGGGGTTTCTTAATTCCCAAGAACTAGAACAGAGTGTTTTGTCGAGCGCGCTTGATTCTGAAGACGTTCGGCGCGCAGGTTTAATTCTGAACTGCTGATGTCTCCGCGTGCTTCGGAACTGAGTCTTACCAAGAAACGAGGCCGTAGCTAAGTATGCAGAATTAATTATGCAGACGCATATTCTCAAAGCGTTCTGGGTTAGCTCGAAGCTTGCCTGTGTAGTGTTGACTTGTGTTGGGATTCGAGTGCGGGCGGTGTGATTGAGACCTACACTACGTGTCTGAGTGTGACACTGGCTCCAGAACCACGTGACCTGCAGGCCCTTCAGACTCACAGCAGTTCGTGACGAGTACGACGGCAAGCGCCCGGAGCTGCGCGTATTTAGAGAACAGTTTTTTGAACAGCTCCACTATGCTCCACTCATAGCGGCAGCAATAACAGCAGCATCATCTTCTTGTCATTGGCAAGAGTACAAAGAGCAATCGCTCTTGAGACAAGTAGAGCAACATGACTCCTGCTACGAGAGCCTAGCCTCTACATTAGCAACGGCCTGGTCGTAGACATGGCCACTGTGGATGGCAGAGCGGCGAAGCGACACAAAAGTCAAAGAAGAGCCAGAAGCACGGACTAGATATGGTAGTTGTGCTAGTGAACATCGTGTTGAAGCCCCTTGTATTAGCAAGTCTGATTAGCAGATCATCCTTAGGGTCCCGAGAACGCCATCTTTGACCTTTCCAGTTCGCTTTCAATCCTCTCCATGGCAGCTGGTACTGCCCGATGTCGGCACTGCATTTGTCGACTAAACCGTTTTCGTGGCTGCAACACATGGCCGCGGGTCCATGGCGCACCTGAGCAAATCATTGTGTGACGATTCGCTTGCAGGCACAAGCTTTCCGACATCTTTGCGGCACTTCCTTCATTAGCCTGTGGCCGAGGTACCGCTGCTACCACCTATGTCTCGAAGGCATGCAACTCTGACCGAGATCGATTGCTGCTGTGGTTTGGAAACGTTTTTCCACGCAGAGTTCCCCACAGATTTTTTGTTGCTCCGGATTGAAACCTGGAACAGTGCCTTGCTGTACCTGCCAAGGAGCATCGAGATGATGGTGCTTTCAAGCGGTATCTGCCTGGACCGAAAACGGGTGGGTCACTAGCATCTTCAGTCATCCCATGTTCTCGGCATGGTCTTCTTTACTTCGCGTCAGTTGTTTGTCGGTTTGGAAGTGTCGACACTGACATGCTTTCACTCGGTATATATATATATATACGACGTCTAGGGATATACGTGTGTGTACATGCTAATTACACAAACACATACATACATGCATGCGTGCATGCCTACATACATGCACACATATATCCACACATAGATACATACATACATGCGAACATGCTACTTTTACATGTACACCCACACCCACATAACAAGTACGTATGTGAATGTAGCACGTGAAGCTCAGGTTTGCCAGAGGCTCGTTCATCGCCTGGCGTAGACATGAGCGAGTCCGAGAATCTGCGCTGCTGAACGAATCCATCCACAACTTGCTGCTTTGCGGAAGGAGTTGCGAGCTTTTAACATATGTCCCTTAGTGGGATACGGTCTGTTGGACGAGTCATTTAAGATCCAGGTATGAGTTTCTCAACGTCGTCGGTGAAGGCCATCACTTTGTCCTTTGCCGTGTAACGACTTCAGACTTCAGACCCGTTTGCAGGTTGAGAGTGTGTGAAACTTCGGAACGGCGTCTGGTGTGTAGGTGGCTTTGGCACCGTCCACAGAGCCAAGCATCGCCGAACCGGCTCCTTGGTCTGCTTGGAGCGACGGCTTCGGCGGAGCGCTGCCTAGTCTGAGTGGACCTGAGGTGAAATTGTAGCCATCAAGAGCATCAGCAAGGACAAGCTGAAGGACGAGGAGGCGTTGCAGATGGAGGTTGAGTTCCTGAAGCTCCTGGGCTCAACAGACATGCAATTTCTTCAGGCACAACCACACTTTGGCACGAAAAAAGGGCACGACGGTAAACTGAGGCTCGCCAGGCGTCAGTATCAGTTTCATACAAGTGTCGAATCTTTCGCCCATGGCCGGTCATGTGGAACCCCAAGTACCCGAAGCACCCTACCACCCTTTTGATCCGAGGTTGTCAGATCATCCGAACACCGTAAGGTATTACGAAACTTTCGAGGATGTGGCCGGCCTTCATGAAGAAGGGGCGCTTTTCGGGGCTTCGAGGGTCGCGGTTTAGGGTTCATAGAGTGTATAGGGCATTATAGGGCTCTATGGTTTTGGGCTCTGCAGTTTAAAGTTTAGGGCCCTTGGAGGGGCCCTGGAGCAGCAAGGCGAAGGATATACACCTGGTGATGGAGCTCTGCTCTGGTGGCTCGCTGTCCGAGTACATCGAGAAGCCTGTCTATAGCAGAGCTGGCAGGAAGCTGCCGTGCCAGTCGAAGAGGGGCCATGATTTTCGGAGTCATGTGCTGCTGGGGCGTGCTGGCATGCGGTGATGAATCGTGCTAAGGAACGCCCATGACTCCTATGGGCCGGGTGTGTCCGAGGACGAGCTTGCACGGATTGCAGTGCAGATCCTCAAGGGCATCGCATATTGCCATGCCCACTCGGTGCCTCGGTTTGTCATGAGAAGTCGGGACGAGGCAGCCTGCCGCAACCTGCACATACCTATCACGTCTTCCAATCATTGCCAAGAACAAGCCGGTTGGCTCGTGTGGGGAGGCGAGCAGACAGAGCCAATGCGTTCAGGCGTTGCTTGATTAGGACCGGCCACGTGCCATTGCACCTGAGGTGGCTCACAGGGACATTAAGCCGCAGAATTTGCTTTTCAGCTGCGGGGAGCCTGCAGCCGGAAGCGCCATACCGATTGATGCTTGGCTGCTGCTGGTGAGTGGCCAGAAGCTGCCAGATGTCCGCATCACTGCGAAATTTGCAGGCATGCTCTGGCGAGGGCGATGCGCCCCTGAAGTTGGTGGACTTTGGCATTGCTGGAGTGGTGAGGAACGACCGCCCCGAAAAGCGGCTACTGACGAAGTGCGCTGGCACTGTGGGTTATATGGCCCCGGAGGCACTCCTTCTCGCTTGCGAAACTTCATGCATGCCGGAACCTTTACAACCATTCGGGCAAACCGATAATCAGAGTGCACGGAGGGTGCCAAATGTCGTCAAAGATAAGCACCGAAGGTGGTGGGTGATTCCGAGTTGTGCTTCGAGACAAGACTCACTGATCAGCTCACCCAGCGGTTTCTCCCTGAGTACTGTCCCACTTTCGCGTCTTCGTGAAGCGGCCGCTGCTTAATTTTTCTTCAGCACAGCGGCAACGTGTATAGAGGCGAAGTAGTCTTTTGCTGGACGTGGCAAGAGGTGACACCCCTTTGTGCGCACTGCGCGCGAAGCTTGGATCCTTGGATCGTGCCAATGCCTTTTTTGCGAGACAGCAAAACCCCAAGTAAGGTGGCCTGACAGCAGCAAGGCAAAGGGTCAGTGTCCAAAGTCCAAGGAAGGGGACAAGAAAAGGTGGCGTTCCTGGGGGGATCTGGAAAAGGCCGCCCGGCGTTGTGTTAAGAAGGCGATCGTTCAACCTATACCGCGGAGTCTGGCAGCACGATGTTGAAGCCATGTCAAACGTGCACAACAAGAACAAAAGTCTAGCTTGGTTTTGGTTTGCTTTGTAAATTTGCTCATTCGATCAGCACACGGGGTGGAAGCATACTTCTTAACGTCTTTAGCTGTCCAGGTGTTTGGCTCGAGGCCGTATGATGGAAGATCGGCCGACATGTTTTCCATTGGTGCCGTGATACATCATATGGTCGTGGCTTGGCAGCAAGCCCCAGACAGTCAACAGCTTTCGTTTGCATGTGTTTCCGATGCAAGCTGTTGTGAAGTTTCGCATCCATTTGCCGGCCTCCAGAACTATATGTTCAGACGATGTTCGTCAGTTGATTTCTACTGTCATGTATTTTTGTTTGTAGTAGCTACTATCTATCTATCTCCATCTCTATCTCTGTCTATGTATCTAGCGATCTATCTCTGCCTGTCTTTGTGTCTTTCGGTCATTCTATATATGTCTATATTCAATGTATACGTGTATACACACGTGCGTGTATGCATATATGTATATAGTATATAGGTCATGCATGCACACGCACCGTCATATACACAGACAGATAACTCAATATGCACATTCATAAACAGGAAAATAGATCAACAAATAAGTCAAACACAGACAAATACATACACGTAACTCACTATATATATATATATATACACATACATACACACCTACGCGGCGCATGATTCTGTTGCAAGCATAGGTTGGCTTGCCTCCAAGCTGGAAAGCTGCGAGCCTTGTCTTGCTTAATGGCATCCCCGGCTCTCAGACGACGAGTTCAGGAGAAGTCAACTCTCCAACTTCAGCCCTATTTAGGCGGGTTCCAGTTTGGTGCTGCGTGAGCATCTCAGGAAGAGTGCTCCCCGTCTGCTATATGTCGGGTGAAGGTGAAGACAGGGACTGGATGATACTCCGGCATATCGGGAGAGAATCGCACATTCCCTGCATTGGTATTGTCTGCAGTCGCGTAAGGCTTACGACTTTCCAGGGCGACTTCGTTATCAGAGATTCTCCGAAGACTGCCTTTCACTGCTAGAGCACCTGCTCCTTGGTCATCTTTGCGCGAGCATGTTTCCTTGGGATGACTCGAGTTGTGGAGCGACGGTGCATCAGGCTCCATGAAGAGCCGGAGATGCGGCCCACGGCTGCAGAGGCCGAATAGTTTCATCACCAGACATGACTTTTTCCTAAACAAGTCGAGGTGCTGTCGTAGATTGTTATTGTTCGCCCTCCACCTATGCACTGAGGCTCGTTCTGTACCAAGGGCTCTGTCGCACAGTGCCAGTGCTTTTGGTCTCCATTCCCAGTCAAGTTACGCGTACGTGATTGCCTGTATCGGAGGCCCTCCGACATTCTTGGTTCGAGAGCAGAGGCATCCATTTGCAAAATCAATACGGGGATCGCGAGATGGTCCGATTCTCAAACTTGCCTCGACTCGCTCAGCCTAAGTCTTTGAGTGCCGCTGCAGCCGCTGCAAGGCTTCACTCCTCGAGCAATGCTTCAGGACTTGGCCGGTAAGATACTGGTTTCAGGGTGTATTCCAGGCCCCTGGTTCAACAGATCCTTCCACGACCACGATATGAATATCATCCTTCTGGAAGGAGGGGGGGGTCATGAATGAAGGTCAACTTCTGGCCACCTGGAAGGAGGATGCACCGCTTTTCTCAGCGATCGCAGCTGCAAAAAACCGTCATGCCAGGGCCCCAGTGAGCGCACACATCGGCTGAGGGTTTGTGAGAGCTCGTGTCCACATCTCGGAGGTACAGCATGGTGGCCTTTGCGCCCCTGCATAACCATCATATGGAACGGCTTCGCCGCCTGGCAACCACAGACTGTAGGACAGCACATCTTAGGCAATGGGGTCTAGCAGTCAGTCCAGCATTTGGATCAGTGGCGCGTCATTCTCGACGTGGTGGTGCTTGGAAAAACGAAGCAGATCATCTTGGGTTGTGAAACGAAGGCTTCTTGAGGTGACATCCCGAGTCATCTGCTGAGGTGTTGCATTCCTGTTCGCGGATCGAGGTGCGCAGGGGACGGCTTTCCACGGCAATATTCAGCAACTGACAGTTCCTGATTCCCTGAAGGCACTTCCGCAGGGCATCTCAACTCGTTGGCTTTCACATCCTGTGTATTTTCAATCTGCGACATTGAAATACCCGATGAACCAGAAGCGTGGAATTGTTGGGTGGCTAAGGATAAGCTGCTTCGAGTTCGTCGAGTTGGGAAGGAAGTACAGCTCCTTCTCCTCCACTGAGCTGCGTCACATCTTTGCCACATCGAATGTGTCCAAGACCGGCAAGCTGTCATACTGAGCCCCGGCTGCACCGGGCCGTCAGCTGATGCATGTACATGTCCTGCCCGCAAGACGGTCCGAATGTGTTTTTGCCCTGCAAGACGCTCGCAACTGCTACAGTGCACGCCGAAGGTGAATGGCTGACAGCTTCTGCTGATGATCAGTGGTACCGGATGGAGGAGCATGCAGAAAGAGCGTGCTTTGGCTCAGGCGGCTATGAGATGCTAAGACTTGTTAACGCTTCTTCCGGAGAAAGTGTGCATGCCTGGCTCGGAAACACAGATTCCGTTTGTGTGCTAGTCTCATCGCCGACTCGAAAATTCAATAACAGTGCAAGGTTTGATACGTTGGATGTGAAGAGAAATGGATGTCTCCGTGCTTGCGATCTGCGCCGCTGGCTAGCAACATTATTTTCTAGCAGGAAGGGTTGGGATTTTAATAAGCAGATCTCCCACAACTGGCCAGCATCAGTGCCCACATGCAAAGCGGAGGTCAGCTGCTGCCCAAGGTGTCTGCAGCTCAGTTCGGTTGCATATGTCGGAGAAAGCTTCGAAGAGTTGTAGTGCCAGGTGCATCAGGAACGGTATGGGATCAAGCATCGACTCGTCGTCGTCGTCGTCCCAGTAGTATGACCAGTAGTACTAGCAGCAGCAGCAGCAGCAGCATTAGCAGCAATTTTTGTAGTAGTAGTAGTAGTAGTAGTAGTAGTAGTCGTAGTAGTAGTAGTAGTAGTAGTAGTAGTAGTAGTAGTAGTAGTAGTAGTAGTAGTAGTGGTAGTAGTAGCCGTAGTAGCAGCAGTAGTAGTAGCAGCATCAGCAGTAGTAGTAGTACTGCCACAAATGCTGCTGCTGCTACTGCTACTGCTACTGCTACTGCTACTGCTACTGCTACTGCTACTGCTACTACTACTACTACTACTACTACTACTACTACTACTAGAATAATCTCGAGTGGCCTTCACGACCGGAATTAGAAGCAACACTACCAAACCGTACAGCTACGCTTCGTGGGGTGACGAGGGTCTTCAGCATGTTGTGGAGCCGCACCCCTTTTCACAGCAAGCCGCTGTGAAGGTTCGATCTTGTGGAGATAGAGCAGGAGATCATTGGGCTGTGCTCCAGAGGCGCCTAAATGGAATGCAGTGGCCTTGTGGAAGCTGCAATACTGGTGTTTTGCTGGCTTTGTGGGTGATGTGACATCCGACATAGCTGCCCGGAAGGTGAAGGCAATCTCCGCTTTGAGCAGTTCGTGGCATGCGCAGTCTCCAGCGAATGAGTTGACATGTGTCCTCTTGTCACGTCCTTTTCCCGCTTTCGCTCTCTCTTTGTTGTTCTCTCCAAACTTCGCCTGACTTCTGTGCCTGTTTGAGTGTACAGTGTGGCTCGCAGTCAGAACGTGAATCCTAGACTTGGGCTTTGGCTGGGTCTTGGAGAGCTGCAGAGATCGTAAGTAGCATTGGCAGTGAAGCGATACAGAGGACAGTTGAACAACAGAAGCACAAAAAGACACAAAAGGGACTGGAATACACATCGACCAGCAGCCTTTCACAGGCCCCTCCCTGCCCCGTGTTCCTGCCACATGCGCAGACGAGCCGTCCAATTCGCATTTGTGTCTCTCAAGCGGCCTTGAATCTGTACAGATCTGTAGAGTTGCCAGAGGCTGCAGCTGAGCATCTCCAGGATCGAAGCTTCAATTACGTGGATACTCACTTGATCCTGGAGAACAGTGGCACTATCGTTTCTTTACTCGAAAGAAGCCTGAGCTTGAGGCTGTCCAAAATGCCAACTTTTCATTCCCATCGTGCGCCTGTAGCTGTGGTGCACTGCAATAAAGAAGCTAAGGGCCACTGGCTGCACTGTAATATCTATCATTCTTGCTTGTCTTGTTTGTGATGGCATGTGATGTGCAAGCAGCGCAGTCTTAACATCTACAGCTCCGCGACAAAGTGACAGAGGGGTTCACCTGATACATGTCAGGACGTCGAAGGATAGGCACACAAGCCATTCAGCTCTGTCCTGCAGAGATGTGTTTGCCTTCCGCTTTTGAGTTTTGCTTCAATGCCTGAGCTTGGAAGAATGCTCGGCCGAGGCCTCACAGCGACCACTAAGAAAAGCCCAGCTCCAAGCGGCGGCCTGAGGAACCCGTTTGTTGCAGTTGTCTTTGAGGTTCTTGGTGATGATCTTGGAGTTGTTGGAGTTGCTTTACGCACATTGGCGGCCCTCATTGACGCAGTTTGACCGTGATGAGTCCGAGGCATGGGCTACATGACGGGGACGACTGGATTGGGTTGTGATCTCGGTTGTTGCGACATCACTACTCTATCACACCTTGTGTGCACATTTCCGAATCTGTGCCTCTTGCAGTGGACAGATGGTCCGCACCTTGAGAGTTGTCGAGAGCTTCGCCTGGAAATTCCGAGCGTGAGTCGAAATAAAAATCGGTGGCATTGCGGAATTGAGGCACATTGTCTGGTCTCAGCATGGGTGGCAAGCGGCTCAGTTTCGAAGGGAGCCTTGCTTGGTGGCATGATTTGGAGACGTGTGCCCCGTTTACCTCGGGTCTGCACATGTCGCTCGCGAGGCTTCTCGACTCCATCTCCAGCGAAGACACACCTGCTGAACGCAACCACGTCGCTCTCGCCACCTGTTGGCTATTCCCCTGGCCAGAAAGATCAGGACGAGGACCTTCTTGCATCTCGGGGGACTAGAGGGCCAAAGAGATCGCGTGCTTCGAGAGTAATTAGATCCTTCCGGACCGGTCGTAAGATGAAAGACCTGCTGGCAGCCAAAACTTCCTTCCGGCATGGTCGGATGAAGTGTGCATGTGCGTGCATGGGTGTGTGTGTGTGGCTCTTAAGTGCAGGAAGCATCGTTTCTCAAGCCAGTGGCCTACAGGCGACAGATTCCCAGACGATCCCAGACGCCAGGGCTACTAGCATCTAATGCAGCACTACACCTTGCGCCTGTGCAAGCGAAGATTGTGGTGCACGTGCAGCTGCAGAGAAGACCGTGATGCCTCAGTTCGGTACAGTCTGTTTGCTTTCACGAAGTCACACACACACACACACGCACACTGGAAGCCCTTGTGGCCCAAGCCTTAGTCGTGGGGATCTTTAGAACGACGGAGCCTGGAGCCAGCATGATGTTCTCCAGGGCGCAGTGCTCAGTTCGAACCTGTCTGTATGCACTCGCACGAACAGGCAACAGTAGTTGTGCTTCTGGAGGGATTAGTGACTGGCACGCATGTGTTTCTTCGCGGCAGCCTACGCAGTTCAATCGGCACACAGCCCAAGACTTTCCACTCGCCGCACTCGCCAGGTCATTTTAGTCGCGGCCTTGGTGCAAGCAGTGGCCGCAGCGAAGGACCGAAAGATTGATCTTCTTCTGGCTTCATTCGAGCAGCCACTGCCCGAAGAGACGTGACTTCGCAGTTATCGCCCTTCTGTAGTCTTGTCAAGTCAAGCCGTGTCGGGCCAGGTGTGCATGTTGCGGGCTGGTAATAGGACGCACAGATTCAGTCTGGTCTGCTCCGTGAGTGAGGAGGCGCGGATGTCTGTGTCTGCAAACGGTGGCATCACGCTCTTCCAGAAGCGCAGCTTGGAATGCAGCACCTGCACCAACATCCGCCACGCTGGTGTTGTCACTTTGCAAGGCTTGCTTTTAGTCTTGCAGAACGGATTCACTGCAAACTGGTCAGGAAGCATCGGTGGAAAGATAGACCCGGCTTTGCTACAAGGTGCTCTCCGTGCCAGACACTGTCGACTGCTGTTTCAGCTGTGTGGTTGACAGGCCAGTCCAAGCTAACCCGAAGTGAAGCTGTACGACTGAGAGCCTTGGAGCAAAGTGCCAAACTCATGGCCGCAAGCTTTCGTGGTGCCTGGTGTCTCCTTTCAATCGAAGGTTCTTGGGATGTCTTCTGCCATTGGTAGAAAGCATCAGTCGGGTGCTTGCTGCAGCACAGGAACCTACGACGGCAAACATCTCCACTCGGATGGCAAGAAGGTTCCCGTTCTTCAGGGTTCATGACCCTACCAGCCAGCATGAGGGTTTGACACATGGGCTCATTGATGCATCGGCAGCATGTTTTGGTTGGTCGTTTGTGTCCTCTAGTAACGTAGTAGCCAGTATGATCAACCCTTTTGGGTTGATTTTAGACTTGAAGTATCTTCAAGTCTGAGGCTGCTGTTAGCTGTATGCAGACTCATTCCATCCTGGGCTTCTGGGTGTTGTCTCATCCTGTCCACTTGAAGCAAGAAGCTTTGCTTTGAGTTCGGTCTCTCAGGTTTGGGTGAGCACGGAGAACACCGCGAAGACAGAAGTTCTTTTGCGATCGGTAGGACCTGCACGTGCACTCAACACTCTGCACCCTGGCCGCCAGACAGTTTGGGATGCGAAGTTTCGGAGGACCTCGCAAGGACAGCCCAATGTTCTAAGATATGCTTCTCCTAAGGCAGAGCGGAGATGCAGTCCTTCTGGAGACTCGAGAAGGTCCTCCGATGCTTGAGAGTCGCCGTCGTTCGCAAGCTCAGCTCTGTCTCTTGCAGGCAATCGCCTGGAGATTCTGGGTGGAGCTGTCAATGTGCGCCCGAAGAATTACAGACAGGACCGGACAAGCATTCGTTCTCCGCGACAGAGTCGTAGCATAGGGAACAGTGACAGCATTGTAGATAAGCGCAGCTCATTCCTGGAGACAGCAATCGCAGATGCAGCAACAATTGCATGTTTCAGGATTCGCAAACATTCCTGGTGCAGAGGCGCGTGTTGATCTAAGGCGATGAGAGTTGGGGAAGCATTGAATGTATGCCTGGCCTCAGGCAGGGTGGCGATGGGGATCTGGAGGACTGAAGTGCCTGTACTTCCGTGACTATGGCGATTTCTATCAACTCGTTCCAGATCTGCTTAGATGGTCGGCGCAAGCATGGGCAGGTGTTGTGGGAGCGCCAAGTGCTTTCGCGTTCCAGTCGTATGGCGATGTGATCGAAGTGCTGAGTTTTCGGGGACCTCGATTTTTAAAAGACTCTTTCGGACCAGGTCCCGGTGCATGACCCGGAAGCCTTTGTTCAGACTCAGACGATTTCTTTCTGGAAGCGGCTTGCGTGGCTTGAGGAGGGAGACCCAAGCTTTCTGGTCTCGGGCACGGGCCATGTCCTGGCCGTGGAGGGCGGCAAGGTGTTGGCGAGGCTGGCTAGCATCAGCACTCAGTATCCGTGGAAGCAGTCGTCTTGGTGACCAGCCTGAGTTCAAGTGGGGAAAAACATGGAAAACCTAGCTAGTGCAGACAGGTCACGGTGTAGAATACTAAGATACATGTTTCAAACCCAAGAATCGGAGAGGCATAGTCCTTGATCAGGGATAAAGCAGGCAGGAGGCCAAGCCAGACGTCACCAACTGATAATAATTATGCGTGTATGCGCCAAAGAACACACCAAGTAACCGGCAGCAGACGCAAAGAGTTGCAAGCGGGCGAACCGTGTGGCCAGTGCCGAGGGAGCCAGGCTCCATGCACAGAGGGCACACACAAGGCGACCCAAAGGCGTGCGCCATGTACCGAGGGAACACTTTTCCAGCACCGAGGGCGAGCACGCCACCAATCAGGTACAGTAAATAAACATGCACACTACCGCGGCAATGAACAGCACAGAGGCGCAGCCCTGGAACAAAGCCGATAACATAGGCAGCAATCCAGGGAGCTGTTAGCGCATATGATGAGCGTGGAATACCTCACATATACACTGGATGTCCTCAGGCCCATGATGGGTGGAGACGTCGGCATCGTCGGATCAGTTGCAACAACAGTTGAGCCAGAATACTAGAGGGCACTGTCGCCCTAGTACAAGGGAGGGGGGGGAAAGGGGGTGCTCATCGAGCAAAAGCCCTTAGTGCCGCCGCCCGGGGTCCACACCTTTCCACAAGAAACCCCCGCCCCAAAGAGAGTGCTAGGGGCGGGGGGCTGCTTCATGAGCTTTCATGTCCTTCCGGCCCGCAAGTTGGAGCTGCTGTTCAGGTTTAGCCGCCTGCAGATTGCAAGTTTTTGCAAGTTGGGCTCCTCAACAAATCAGGGGTCCAAGGCCTTCTCGAAGGTTTGACTGCTCTGTTATGTCCTAGTTTGGGAGGATACCGTATGGGTTTGGAGCCACAGGCGGCTTGATGGATGTGATGATGCTGAACCGAGGGCTTCGCTTCAAGAAAGGTGGCCTAGAGGTAGCAGGGAGGCATGTCAACGACAGAGTGCCTCGAAGGCCTTTGCACGGTGTTGATGTGATGCCTGCATCCGAGAGTGTCGAACTTCTCAGAGGCTTTTAGTTAGTGGAAGAGGTATGAAGTGAAGCAGGCAATGGCAAACGGTGCTCATCACCTAACTGGGTTGATGCAAAGACCTCGGACGAAGTGCTTGCAGGAAGCCAGATATGGACACTGGGGAGGCTTTCCTTTTGGAGCCTCTCGGCCGGAGGAACTTCCGAGAAGCTTTCGTCATTCCAAGATTGCAAGAGCGCTTTTTCCTTGGGCAGGGTTGGGGTAGTCGTGGATCGTTTCGCTTCTTGGGCTGCCTGTCAACGTTTGCCGTGGGGCTGCAAACAAGGAGAGCTGCTTCCCACGAACCGGAGCCGTGACCTCAGACTCTGCGCCTGCTGAAAGTAGCTGACTAAGTGGCTTGCTGTGGCAATCAATCGCAATCATCAGTGCTTGCCTGGGGATAGGCTTTGCGAGCTTGCAGATGTCGCATGTTCCAGTACTTGAGCTCATGCAGCGAAAGCACATCCGATTCGATGAAAGTCACCGCACGCTGAGGAGCCAGTGGCTCGTGGTGCCCAACCCGCAGGGCCATTGTGACCCCACACTGGAATGCCATCGGAAGCTGAACGTTTCCTGCAGAATCCTGCTCTCGATTACTGTTGGGGATAAGCGCATGGTTGAATGCTTTGGTGCCTCCAGGGCTATCCATGACCTACTGCCTTTCCATGAAAGTCGGAGACTTGAGACAAATCGGCTGCCACCAATCTAAGACGTTTTCGACATTCCTGCTCATAACGTCTGTGAGCTTGTGACATGTGCTCGCTGTTGAGGAAGCGCGAGTGGAGACGACCTGTCCTTTGACAAATGCCTTCGGCCTGCAATACGCATTGGTCCTTCCACACCAGCCTGCCACACTGAAAAAGCTACCCATTGTCTGTTTAATGTCCATGCAGTCCACCTTCACGTCGCGAGTTCTTAAAGCCTCAGCAACAAGTCAAGTTCAGGCGACCACCACTCTCGCCCCTGGAGCTACGAGCCTTGCTTCCGCTCGCCATTGGGCTCCTGCATTGATTTGGCGGAATCCGTGCCTGGGCATGTCTTGCTCTTTATCATGGGTTCCAGGCTTGAAAGCTGCCTTCCGAGGTAACCAGACTAGTGACTAGTGCAACAAGTCGAGGCTGTGGAGGTTGTTGCCGATCTGAAGGCTATTCGGCCTCTGCTTTCGTTTAAACTCTGGCAGCTCAGGACTGTGTTGACATCCCTGGGATGTGGTGGAACACGGACTCAAACCTGCAATTATGATGGGGAACTGAGCATGGGCCTGCCGGGTTTCACAGGCCTTCTTTCACAGAGGGTCTGCGCGCGGTTTCCTGAGGAGGGCAAGACTTGCGCCCAGTACGGCGTAGAGGATTGTGACAACGAGCTGGTCCATCGAGCCTGCCGGCAGACATGCGCCTTGCTGGAAGAAGTTTCTGATCTCATACGGTACGTTTGCATCCTGAGCGCTCCTGATATGGACTGACATGAAATTTGCGGGTAAAGGCTAGGCGCATGCATGACGTGCTGTCTGCCCGAAAGTGGGTTGGTCTCATCGTCCCTGGCTCTGTCTATCTGTCTGCCTTTTCGCACAGCATATGCAAAGTCCATGCAGAGTCCAACGCCTCTCACAGCATTCGGTGGCCCTTGCATCCCGAAGCTGGCGGTCTGCAAGGTGGCGGCGGATGCCAGCCAGCAAAGACCCTTACGTCCGGAGCTGCTTCTTGGTTGAACAGATACAATTCATGGTACTGGGCTTGAAGCGGTTGAGTTTGTAGTCAGCGCCCCGCAACACCTGCAACTGCCACTGCCCGATGGTGCCAACGGCTCTGCCTGCTGCTGCTTTAGCTTGCCACTCCTGCTCCTATCCCTGCTCCTACTCTCACTCCCACTCCTGCTGCTGCTGCGTCTCTGCAAACTGCTGCTGTAATGTTAGTGCTGCTGCTAGTGTACCGCTACCACTACCGCGACGGCGATCACTACCACTACCACCACCACCGCCACCACTAACACCGCCACTACCACTACTACCACCACCGGACGACTGCAGCTGGAACGACTTCCGCCACTGCCGCTGCCGCCGCCACCGCTGCCATTCCATGTCGCTGTTTTTTGTCTAGTCGGCTTTTTGCTTTCTTGGTTTTAGTTTGTTTCCAGTCCAGGCCGGTAGCTGCGAGGACGATCCGCTGTACAGGCACGGCACCCTAACACGCACATTTCGTGGCTGCCCACCGGGTCAAGCACTGATTGCTTCTGCAGAAGTCTGAGTGTGCTTGGGTTTAGGAAGTGTTAATTGGGTGCTCGCATGCTATGTGAGCATGCCGCACAAATCGGCCAGAGAAGGGCCGGCAACCGGATATCACGTTCGCGGTTCCGACTGCATTGTGCGAATCCTCACGGCAGCATCCGTCAATCTGAGCACATGCTGCATGCCCTAGCTCCACGTCTATAGTATATAGGATCCTATGGAGTCCTCTTTCTGACATGATCTTCGGAATGGAGAAGCATCGCCAGGGGCACCTTCAACTGGCTTTGCAGCTGGTTCAGCTCAAGAAACTGCAGCCACTTGGTCGGATGTTCAGTCTGTCGGTCAGTCAGGTCACCTGGTCGTGTGGACAGGGTTAGTTTAGTCGAAAGCTTGTTGCAGGTTCAGTTCGGGCCTCCCATGACTAGGACCACGGTGACTTTGGTGGTCTGACATGCCACTTCAATGTTCCGCGGCTCCGCGGTCCCTGTTCTCTCGTCCTGCAGAGCTTTGCAGGTCTTCTTGCCTTAGCTGCTCAGGTGCGTACTTGTTCAAGGATGAGCTGCTCAAGGACGTTTGGCAGATTTGGTCTACTTATGATAGACTGGAAACCCTGGATCAGCTCACGAGCGGCAGCAGACGCGCTACAAGCCATGCTTGTGGAGCCCGAACCACAGGGTGGGAGGGGGATCAGGGGAACAGCCGGGTTTGGGCTGTACGTGCAGGGCCGCCGGGGTGCAGTCATATGTGTATGTGTGTGTGTGTGTGTGCGTATAAATAAATAAATATAAATATATATATATATATATATATGTTTGTGTGTGTATATACTAAATACATACACACTCGAAGAGACGTCTCGGACCCATCGAACCTCGGGAAAGCAGCGCGCTGTGTTGGCTCTCGCCCAAAACATGCTCCGGCCAATTGCGAGAGTTGCCGACTTGTTTCGTGGCACCTGCCCACCCAGCACAGGCATGAAGCATGTAGCAATCAAGGATGGGTTTCGGAGCAGTTTGCAAGGCAGTGTACGTCTTCTAGCATGCGGTAAGCACAAGTTGCTGCGCAAATGGTGCTAAGAGCATGGTGCCAGTGCCCAGGCATGCCCGAAGTCCTGCGGCGCCTGCTGACATGACATGCTCCTGTGTGCAGCTGCGGCACGTGCTGTCGCAAACAGCTTTGAGCAGGGACGCATCAGGCAAGGAATCCTGAGCGCCACCGGCTGCCGAAAGTTACTTCAGGTTTCACTGGGTGCCGAGGCTTTAGAACCTCGGCCCGGACAGGCAGCGGCATCTAATATGTCCGTACTGGAAGATCAGGAAGGGTTGTGGGACGGCCTGGCTTATGCCGGCCCAACTAGGCTCCTTATGATGCTCGCAAGTGGCTCATGCCGCAGAACGCCGATTCACTGCCACGTCTGGAAGGCGTGAGGCGCTTGAAAAGCAGGCGCGCCGTTCTCTTCAATGCCTTTGCACGTCCCGAATTCACCGAGGCAAGCATGCATCCAATGCAAGAATCGCAGCTTGCACATCCGTCGTCCAAAGTGGGTTTTGGCAAGACGTAACGCACCAATGACATCAAAAATACAACGGAGGCTCGTAAAAAAAACACACCGGATGCTCGCCAACTACAAGGCTACAGCTCGTGGCTGCAGGCAAAAGAAGCTGTTTGCCTGCAGCCTGCTACAGCTGTAAAGTCGCAAGGCTGTAGATGCAAGTTTAAGTTACGGGTAGCCCTTTGGATGAACTGGAGGCTACACGGGCCTTCCACTTCCAAACGCATGAGCTGCTTCTGCTTTTCAGGCACGTGCTGCTCCTGTTTCTGCTGCCGAGATCGAGATTCGGCGATTTGTGATCGCATGGTCATCCGCAGCAGAGAGGTTCAGCCATTCGGCAGATGGTGCTGCAGGGAAGACTAATAAAGAAATGGCAGCTTGCTTTGCCGCTTGCTGTGCAACGGCTTCGAGTTGATGCGCAGTAGCTTTCCAGATGCCTTGATCCTTTCACATCGTCAGTCCTTGCAACATCAGCTGCCATTCTCAATCAGTATGGGTGCTTTGCAGAGTGTCTCCCCGTTGTTAACAGCCGCAGAGGCCAGAAGCCCTGTCATGTTCAAGCGAACGGGCTGTGTCGACGGCCGGTTTCGTCATGCCCTACGGTAACGAGATCTAGAATCGACAACTCGTGCATCTGGTGTATGCTGCAGGTTGCAAAACTATAGAACCGCCGATCGCTGGAGTCCACTTCGGGGTGGTGCCTGTGAAGGTACCCTTACAGTGCGCGGACTTGGACTGCGGTTTGCTGTCAAGGCGAAAAAATTGACGCTCTCGCACATACATTCCTGCTGAAGGGGGATCAGTGCGGCTTCAGGCTTGAGGTCCATAGTCGATGCTAAGCTTCGGAGCCAACCCTTGCAGCATGAACGGTTTGCAAAGGGCACCTAAAAACTCCTGCACATAAATAAGATGTCCTGGTAGACATTGCCGTCCATGCGGCAGGCGCAAGCTTTGCTCACTCTGCCCCATTCGTGAAAGACTCCTGCTCTGCATGTCCCTGGCCGGGCTTACATTCAAGCTTGGGAGCAATGGGTGAGAGTGCGAGGGTCCTCTTCTTCTGCCACTCTTCATCCGATTCTCGTGGTTTCAGCCGAGGCCCAGGCGCGGGGGCCTTGGAGCCGACATTGCGCGCAGCGGCCGCAGTTTGAGCCGAGGGCCTGCGCCCCAGAACGTGAGGGGGCAGGCAGGTGGGACCAAGGCAAGGGATTTCGGCTTTGAAGGTTCGGGCTCTTGGGCTGCAAGGGCACAGCAGCTGTACATCCGAAAAATCCGAGAAGGATTTGGCAGTTCCTGATTGGGCCTTCAGCTTGCAGCTCGCAGCAGTGCGTGAACTCTTTTGGCAAGAAATGGCATGCCTGCCGTCTTTCAAGCCAAGAAGCCCCAGCGTGCTCTTGAGGTCAATGAGCCACTGGGATTGCAGCTTGTTTCGCTTCTCGTACTCTCTGTCTTGTGGCTGACTCGGGATTCGCGAGCGCAGCACCGTGCACCAATCAGTAGAAGTTGAACGTAGTCGGCCGTGGCAGAAACCTAGACAAGGGTGGGACAGGATATCCTGCTACTGCCAACAACACGAGATTCCAATGATTCGCAACCGTACAGGGTGCTTGCCTAAGGAAACCTTGGCCAGGCCGTGGCTTCGCGGTGACCTGCAGACTTTTAACTTTAATTGAGTGTAAATGTAGACATGTAGGGGGTGCTGGAAGGCATGTTCTGGAGCTTCCCGAGCTGCTCAGAAGATGCAAGGGATGTGTTCCAGCAGAGAACATGCAATGGGCCAGTCTTTGTTCGTACTTCCAGATTCCAGAAAGCCTTTCTGCACTAGGATGGCCATGCGCAATGCTTGGGACATTGTGCTCCTTTAGGGGCAACCCGGGGAGAGGGTACGCACCACCAGGTCACAAAGATGTCCGCCTGGAGGTTTGACAAAAATCGCGAAGCCTGATTGCTTGCTCATGAGCTCGTGTGGGATTGAATGTCAACGCCGGCGGAGCCGGCAATAATTCGGTCTTGGAGTATACAAAATTGTAAACCAAGGGATCCTTGTTCAAAGTCCGAAGTCCTTGCCGCAATCCCTGCAGACACGATTTGCAAGAAGTATCGCGGCGGTTCGCCCGTGCCCGAAGCACCAGCCGCTACGGAGAACACGAGAATGTAGCTTAGCAACAGGTCTGGAGTCTTATTTGTGTAAGTAAGAAAATGGAAGTCACCACAATGCCTACATAGCACACTCAAGCAAGCGCATGCCGAGCAGTGCAAAGATGCTACTTGTAAGGGTATACTGACGCGTAGGCGTGTACTGAACTCGTGCCCACATAGTGCCGTGAGTTCGTCAGGAATCTGACAGTGACCACCCCGAAACCAAAGTCCCCGACTTGCCCGATTCACCATAAGGCCTGCTTGCTGCCTTGCATGCGGGCTGAAGTATCGTAGTAGACGGAGGGGTGCAGACTCAGAAAGCGAAGAGATGTTGTACACATCATCATGTGATCATCGCCACGCATTATCATGATGTCTGCATGCGGGATCGCGGCTTGGCCGGTTTCAAGTAAACTTCCTCGTTGTGCAGCCATGGCCTTTCCACAGCCAGTGCCCCCCTTGGATTGTCGTCGCTGTGGTGATGCCGATGTGTTGCTGATTGCACCTCATGCCACAGTTCCCGCGGACAATGCTGGGTCCCCCGCTGGAGGTTTTACTACTTGAGGTTTGAGCACTCAGCTAGTATGCACGAGCTCGGATACAATCGAGATTTGGTCTGTTAACCATCCTTCGGACTTTGCAAGGAGTGGAGTATGTTCTCCAAGACCAGCCTCTTAAAGGGTTGTGCCTGCCACCCTCCCCGACGGATCTGCTAGCGCTTGTGTTCTCGGTTTCGAGGGCTTGCATGGCTTGAGCTGGTCTGAGCTCGGTTCTAGTAAGCGCAAAGGATTCTTCGACAACTCGCACGTGTGGAGTAGGATCTTGGTAGCCCTGACAGGCCATTCATTGCCGCGTGGCCGCACAACAAGGACGAGGTGACAGAGGAAATGAATGTTGCTCGTTGACTCACTGGTGCAGACTGTGTTTGTTTGTTTATAGTTTATTGGCCTGACCTGGGACAGTCGGTGAATTACAGCCCAGGAATGGCACGATGAAGGCAGCGGTGAAGCTTTTGAAGTGGCTGTTTCGAAACTTGCGGCACAGGGTTTCCGGCCCCGCCTTCCCCGGGGCCTCATGGATTTAAACCGCGGCTGGCGAGGACGGACAGAAAAGACAGAGCTGCTTGCATCAAATTGAGACGGGTAATGCCAGCTTAAGCAAGGTAGAGGTGTTCTAACTTCACTGCATGATGTAAAAAGGTTGCCGTCTTGCAGCAGCAGCTGTTGTCGCAAGTCTTTGGACGTCTATCGAAGGACGCTTTTTGGAAAGGGTGCACTCAGCAGTTGGGCAGCGGAGCACATTCACCCGGATGGCACCGATGCCCTTGAGAAGTGGTACAGGGCTGCTTTGTCAACCATCCAAGCTGCATCCGCAGACCGGAGAGGGTTTGTGGAGATCCATAGCTATGGAGATTTGGGGTCAACGTATGATCGAGAAAGTGGTGGCCGCCCAGTTCGAAGGGCCCAAGCTGCCGTAGTTCATTCGACACCATGGGCTACTCAATTTCCCGTGGGCCTTGCGAGACTCTTGCCAGGCGATCTTCGAGGTACTCCTAAGCCACTGGAGCGAGCCTTGGATCGATGCTTAGAGGAGAACGGCTTTAAGCTGGGGCCAAGCCCGTACCCGACCCAGGGTCCTTGGGCCTTGTCAACACGATTCCTGGCATCACGCTGGTTTCTGTGGCTGGGCGAGAAGCGCCATTTGCCGAAAGAAGCTGCAGAGCATTTGGCCTCTTTGGCCTGGCAAGACGAGCATGATCCTGAGATGGAAGCGGTTGCAACTGGCAAGGTTGAAGCCAAAAGTGGCAAGCTACTTGGGGTGCGAGAACTGGCTGTGATGATGTCCGAGTGGTCTCATCGTCCAGGAGATCTCGGTGACACGTTCGGAAGAGAGACCCGATATTTCACACTGGTTGTCGAAATGCGTTGTGATCGGACAGATGATGCGGAATCATTTGGCCAAGCCGTCGCGAAGGCTGTGAGTGCTCATCTTGCATCTTGATAATTCAGGTTCTGTCAAAGAGCAGCCACACTTCATCGCATGCGCACAAAATGTGAATCAGTTGGGCCACTTCAGTCCAATGCTCAAACAGAGTTGCAACCGCAAGAGAAGCGGATTTTGTTTTGGGGCTGCCACAGCTACGCAGACAGCTTGTCTCGACGCAAAGGCTTAGATGGCTCGCTTGGCATTTCACGGGCGCGCAATTTGCAACTCGCACATCTGGACTTCTTGCGACATTTTCTGCAATGTTTACGTCTTGGCTTTCACTTCTTGATGCCTGTCAGACTCAAACACTTCCCAGTACAGTCAGTAGAGCAAATCAAAAGCAAAGTATGTCCAGAAACCTAGTGATCTGATGCCCGCCCGGCGGAACGTGGCAGACCCAAAACTAGTTTAAAACATGGTATCCGGGTTTGCAACAACATGACGTCTGGGCGA